CACTTGGCTCTCTAAACTTGCCCCTGGGTCGCCTCCTCAACACTTCCAACATGACACTGGACCAGCGCTTCCAGCTGGAGCGCTCAGGAGCAAACAGCCAGATCAAACTGAAGGCCACTCTCAGGGTGGGTACATAAAAATTCACTTTATGCAAAACATACTATGCCAAAACAACATTCAGCTATTGGCGCTTAATGAGAACTTGCAAGTGAGCACTACTATTCATGATTTTACATTACCCATGTCCTCAATTCTATGATAGATTCTTGCTTTGGAAAAGCCTCCACCCAAGATTATCCTCAATCCTCCACAAGCCAAACAACAAAAATCACAGACCAACCAAGGAAGTAATGGCTCTGTATCCAATCCCTCCGTCGCTACATCCTCCTCTCCAGCACTTTCCTCCAACAATACCCCCGCTAACCAAGCTTCATCTCCAACGTGGGCAGCCGATTCCCAGAATGGCTCTAATAATGATTATTTAGCTCACCGCCGGGGTTCCTTCCTGGCTTCTGAAACCCGGCAGTCGTCTCCTTCCACATCCCACATGCGTCGGTACGACTCCCACAGCCTGCTGTCGGATAACTCCATCGCTTCGTCACGTTTTGACCTCTCAGAGGGAGCCTCGTATCCAGAGTGAGTCTAGAGCTTGGTTTTGTATGTGTCCACACGTCTTTTTCAGGCCTGCAGTGTGCTGACTTCTCACTTTTCTCCAGTCATTAACTTAACTCTGTGTGTTTCAGCAACAGTAATAAAATGAATAAAAGTGTGATTGAAGAAATGTTTTTTTTTTTTAATCAATACAGGGCTATTAGGAAACATCAGGGTTCATTTGGGGAGATCCACCTGACTGTACGTTACGCCAACCTGAGGAACAAACTCATCATTCTGGTTAATGCCTGCAGGTACAGTAGAGGTTTCTGACATAACTTCACCTACCTCCAAGGTGCGTGGAGAAAGGAAAGAGGTAGAAACTCCAGAATCGCTAGCAGTATACAGAAGAACTTTTAAATTAGACTGACACATTTCAGCTTGTAGCCTTCATCAAGGTAATCAAGCCAAAAAGCATTGGTCTAATAACAAAGTTCCTCTGTATACTGCAAGCATTGCTGGAGTTTTGACCTCTAATGCTTACACCAGAAAAAACAACAAATTGGTGTATTTGCAAATTACTTTCCTTCATTGGGTGAAAGTGAAATTCATATGGCTGAGCTGTGTGCAAACCCAGCTATGATAGCTCATTGTGTGTACCTGTTGCCTACAGGAACTTGTTCCCCTGCAGTGACAATGGTACAGACGCTTATGTCCGCCTGTATTTGCTCCCTGACCAAACCTGGAGACACCGCAAGAGGACACAAGTTAAGAGGAGGACAATAAATCCCGTCTTCAATGACAAGTAAACTCTGTTCTGATTACCAATGTCATGTAGATACTGTATAGTAAAAGCTCAGACGTTGAGAGTAAACTCTACCCTCTTTTAACACAGGTTTGAGTTTGATGTGTCATTTGAGGAGGCACAAACAAGGAAGTTGGATGTGGCAGTGAAAAACAACAAAATGTTCCTCACACGGGAGAGAAAGGACATTGGCATGGTAGTTAATGCTACAATGACCTTGTTATCGATGAGACAAATACACAGCCGCTGCATCTCCAGATTCGTTATGGTTCAATGTTGTCGATGTTTTCATTTCATACATAAGTTGCTGAACCAGTGTCCTGACTGCTATGGCTATCACATTTTTTGCAGTTTGCAGCTCAGTCTGAATATTTGACTGAATTTTCAACCTCTGCTTTCCTCAGGTGATGATAGATCTTTCAGCGATGGATCTGGCCAAAGGCTCCACAGAATGGTATGGTCAATAGTTTTCTACTTTGCCATGATTTGGATGATACAGTAGATATACAGTTAATATTTCTTGGTATTTTGCTCAGAATGGGACACAACATTGAATTTGATGTTCATCAGAACTAAGATGAACTATGCTGAATTGCAATATTAGTGCTTCCTTCCAGAACTGTATAGATTTTCTTGCTGTCATTACTTTGTTCAGGAAAGGCAATCCCATCTAACCAGCTTCTTTGAGGAAGGAGTTTGATATTTTGGGAAGTAGGCTTACTTGCTTTCTTGCCAGGGAGTGAAATGAAAGGATTAATACCACTCTCATGTCTGTACAGTAAATATGAAGCTACTGTGAGCAAGCTACGATAATCTTAACCAGCAAGCAGCTGGAGCTGTCCACAGGTAACAAGATCCGGCTTACCACACAGCTAAAGATCATGAATTAACACATTGATTTATCCTCTTTGTCTAATCCGTACAAAAACCTTAAAGTAAAACCCACACTTTTATGAATGGGGTTATGTAATGGACTATTTCTTTGCCGGGAGCAATAACTTATTAGTCTTGTGGTTTCCCCATTTCCAGACTTTGTGATAAGCTAAGCGAACTAGCTGCTAGCTCCAGCTTCATATTAGCTGCAAATTAGCTTCATATTTAGACATAAGATTGTTATCAATCTGCTCATTGAATGCTCAGCATGAAGCAAAGAGGTATATTTCCCAAAATGTTACATCGAACAAATGAAATAACTGACTCTCTTGGTTGGAGAGCAAAGGTCCTCTCTGTTCAATAGTAAAGATGTATAGAAATGTATGTAAGGAAACAAAGGATTCAAGTAAAATTATATGAATATTTCACATCTCTTTCCTCTTAAGGTATGAGCTCACTCTGCCTGGGCTGAAGAAATCCAGCTAGTAGGTGGAATTATAAAGAGCAGCACCTCAGCCACTGCAAGGCAAAATGCAGGGCTGACAAGAAAATTGCGTATTTATTTGTATTCCTTATCATCTCTGGTCAGATTTTGTTTTTTCCAAATGCAGCACTAAACTTATCTCAGATACATGCATCATATTTATATGTCAAAGTGTGTATGGTCACAGGCACATACTGTATTCCAAACCCCAGTCCAACTTAAGCTGGGCATAAAGGATTTGTGTGCATCTCGTCTCACTTACAGATATCCCAAATGATTTAATAAAATATTCAGATTAGAATATACTGTTGTAAATGATCTGGAGCAGAGCAGACAAACAGTTATAAATAAGACTTTCAAACATGCTTTGGTATCCCAGATAATGTTAGCATAAGCATTTGTAAGTATTAGTTGGGTTGATGGGTAGAAACCAAATTATTCTGAAAAATAATGCTATTACTAAACATTTTTCCACACACACAAAAAATATGTAATTCACCAGAAAATGTTTGTATTTGTACTTTATTGATAAACAAGGTGATATCTTTACTTTGGATATTTTTTGTGAGAGGTTTGGTTTTTGACTTGATCTAAGCCAAATTTATCCTTCTGTATTTTCATGTAAATAGCTGTATTTACAGTTTTATGTAATATATTAAGGGAAATAAAGTAAAAAACAAACAAACAAACAAACAAAAACAAACAGGTGTGTTTGTTTCAGCAGTCCACAAGAGTCATTGCATCGCTTTAATATACACTGATACCCACATAGTCACAGCTGGAAGGTGTGGTGTGTGGGCAGTTCTGCTGGAACAGTCCTTGCTCAAGTGCATCTTGGCCACAGTTACTAAAGGAAGTAATGAATATATCTTTTAAACCACCTGGTCTTTAAGTGATCTTCTGTTTTCTTTATTTAAAATACACTCCCTAAACTTTTATGAGTGGTTTACAGAAAAAAAATGCATTATAGAACTTGATAAACAAGTTTGTATATCCCTGTGTAAACTATCTGTACAGTCTTTGGTCTTGATTAATCCTGAGCTGCTTTATCTGTTATCTATTTTAAATTATTGAGTAGCTGGAGAATATATGAAACCTTTCCAGTTCTGGTGTTTTTGAATTGACTGTTTAAATTGACTGTAAAAGTTGTTTTCAGCTAACATTTTATTGCAAGTTTAAATACCTTAAAGCAAATAAATGTTGGATTTTTCAGTGTGAATATGAGCATAATCGGTTGTTACCAGTTCATACAATCTATATGATTTTCCTGTCTGTATGTGTAAGCCCTGGGATATATATTGTATATGGATGTGCCCTGCCTTTCACCCAGTTAGTTGCTGGGCTTCAGCCCTTGTTAGCCGCACAGTCCTGGCCCCAGCCTGAGGGGAGATGGACTTGGACATTCAGCTCAAAGGAGAACAGTAGACTTTAACTTTAGGGAATGTTGGAAACTGCCTCGGGCCTCCAACTCATAGGGTCCCAAATAGTTGTATCTATACTGTGATGTTTTGGTATAAAACATCAAATGATGTTCCTACATATATACTCAATATTTACAAAATGCCTTCACTTGTTCTATTACCAGTAGTGGCATACACTAGATGGATGGACTATTCCATCATTTGGCTGCACACATCTAAACATCCCTGTTGCTAAAGTCAAACTACAGTATCTAGACTCCAGGTATTCTACACAAAGTCAGATGCTGACGCAGAGTTATCACAGTGGACATTTTAAAAATAAAACATATGGGAGACACAGCAAAACTCCCAGCAGTAACCACCATTTGAAATTGAGTAGCTCTTAGTATTGGCTGAATAAAGATAAATAGACTGTTTCAGAAGGTTTCACAAATCTGAAACGGTGTCTTAAAGACTCTGGACCTTATCTGATGTGGCCTAGATGTGGAAAAAGCAGTGAAATCTCCTTTTTGTGTGTTCACAACTAGAATAAAGGCCTCACAAATCTGAAACTGTGTGATAAAGAGTCTTTATCTTTAGCGTTAAGGCTTTATTCAAAATGTCGAATACCCTTTCGCGACAGGTGCATAAGTTAAGTTAAAACACAAGTTTCCCTTAACTTTCCCTTTAACTGCCGAATCGAACCAATAAGGTCAAAGCTAGCTTTAGCGTCATCAACTCCTGCTGGGGCTAAGGGGTTCACGAGTTCACCATTGCTTACGTAGCAACGGTCCTAGCAACGGCACAAGCTTACATTAGCTTATGATAACTTTGCACAAGTACCAGCATGAATTCAGCTAGGGACAACACAATTTCCGACAGTGTAACATTCTTACCACAAAACCGACCACGGGTAAGTTTAGCAAACACTCCAACTGATGTTGGAAAATGTCACTTGGTGTTTTAAAGCTTTTAATTCACTACCTGCCACTTAACTGCCTATCACACCCAGCTAACGTTTTTCAGTTATCGTGCAGTCGACACTTGACAATAAAATAACAAAATTATTAGTGTTTTACCAGCCATGTTCTAGGTTGTTAGGTTGTATGCTTATTTTAATCCACACACATCTAACCGGTCTGCGAAACCAGCACCAAACGAATGTCCATTGTCCAGGTCCATAGAAAACAACCGTGGATGGAAACCAAACCTTCATTTTCGCTGCATCCCCCACAACCTCAAGGAACTGAAGAGGCTGTGAAAAGTGGGTTCAAACATCAGAGTTATGATCACATGTAGTATTTTAAGATACTGCTGTAATTTGTAAGAGGTATTTATGGAAATTCTGTGGTTGTGGTTATAGGTGATCTGCTGAGTGGAGTGACAGACTGTAGACCAAGTAAAAGTTATGGCAGAAGCCAGACCCTTTTCCAGAACAGAAAGGCAGTGCAGATCCCTGGGGCCTTCAAACACTGCAGCAGTACCCGCACAAAACTCATTCAAAAGCCCAAGAATCTCCGTGAAATGCTGGTTAAATTCATATGGTTAGTTGCACCATCTTATATAGTCATTTTATGTATTTATTCATCTCTACATCACTGTTTCCCCTATATGGTCTGGACTCCAACTAACTAACTAAATAACTAAGCACTTAAGTAAAATGTGATAGTGAAATTTGTTTCTTATGATAAAGCATTTGGGCAAATCCTTTTTAATCTCAGTTTTGTACTGTAAGCCATAGCTAAGACTAAATAATTGCTGCATTACACTGCCCAGGATGCTGTACTGTGTATATCAATGAGGAGGCACTTGACTCCCATTTAATCAATTTTTCTATTTTTATTTAGTCAACAGGAGGAAGAGGATGGCAGCAGTCCACAATGTGGCTCTTCCAAATTTACAGCACAGAGTGACAGTGAAATGGTGAAATGCAGCACGCACTTGATGAATTATATATATATATATATATATATGTTATATTACAGGCCCTCTTTTGTTGTGCACATGCCCATAATGAAGACATTGTGCTCATCATTCTTTGACATAATCCTTTCAAGACACTTGATATGGTAGCCTTTGTCGCTGTTTGGTTTTGTTGGTCTTAGTGGTTGCAGTTGCTAGGTACAGTGTGTTTTCTCTGTGTTCTATCTTTTTTCTTCACTTAAAATTAGATATAATTGATAGCTTTTAATGATATTTATATAATGACCTTTTACAATTCTTAACTGTACTAACGCCAAGCAATAAAACTATCATAGTTTTTTTCATTTTGGCATTTTTATGTGTAGTGGGTTATAGTTGACACATAAATCAGTGAAAACTGAAAATGTGTAGCTCAAGTACACATCTTGGTAAATATAGTTAGCATTGGCCATTAGAAAATGAATATTTACACACTGAATCATATGCACCACATAAATTTAAGCTTAATCTCAATGATGTCCTGTCACAAAAAAAAATCATGTCAGACATTGTTTAAAAAGTCCCTACGGTTACTGAAAATGGTTTATAATATTCTTCCCATCAGAGATACAACTACTACATCCAGAAAGGGATAGACCTGGAGAATGTGTCTCCTCTGGAGGACTCTTGGCTGAAGAACATTCTGAACATGGTGCCATGCCACCTGAAGAGCCTGTACACACCATTGGAGCTGCTGGTCGATGAGATCAAGGAGGACTACGCGCTCAGCGTCAAGACAGCAATCAGTATTTATTTTATTCAACCCAAAATCTTTGGTGACTGGATAATTTGCAAATCAGAAGAATGTTGTAAGAAAAATTGTTTGTTTTAATATCTTTTGTTTGTGATTTCAGTTAAATTTACATTCAGAGATTCAAGAGAAAGTGAAAAGGACAAAGTAAAAGATCTGCCCCCTCACAGACTTGAGTAAGTCAGCAGGATGTGATGGAGAATGTTGCATGTTTATCAGAAGTATATGGTGCCTCTACCTAAGCGTACTGTGTTGCATGGCTGTCATGACCAGGCCATACAGGCATTCCTTGTTTCCCTTGTACAAGGGAAACCTAGGACCTAGGTTTTAATAAGCAGTGACTGGAAGTCTATAGAATGATGAATCATATATTTTGGCAGAGTAAAAAAAGTTTGTTCTTCTCAGTCCCTCTGTTTCCCATCTTTCACTGTCAGACTGGAGGTATTGCCAAAACCATGGAACAAAGCCTTTGTTCAGGCACAAAAGAGGATGAGAGATAAGCTTCATTCTATCAACCCAACTATGCTGCAAGTGCTGTACCTTTGGCATGTCTCTTATAAGTAAGTATGCTGGATATATTTTTTTTTACTGCAGTTAAAACTCCATCCCATCTTAATTTCATTAAGTTTACTATGTTAACTAGAATAAAACTGAGTTTGACCAACTTTAGTCAAGTTAGCCTTTTAAAATATTGCAAATTGCAAGTAAATGCTGCTGTTTAATGGCATGGACAGAGACAGATCTTAACAAAGTGTTCAGTAGAGGAAAAATTGTGTTAGATTGATCATTTAAGATGTTTTCATACTTTCAGGTTTGTGGCACCAAAATATTATCTCATGTTGCAAATGCATGAAAATACTGTACGATTGCCATTATATTACGATCATCTTACCCTCTCGAATGACCTCCTTGCAGAAATGTCCGTCTGATAGATGTACAGGAGTTCTATAGCAGAGAGGAGTCCGTGGAGCTGTCTGTGTTTCAGCAAATTGTCACCAGACATGTTGATAATGCCAGAGAAATCCTCCTCAGAGAGTGAGTCCACATTATAATTTATCACCAAGATGCCTGTTCTCAGTTAAATAACCATTAGAATCAAAATTGCTTGTCTTTGTGAATTTGATGTACAGATGTGATGAATCTGCATTGAATAAAAATCAGAAGTACTTTTAAATACGAAAATTATATATTACATTATATTTCTACTACTCAGGACTTTAAGTTGTAAACAAAAACATTTTTAAGTTGCCATCAGTAAAATATGGCTCTTTAACAATAACATTGTTTGTAGCCATAGGAAGCCATTACATCAGCAAATATAGAACATGGGCTGTGTCTGAAACCACTCACTATTCCCTATATAGTCCACTATATAGTGAGTTCACCATTTTGTTGTGCATTCCAAATATATAGTGAGAATTATTATACTCTATATATGAACTCATAGTATCCCACAATACATTGTGAAAAGTAGTGTACAACCGATGGTTTTAACAAAGCAATATATACTGTCATGCATTGTGTTTGTGCTGAAACAAAGAAAAACGCTGCAGAGAAAATGACCTGAGTAGTGTCCCGAAGTGTTTTTTCTTTTTGCAGTGAGCTAGTCCTCTACGTAGAACTACCTAGATAGTGAGTAGGGAGCAGTGAATGGTTGAGTGATTCCAAACAAAACCATGTTCTCTTCCACAAACCCATATTTTAGTGCTTACAAATTTCCTGCATATCAGTACTCCATAATGTCTGTGAATGTTCTCATTCGTCCAGGTCATAGTTATCTCTCTTTCAAATTAAATCGAAGGCAACTGGACTTGTATTTGTCTGTGGAAGACGTTTCGCCTCTTATCCAAGCGGCTTCATCAGTTCATCATGTATTGGTCTCTCTAGTCCGCACTAGTCTGACCCAAACGGTCAGACTAGTGCGGACTAGTGCGGACTAGAGAGACCAATACTGTATTTGTCTTCCACAGATAAATACAAGTCCAGCTGCCTTCGATTTAATTTGAAAGAGAGAGTACTCCATAATGTTAAACCTGACCTTGTCTATCACCACAGTATTAATTATATCTACACAATATAATGAAATTGTATGCGTTACACATTACATTTGTCTATTTATTCCTGGATAAAATGACAAATGGATAGCAAGACAAGGTACAAAGATGAATGTAAAATGTTATGAAATTAGCTTTTATTGTGTTGCTTCAGGAAAGACATTAGCACGTGACTTACCTTAGCGACATTGTAAATAGTTTACCTTGCCAGCAAATAACCCAAACTCTGCATCAGCATAGAAGTTTTAATTTAAGTTTCCTTCACCTGTGACATTGGGGCCATCCTTGCATTAACACAAAGCTGGACTGGCTCTGCCCCTTTAGAAAGTATGTGATCAGCAGCTATTGAGGTAACAAGAGTTCAATCCAGTAGATGAAATACAGTGAAATACAATATCTTGTATGTATTATATGTCTGACATCTGCATGTATAGTTTGGGTATTGAGTACATATTAACATATTCCTTGAATATCATCTTAAAAGTTTAGATTTTTTTCTATTTTCTACACCAGTTGGATTCCTAACGTGCAAAACATTTACTACAACGGGTGCAGACGCAAGCTGGTTCCTGCCTCCAGCAACATGGCCAAACTATTATCTTTCTTCAATTGTGCAGCTGCACTGATGACCTTCCAGCTGCAGAGCCTTGCAATAGACTCAATGAGGGACTATACAAACCTAATTTCCCAAGACCTGGTAGGAAAAAACATAAAAAATTCAGGCCAGTACAGTATATTTCAGAAGAGTTGTACAGACTACAGACTGGAAAAAACTGATATCAATGAAGTCTAGCTTTTGACTTAGAAGAACAGGTGGACACTTTTAACGTTGATTTCTTTCTTTTTCCTTGGTTTGCTCTCCCCCATCGTAGCGATCAGAGCACCCAGGCTTTGTACTGCATCTGATCCTGGAGGACAGGGAGATCAAGTTTGATCCTGACTTCAAACTGTATGAGGAGGCCCTCATTAATGTCTATGAGTTCATGCTCAGGTCTATCAGCATGGTACCTCGTGTGGAGACCAAACTGTACTCTGAGTGGGTAAGAAGAAATGTGTCTGTGTGTGTGTGTGGTATTTACGAAAAACACACTGTATTATCTTTCCCATGCAGTGAATGAGAAAGACACAAAAGAGGTATTTTGTTCCTCAGTAATTATATAGCCTAGTGTTCATGCTCTAAAGTTTTGCAGTGGTTGCTAAGTTTTCCATGCCGTTATACTATTTGGATGCCCTATTCTGTATTTTTAAAATCATAGTTACTAATCATGGCATTGCATCCATTGTTTACTTGTACCACTGAACCAAAAACGTTGGTTATCTGCATGGATGTAAACCCTACTTCATATTGTTCTTAGCCAGGCTCCCAGTATGGGAGCATCCTGAAGCCCATCATCCTGCCAGAGATACTTGAGGCCCAGCAGGAGGAGGTGCGCAGGGTGTTCTGGGCTGAGTGTGTCAAGCCCAAGGAGTATGTCTGTGAGTATGATAAATACGCCTCGCTGGTATCCAGGCGGGCAGAGGAAGATGTGGAGCAGTTCCTCAGTGAGCAGCACTCCTTCCAGGAAATCATGGTAGAGGTGGTGCACTACCAGCAGCTTGCTGACCAGATCCAGTACACATCATGCAAGGTACTTCATCAGCACCAAAAACTACTATTCAATCGTCCATAACTAATATATGACATTCATATTTTAGACAGGCACCTGCTGTTGCTACAACTTGGTCACCCTTGTATAAAAGACAGGTCTGATATAAGGAAATGACAACAAAATCAGGCAACTTAACATTCAGTTGATTTTGAGCATTTAATGTGTAGATAGCTGATGTTTCTTGACTCTCTAAATCCAGTGATAGCTATTATTCAGCATACAACACTACCTATAAATCCTGAAAAAAGAAGCAAATTTAAAATCTCAAAAGGAACAATCTTTAAATCATAATGAATGCCTACAACTGATTATGTTTATTTCAAAATGTGTTCTATTATAAATGATATTTATTGTGTTACTGACCTACACTGCTGGGTTTAGGTGGTACGTCTCGGCATGTTTGAAGTCCAGTCCCATAAGCTCATCCACTCTCTCGTCAAGCTTGCTCAGGAGCTACAGCAGAGACTGATTACACGCATGCTACAGAACCATCAGGAACTCAACAAGAAGTCAGTTGGTTCATTGTTTTCACTTTTTTATTCATAGCATCCATCGTAGCAGGAGAATGTTCTCACCACATCCATGAAGACATTGTAAAATGCAGTTGAATCAAATAATCATTTTACAAAAATCAATTTCTATTTGACACATAAAACTGAAATGTGTGTAAAGCATCAAGCAGTATCAGAGTTAGAGAGAGTTCAGACCTTAGTTGGCCACTCTGGAGCCTCAAAATAAACACTAGGGCTCATCCAAGAACCACTCATATGAACAGATTTGTACTTAGGTGGCATGTGCAAGTGATTTAAGAGAATTTGTGACACTCACTGATTCTCCCACACTTAAATACAATTTTCAAAATTCGAACAAAATTCACGAATAGTTCCGACCTGTCAAACAAGTTATGAACAGATAGATTCTTCACAGGGGGAAAATACACTAATTTTACTTAAGACTTATACTGGTTTAATCTGAATGAATCTACAAGAAGATTTTAATATTTTGATTGGAATATTTTATCACAGCAGCTCATGCATTTCAGTAATAGAAAATTCTCTCACTCCAACAGCTGCCTCAGGGTCTTTACAGAGGTTGCTGTACAACAATCTTTCACAATACAGTGCTTTTCTGATGACATGTCATTATTTTGGATCCTTTAATATGACTACGGACTTGCTGATTTCTGACAGCAGACTTGAATTTCCATTGTGTGGACATTTTTTTACTGTATGACTTTTTTTGAATGAACCTTTCCCACAAACAAAATGTAACAGGCAGGGGTGTTGATTATGATCGTGATAAAATCTCACAAACATGCACCTCCTCATGAACAGATGGTATTCATCAGTCTGAAAGGAGTGATTTACATTTTTGCAGTGAAAACAGTTTGGTGAATCCAACTTGGAACACTTATACTAACAAGCCTCACAGAATTCTCAACACAATTTTAGTACAATATGAATACCAAAATATTCTTGCATGAGGTCCAAATTGCTGGTCACAGGGGGTGTATGGTAGAACCCTTTTTGGTTTCAGATCCAGAGTTAGCTGCTCTTGCCCAGTGGTGCTTCTTAGCTCCAAGCTGTGCCATAATAAGATTGTAAGTCTGTGAAACCCTTCATGTATGTCACTGAATTAATTCTCTCCCTCTTACAGGCTCTGTAATGAATTTGAGAAGATTGCAGAGAAGGCACTGAGCACCCCACCTGACACACAGAAACTAATGGAGCTTAAGGTAACTACCCCATATTCTTGTCACACAACCCAGCTTGGTGCAGTGTGCTATGTACAGTTGTCTCTCACACCTCGTCAGCAAAGCAGTTGGGGCTGGCATTTCACATTAAAAACCCAGTCAGTAATTATTGATTAAATGTAGCATTTTTGGTCTTTTCTTTTGGTGAAGGCTGCTTTTTGTTAAAGGCTGTTGTACTAACATAAACCTTATGCTAACGAAAGCCTAGAATATTTTTAATTCTAGGCTTTCTTTCTTTTCAATTTGTTTTTCATTATAAAATGTTCTTGTAGTGTAAATAAAATACTACACAACTTTGTGTTGTTACCCTGTGCCCCTATTCAGGCCTACATGAACAAAGTGGAGACCACAGAGCTGCCTATGTTGGAGCAAAGATTGGCAGACTCCAACACACAGTTGTGTTTCCTGATGGACTTTGTCACTCTCTCACCAATGGACATGAAGCTCAACACAGAGACCATCCAGTGGCTTAAGCGCATGCCATCCATCTTTAAAGAACACCAACAGATCATTACTGAAAAAACAGAGCAATATCAGAGTGGCCTCAAGGTCTGTGTTTCTTTATCTGTCAGTCTATCATTGTCTATTGAATTACTTTTTAACAGAATCTGGATATTTTTGCATCCAACTGTAGAACTTACCAATTAAATAGATAATGACAGGTTAAAGTGAAAAAAAGTTTCTTGCTAGAAAACAAAGTTTGTGTTTCTGTATGTACACTCATTCCAGTTGTGCCGTGAGCACTTTGTGGAGGAATTGGACAGCTATAGTGTACAGCTGGTGGAGTTTACCACCTTCGGAGAGCTGACGGATCTCAGCAAGTACTTGAAGAAAGCACAGGCCCTCAATGCTAAACTTGAGTTTGCCATGGAAAAGGTACATCAGGACTTTATTGCACAAAAATATATAGTTTTATATACTGGAATTAAGTGTAATTATAATTGTTTTCAAACCATTATATATCATATAACATATTATAGCATATAGTGTATTTGTTTTTAAGATCCCCCCTCTTTATTGTGTGATTCAAAGAGTATCATCTTTGATTTTATTTTACATTCATTGTACAGTGTATTGCATTGAATTGCAGTATGTGTATTTAAATATTTAACCTCCAGAGGGCAGCATTGGCTATAATAATAATTCAGTCACAGGAGCTGTAATAGGCTTCATCAGGTGTTTGTCATCCATACATTGACACATATTTACCCATCCATCTATCTTTTTTTTGTATGTCTTTGTTTATTTCTTTTCTCCTTCTATCCTTCCTTCTCTTCCAATCCTTCTACCATTCTGGAAAGATGAATGATTTTAACCTAGAGGAGGAGGCCTACGGCTGGCCTGTTTCCCAGTACCCAGAGCGTAAGAAGATCCAGGACAAGCTCACACCTTTTCTGCGCCTCTATGAGACAGCCACTGATTTCCTAAACCAGTACGAGCAGTGGCTCCATGGGCCGCTCTCTGGTGTGAACCCAGATAAGGTACTAGCAGTGGAAAATAATGACTTTATATTGCCTACACATCAAAAATTGGAGAGTTTAGAATCACAGAATCAAGGTCAGTAGAGCTCTGACTTTCACTATATGAACATGAAAAGACTTGACATTGACATCCTTTATCTTTATTACAGCTCTAGTACTGCTTAGAATGCCATCATACAGTCCCTGAACTGCGTTTATTAGGATGTTGTGGGATTACTAGGGAAACAGAAATCTGATTTGTAGTTGTGCCAATGATTATTATCCTATCGTGTTTGTTGTTTGAAGTCAGGGTACTGGATATAATAGATAACTTTATAGTTATTTACATGGCCATTCATGCAGTCACTGGAAAGACCTGACAGATTACAGAAATACAAAAAAATATGTTGGAAAACTATAAGTTATCCTGGTAAAGTTGTTACTGTGCAACAAACTAAGTTTAATTAGGCTGCCAATGAACTGTAATATGAATGGTCATGTTATGGGAATAGCATGTCTCAGCACTGTGACAGCCTGGAACAGTGTAAGCCCTTCTGAGGCAGTTTATAAAGAAAGCTGAATGTGGAAAGGCTGCTACCGTTCACTTTTCACACTTTTCAGATAATTCCACAAAGTTATGATGTGTTTGAAGGATGCAGGTTGGATGTATGATATTTTTGCTCTTTTTGTGATATTAGTGGTGCTCGAGCTCTGCGCCACGAGTGATGCATTATTAGGTCCTCTAACCAGTGAGTGACTGAGTACTGTCAACGTATGTAAGGAACGGTGAACCTGTTCTGCAGTAAAAACATTCCATTAGAGCTAGTGCCCTCATGGTGGGTGTGTGTTCCCATAGATCAACTGTGATTACCAGCGGTGACAGAGGAATGTGAAAACAAGGCTTTGAAATGTTTGTTTGCTGTATTCTTTGGATGCTTTGAAAGCTCTCTCCCTCTTCCTTTAAACTGTTAATATGTAAAGACCTTCAGAAGTTCAGCTTTCATTAACAGCAACAATTCAGGATTTTAAAAGCTGCTTCTTCAACACACACAGACACACACACACACACACACACACAAATGCCTACACACAAATTTATGGATAGCTTTTCTCCTTTGCTGTGTCCATATAACATTTGTGTGAAATGTTGTATCTCTTGTTGGATTTAGAGATGTGTAAATCTCTATGTCTATGTTTCTGAATATATCAATATGTTAAAGCAAGACAACTCTCTTTTTTATGACAGCCATTTTGTCTTCTCAAAGCATAAAAACCACAAGACAAGATATGAAAACACAAAGTGATATAAAGTCAGAGACCACTTCCCTCTTACTTGAATGGGAAAGTGGTATTTATATCCACGGCAAAAGTCTGCCCAAAAGTCTGAAACCATTTTCCCATTCAAGTGAATAGGAAAGTGGTGTTGTGTGTGTGTATGTGTGTGTGTGTGTGTGTGTGTGTGTATATATATATGTGTATATATATATATATATATATATATCTACTATATTATATACTGCATATATGCATGCTGCTCTAGTTCGTTACAGTTTCTTTATAATACAAAACCCCACCCATGTAGGTAGAAGGGGATGTTGGCAACTACTGGCGCACACTATACAAGCTGGAGAAAGGCTTCTCTGAAATTCCCAAAGCCCTGAACATAGCCACCACTGTGAAGGCTAAAGTGGAGGACTTCAAGGAGCACATTCCTATGGTGCAGGTATGACCCAAACAGAATACTTTATTATCTACAGAAATCACAATAACATTGATTTTAATAAATCTTAGTTTAAACTGATATATCGTTCTACTAGAAATCTTTGTACTGCTCTTGCGTGCTTCATAGGTATTGTGCAACCCAGGCCTGCGTGACCGCCACTGGGATACCATGTCTGAAATGGCTGGCATCTCCCTAGGGCCACCTGATGACCAGGCATGTGTGGCACACTTCCTATCTATGCACCTGGAACAGCACCTGAGCAGCTTTGAAGGTATCAGTGAGGCGGCCAGCAAGGAGTACTCCCTTGAGAAGGCCATGGAGAAAATGGCCAGTGAATGGGGTGACATGGAGTTCAGCCTCCTGGTGTATCGAGAGACGGGCACCTCCATCCTGTCATCTGTGGATGATGTCCAGATGCTGTTGGATGATCATATTGTGAAGACACAAACTATGAGGGGCTCACCCTTCATTAAGCCTTTTGAGGTGGAAATACGGTAAGAAATAACAAAGTTTGCTTAAAAATCATTTTGCTTTGCTCGTTTGGAAAAGCAACTCACTAATATTATAAACTAAGTACATAGGAAAAAATTCTATAAACTCGCTGTTGAGCTACATTCAATACATAGACATTATAGGTCTAACAAACAGAGATGTATATTCATAGATTCTGAAACTGACTGCTGAATAAAAACTCCACAACATGTGGATTAATTAATGTACCTACTTACCCACAACCATGCCACCAGAGATCAGAGGACCTTAAATTGTTTGGAGAGAGTAATAAAAGGTCTATGTTAAAGTTTTAATTTGATACATCTGATTCTTACTGATTTAGATATTGCTAAAATCCTTCAATATTCTGCCCCACTCTGCAGAGGTCAGTGAGTCTTTCTCCCATGGCATCTGAGCTGGAGCATTTAAATTTGTAGAACAAAAACCTCTTCCTGAAGACCCAATTTGTTTGTCTGTCCCAGAATTGTACTTAAAATATTCTGCGCAAAACTTAAAAAACAGTGGTTTCAGTTGAGAATACTGTATAATTCATTCATTACTTTTCACTTTTTTCTTTATCTCCCTCTGAGTTGGGCAAATAATAAAAATTCCTCATCCTCTATAATTTCTGAGATTGTTGCTGCCAGGCACAGTTTGACACGAGACTCCCTGTAACTTTTAAAAATCTATTGTGCATTTTTGGGCAGGATGCTAAAGCAGTTACTGCAATGCCAAGTTTTTGTTAATTTTTTTTTTTGTAATATCACATGAAAACTTTATAATCCCATTATCTAGCATGGTGGGTGGAAGATGTTACTGCAGTGAGGATAAAGAAATCAGTTTGTCAGTATTCTGTACAAGGTGCTACCTGAGCCAATCCCATTATTCACTTGCTTGAACTAACTACATAGCATAGGATATCTGGCATTAAATGCAAAATATAAATATATATCTACTGTTCCCAAATGCCTTTCACCTCTGTGGAGTGATAATAATTAGAGGGTTCTTGTTCTTCCACAGAAGGGAGAGATTGATTTTGTTGAATGGAAAGCCTTGTAAGCCTTATTTTCAGTAGCTAATCAGTCACTTGAATTTCTTAAACCTTCTTGATATGGTAAAAACAGCAGATATGTGTGTTAAGTGATATAACTTATGATTTGTATTCCTATCCGCACGTTGTCATTTTCTCTTCTAGGGAATGGGAAGATAAGTTGCTGCTCCTCCAAGAGATCCTGGATGAATGGTTGAAGGTACAGTCCACTTGGCTTTACCTTGAGCCCATATTCAGCTCCCCAGACATCATGACTCAGATGCCTGAAGAGGGACGCCGTTTTACAACTGTTGACAAAACCTGGAGGGAAAACATGAAACAAGTTTCCCTGGTAAGTTGTTTGATTTCATTTTGTTTTGTTAAGATTTTGTTACTACATCAGGATGCAATAATGATTAAGGAGAGGGGTTTGACCATAAAATTAGCTTTTTCTTGGGTGGATTGGTTGATCACTATCCAGAAGAAGAAATCAGGAGGAGGATCTATTTTTCAGGGCAGATATTGCCAAGATAAGAGGAGTGTATTTCATTACTGACAGGATGACAATCATAACTATAAAGGGAACTACAGTATATAAATCACATATGTCAGAAATGACCATGAATGGTAATAGGTTTAGAATAAAGTACATTTTAGTGGGGTCTTGAAGGTTAGGATTGTGAGGTTGCATCGCTAAGAGTTTTGAAAATGTTGACAAATATTATAATAACTCATCTAAACATCTACTATAGAGGAACAAAAACCCTTCCCCAAAGTCCTATGTACGCAGACATCTACTGTCATACAACATCTAAGCAGAGTAATAGGGCTGAGCGAAATATCAAAAATATCAACATCAATATAGCTGATACTATTATGTTGAAAATATAAGAAATGGCTATATTCATCATATTAAATATGTGCAATATTAGCTAAGCAGGTCTCTCTCTCTCTTACAAACACACACGCACGTGCACACACATGCCACTGTCCCAACATCTGCCTTGTCAGTGCATGGTGCTGTAGCAAAGTTCATCACTTTCCTACACTCAGGCCTAACTCTTAGCATCATAAAGCTCCCATGTTCCCAAAGCTCAGCCATTTGGCAAGAACAATACCTCTGTCTCCTGGCCCTGAGTTCCCCTTCTGAAGGGTGTTTAGCACCAGCGGTAACCTTGTGACCTGCCACAGGGCATCCCTGAAACCAGACACTGTTGACAGGCTGATGCTCCTGTCACAAAACCTCCAGTAGAGACTAGAAAAGCACAGTGCAAATCTTCTCTTAAATTGCGCACTGTTTTTGTTAAACTTATTTTTATTTATGTACTGCTTTCATACTTTATAGCAAGATGCATGCTGCGTGTGCAATTGTCTTAAGTTAATACTACTTGTATAGTTAGATATTTCCAAGTGAGATATACAGTATGCTGTGTTTTGGTGTTACAAATAAATTCTGATACTTTAACATTATCCTTTGGTAAAGTTTTCATCGTATTGTAAATTGCAACTTGCCACAAGATATGAGTTTTTCAGCCATATCACCCAGCCCTACAGAGTTCAAAGAGAAGTGGCCTTCTCCTATTGGCTGCCTTTTGTTTCCAGGAATCATTTGATAGAGTGCAACAGTTAGTGAAATCACTGGACTCCAAAGACCAGCCAGTAGTGATTGGCCAGAACACTAAATCGCCCTTAACCCAGAAAAAAAGTTATATTTTGGTTGGTTGTATGGTTTGCAAGACTATGCCTGTTGTAATTGTAATTTTGAGTTGTCACTCATGAAGAAAGTACCCTTGTTAGATAAACACAAAATATAAGTAATCTACCTCTAAATATTTAGGACATACACAATCTTCTTAATAGTTTTTATCACCAACTCAATGTAAACTGGTTTAACAGTAACCAAAGGGATAGGTAAAGTTACACACAGTAACATACATGCCAAAAAAAAAAGAAACAAAGTTTCGGCCAATTAAATCTTGGTTGAATAGGAACGCCTACAATCATCCAAATGATGTATTGACTGTACAGAGCAATTTCCTACAGAATGTTTGTTGTGTTGTAATAATTTCTATTTAGTGACATGCTCCAAACCATGAAAGTTTGCCGGTCATGTCAGCAGAGAGCTGGTTTTAATGTTCAGACACAGCAAATAAGGTAAATCTGAAAATCCTTTTCTTATAACTTGTAACACAGTCAGGAGTCCTGTGGCTTGAACTGCAAATACAGATCTAAATTCAAGTATGACACACACAGCTCAGGCCTGGTATATTGCAAGGTAGTGTATTCAAACAAATATGAGATTGTCTACTATAATCAAACGAAAATCATTACACAGCTCTGACTTGTATCAGCATAACCCTGACTATAGGTGGAATAAAAAAACAAACTCACAAACATTCTCAACAGTGAGAGTGACAGCACAGGGTGAGAGTGACTAGAGTAGAAGGAGGGGCACAGAAATATATAGCAGAGGCAGAAAAGAGTATTTAGACAGAGCTAGGTAGGAAAAGACAGAGCAGGGAGAGTAGGGGAATAAGGAGGAAAAGGATTGAGAGCAAGACAAAAACAACAAAACGAGGATAGAAAGTGAGTGTTGCACCAGCCTCCTCAAAGAGTTTCCAAAGGGTAATTGGCGTCCTCAGTAGACCTGAAATGAGACACATCAATTTCAGGCAGTGTCCTCCAGAAAGCCCAGGCTGACTGCACCATCAAATAGAAATTATGGATTTTGTCTGGAAGGGGCAGGGCTGTACTGAGCCACAAAGAAAATGAGGTCACCAAGGGACAGGGAGCCTACACACAGAGATGAGCATGCATACTGTCTAGTCTAACGTGAGTTGTGTGCAGTTATGGAGCATGTTGGCAGAAATGTTGGTACTATAATATGGCCCTATTTCTTATCAAACTTTAGTTAAGTTCAGTGAAGTTAATTCAGTGTATGCATACAGTGTATGCACACTAGGTAATCACATACATTCTGTCAGCGTTCAACTTTTCAGATATTTTCATGTAAATATACAATTAAACCTACAGATAAATTAACAGGGACTATATACTGTATAATTTAATGGATGATTGTATTATATTTCAATAAATATTTATTTATTTAATCAAAATCATTTAAAATGTAAAGACCATACAATATTTAAAATACTGGTACTGGTGATTCTTTTTTAAAACATGGATCCTTTTGTGTTATTGTGTCATGTTAATGTACTAAGAACAAATTTATAGCACATTTGGTTTAGTTTTTTTCTCTCAATAGTCTCTTAGAATAACCTTTTAATGCACATCCAAAACAGTTACCTAATTCCTCCAGGTAAGTTGTAACCTGTTGCTCTCTCTCTCGGTGTATTAAAATACCCACTCTGCTCTTGCAGCAATGAGAAGCCATTAAGATCCTGAACTCACTGGTGACTACTCTACGAGAAAGACTGCACACTTGATATAACATAATGCCAATACTTGATCACTATTTAGTTTTTTAGTGTTAAGGAAGATGTGAGAACAATCTGATGCACAACATGTTAACATTAATGAATTTGAGGACCAAAAACTGAGACCCTTCACAAATTTTTTTAAGGATGTCCTTAAAAATGATTGTGACTCAACAATCACTTGTAGTTGTATGTATAGTGGTGTGCTCATTGACCTTGTAGTTCCTTGAATTACTCTACAAATATAATATGAATATAAAAAAAGTAATTTTTTTCCTTGATGCTAAGTAAGTTGCGATTCTCCGAAAGGAACTTCAGTGGTCATTTGGACGCAGCAGTTAGAAATTTATAAAGACATTTCTAACCATTTATTCTGGAACTGTAAGAAGACCTGCTTCCTATAACTTGAAAATTGTCTGAGGGGGAAAAATTCACACTGTTAACATCAGAGTTTTTGATGATTTTGATTTGATTTGAGTTTTTTTCTATGCCTCACTTGAGCTGAGTTTCTAACTGTCAATCTCTTGAAACCTCACATGAATAATTTAAGTCTCTTTGGGAGAGGAATCCATCAAAACATATTGCTTTACAACTTAATTGTCATGTCTGTGTTATAGGGTATCTCAGAGTTGGGATAGCACCTAATTAAAGAGGTGCACAGTTTTTTTTTTTATCACAAAATCAAAAAATGAATAAACAATGAATATGATTACAAGGCAGTACAAAATATATATGTGAAATATAAAGATTCAGAAACTAGAACACAGCCTACTTTTTACCAGAAGTGGCCTTTAATTAACCTGAGAGTGATTCTGATAGGGGTTTTTGTTGTCTATACAATGAATGGCTACCAATGTGGACCAGTAAATACTCTCTTCATAAAATTAGTTGGAAAATTACCTTTTGTAGTTATATATCCCTGATGATGTATGATGATCCCAAATGATAATTGTGGGAATCCTAGATCTACTTGCCCCCCAGGACATTGCAACAATGTTAATTCTCAACCCCAGTTATTTGTCTAAATAATTTTAGAAACAGAATTGATAATGTGTTTTGTATCGTTAATCTACATTTTAAATATGTTCAACTAGTGATGGGAAATATACCACTAGTAAAAGATGAATTATTGTGGAAAGTAAAATTCTAGCAAAAAATTATGTCTTCTTCTGAAAATCTTGCAATTTTTAAAGTTAATGATTCTAATTCACCACACCATGTAGACCAGTAATAGGAAAAACATGCCCCTGCATAGGCATATACTGCATCAAAATCTGACAAATAACACTTTCCTTCACCTCAGCAATAGCATTGGTCAGCAGTGCATAAAATTGGAATCATCTCAACTCCATAATACTACAGAACAGTGTAATCTAAAAGGCAGGCTAGGAGCTCTCCTACCCAAAAATCACACTAGGGTGTGTTGCTTTGCCCAAGCAACCACTGGGAGCTGCTCAAGATCCACTGATCTTCCAGCACCTTCACATTTCAACTTCATTTTCCTCCACTTTTTTATTTGCTGTCTGCTTTAATGTGTCATTTATCTACTATTGCATGCACATTTGCAGATAAAACGGCCAAATCAATTTAAAAGACTTATTTCAATGAACCTGCTTGCTTTTAACTACGCAGCACGCTACATCCTTGCCCCCTCTAATAAGCTCAGAGAGGGAGAAACAATTGACCCTCTAGTGCTCATGGGGAAGATGACTACCATATTGTTTACTAATAGACTCATGGATTCACCCGCTAATACCACAATGATATTCAGTAAAATAATGCCTCATTGAATATTACACTCACCCTTTTGACAGTATATTACTCTGCAGAATGTGCCTTGAACACACAAGACATTTTATGTTGTGGATGTGTGCTGTGGATCATTCGAAAACAAAGGAAAATACTTCTTTACGTTTCGTTTTTTCACCACACAGACTGCAATCCCTCTATATCAGCTATGGACAGTTTGTGTCCCTCGTCTGTATCTGCATAAAAACTACATTATCACACATAATACATGCATTAGGGCATTGTTATCCCTTCACTGTGCTCATGGATAGCTCCTGCTGGCAGACTGAATACAAAAATAACTCTTATTATATTGTCCTTTTCAAGAATAAGCAAAAATCACAAGCCTGATGAAATCAAAAAAAAAAAAAAAATCTACAAAAAGCTAGAATCTCAGTCCATCAGTCAGACACCCTTTGCCAGTGTAATTGTATGGTTCAGTGAAACACAATCAAATCAGGCCTTTTCTCTGTGTATCTAGTTCCTCAGCTTGGCTAATGACCTTGTTCATTTGATTTAGCCTTTAAAATGAGTGCCAGACATTGTATCTTAAGTTTTTTTTACTGACTACTACCTCATAAAAAGCAATCTAACATGGTTTTAATCCAAATTATTTATCATTACTTAAATTATATGGTGAGCCCTAAGGGAAAAAAGTGCCTTCACTGCAGTCATCATAAGAAATCAGAAATGATTATCTCATTCTGTATAGCCTTTGCAATTCCACAACATTCTCTTGAACAGAGCTTGAGGAGATTAAAAGTGCCTTTCAATGGCTGTGTCTCCTTTTAATGGACAGTGACCCTGTTACAAAGCAAAAACTGCACCAAGTCAAAGCAGTGTGATACTGTTTATGCTCTTTTTTGTTGCTTTTCCAATAACATTGATTTAGCTCTAGATTTTTCCAGATCATCTGTTACTGTAAAATTATTTGTGTTAGCCACTCTACTGAACATTGAAGATCTATTTCTTTACAGCTATATTTTTGATATGTGGATTATTTTGCCTGAACATTACATGTTGCATGTTGCTAGGAGATACACAGGAGATACTAGAAGAAATTTTTGGACATCCAGTTGTTTATAGCTACGAAGCAAAAACATGCTTAAGGAAAATTGATCATTCATCAAAGATGAAATTACATCAGTATTTGGAGGCTACCTATTCAACTATGTCATCTATTTCCCTTACATGCTGCTAAACCTGAAAAAATCTACTATAATTAATAATGATAATTATTAATGTTATTAGCCATCGTTATTATTATTATCAGTTACTATTTTTATCAGTAGGACTACTACAGTTGCCATTACATTACTATTGCTGTTACTACTGCTACTATCACTATTATTAATATTGCTATCATTGCATGTTCTTGTTCTTTTCCTCTGTGCTCTCTCACTCTCTCTCTCTCTATCTATCTCTCCAACCCAACCGGTTGAGGCAGATGGCTGCCCACCCTGAGTCCAGTTCTGCTCGGGCTTTCCTTGCCACTGTCACCTAGTGCTTGCTCTTGGTGGGAATTGTCGGGTCTCTGTAAATAATATTATAGAGAACGTCTAGACCTGCTCTATTTGGAAAGTGCCTTGAGATAAATTATGTTGCGAATTGGCACTATACAAATAAAAATTTGCGTGACTTGACTATGTGTGATTTAATTTAAAAAAAAACAGCGTTAAAAGACAGAAATAAGAAAGGCATGTTCCTATGTTACTCCACAGTAGCTCAGCATTATGCTCCCTCCTGCATTTTATTTCGTTTCCATTCAGAGGACAATATCAGGCTGTGCACTTCATTTCAGAATCACCAACGTTTTCATATGAACAGATTTAGCATATGAGCATTTTCATATGAGCAGGTTCAGGCATTCAGTGTCCAACCTTGAAGATTGGATAGACTTTTTATTTAGGCACTTCCTGGGGCTGACAGTTCCAGAGGATATTGAATTAGTGTACAGATGAGATGATATCAGAGCTGAAATATTTCATAGGTGCTAGACAGGCCTCAGGTAAAATCTCTATTACTGTCCCATCACAGATTTTTCCTGGGCGCTCTGTGACAAGTGGGCCTCACTGTGAAGCACAGAGTGGATGCTGCTAAAGGAAGATATTGCAGTTTTTTTAGTGTTACCTTCAAGGCAGCAGTGACAACACTGCACCACTGGAAAAATATGAACAAAACAAACCATCTTTCTTTCATATGTCTTCTTGATAAACAAACAATGTACAGTATGTTTTAGATTTTATTTATATCTTGGAATTAAAATGCGTGTGTAAGTGTCCAAAGACACTTAAGTGCAACACGTATCAATGTGATGCAGAGAATTGTGTCATTCACATACATCAGTTGTTATAGAAGTAGCAGCCATGGTACAAAAGTAAGAATGTGCCTATCTGGGGGGCCAATGTGATAAAATTGCTGCTTTTTTTGTAGAGATAGTGGCCTTGAGTGCTTCATTGGAAAAAGATTCAAAGTCCGAAGATGCCATGGAAATAGATATTTTATTAGCACCTGTGAAAAACTCAGAGAAAGCTCAAACAATGGAAACTACTACTAGGAAAAAAATTAGTCTACATGGACCTAAAGAATGTCAAACATACCCATTCGAGTATTTCAAATATATGTGTATGCATTGTTTGATGTTGGTGATGACAATAAAATGGTCCATGTTGGTTTTTGACATGAAACTATTGTTGAGGTAAAAGTGCTTGACCAAAGTGATTTTTTGCTGTAAACACTATTTTCTCCTCTCTGTGGTAGGACAAGCATGTATTGGCAGTGATAGGCATCGAAAAGATGCTGGAGAGGCTGAAAAAGTCCAATGAGCTTCTGGAGATGATCCTCAAAGGTCTGAATAACTACCTGGAGAAGAAGCGTCTCTATTTTCCTCGGTTCTTCTTCCTGTCCAATGAAGAGCTGCTGGAAATCCTCTCTGAGACCAAAGACCCCACAAGGTAAACAAGCAGAATATGCCCACAATCATAATTATGTGTTATTATATTAATCATTATCCTTGATTACAATTAAAAGCATCAGCTGTTGTGTGTAGTTGGTATACCCTGAGTGGTGGTGGTGGTGGTGATGAGCAGCACCATAGTTAGTTTTCAGTTCACTCAACATCTATTTAGAACTATAAATAATAATAAATAAACTTAAACTACAACCTAAACCAGTTTCTGTACCACACTATGTAGCGAAGGAAATGGTGAAGACTTAAAGATTCAGACAGAGATTCAGCACGTGAAAGGAGCAAATCTAGAAAATGAAATAGAACTCAATTATGGCCTTTGAGAAACTGATGTTAGGGCTGGGAAATATTCAAGCAACAATTGGATTTTATTTACCACCACTGTGTTCCCCCAGAAGCCAAGTCCTCACTGATAACCAACTTCTGTCCCATTTCACTCAGGTCGTTTGGTTAAATGTGAATCCAGACAAAATATGTTCCAGCCTCTTACTTTCTCCCTGCTTTCTATTTCTACTTTCGTTTTCACTCTGCTATCCCTCAATTTTCTCTCTGACTGCTGGGATGCGTGTGATTTTTTTTTTTTTTTCAGAATTTGAGTTATTGGTCACTGCATTGTTAGACTAACAATGTAAGAGGACTCTTTCTCGTAAAGATTGAGACAGGGCTGATGTAAATCCTCAACAGTAAAGTCTATCTTTAATGGGAGTGCATGGGGAAAACTGGCTTTAGCCAGCAGATGGTGCCGGCAGAAGAATAACACAGTGTCCTTGCTGAGTCGTTATCTTTTGGGGGTATAAAGAGCTGTTGTCTGTTACTTAGAACTAAGCTTGATCTGAACATATCCACTGTACCTATGTCATGCTTCTCTGGTGCCAGACTAAACCAGTCACCAGTTCTTTCCAAAATAATCTTATCTTATCTTAGTCTTATCTAAGGGTTCACTTACTTGCAATTTTTCTTTTTTTTGAGTTGTAAATTTCTGAAAAACTACTGAAAAAACTACCATGGTAATTTGCCAGTGATGTAGTTATCTCATTAACCCTAACCTCTAGTAGTGGTAGTGAAGTGGAATTGCAGCTATGTTCAGGGCTAATTGTCGTATAACATGGAACCTGATTTTAAAAAAAAAAGGAAGACTGGGGACAGAATGTTGTTTTTTCATGCTTCATGAAAAAGCATATCCCCCTATATTTCACAGTAGGGGGACAGGCATTCAAACTGAGTGCATCATTATTTTTTTATATAATAAATGCACATTTTAAAATCATTACCAGCCACAAACAGCATGGACACTCAGTATAGATGTGGACTAACAAACCACCCTCACTGTAGGGCCACCTTTAACAAGTAAAAAGAACCCTATGGTAAGAATAGTGAATATTAAAGCATCTTTTAATTTATTCAGATAGTATTTGTACAGTTTTTGTGTTACTCTCAAGTCTTTCACGCTACTGTCTTGAGCTCTATTTTTTTAAGCGCAAGAGAATATCAGCATCCATCCCATGTCCATTTCTTTTTTATATAAACAGGAGAACTGACTCAAACCAGAAATGGTTATTTTCTATAAACAGGGGCTTATGTACTGTAGCAGCAGCAAAATTTGTCTTCGGGATATTGATCCTCATATACTGATAACTTGTGACAGTTGTCTGCGTGGCTGTGCAGTGAAAACTGCACATAAGCTGGACATAGGCTTCAGTACTTATATGGCCATTGTAGTTAGCTGCATTGGTTTAAATGGAAATAGATCAGTGTTACAAGATGTCACTTCCTATTTCAAACATTAGATCAGATATACTACAGTGTATATATACTAGCGATATTAGAAAATACCATAGTGATTCCATTTTCTTGCCTTTCTCTGCTCCAGGGTGCAGCCCCATCTGAAGAAGTGCTTTGAAGGCATCGCTAGTGTGGTGTTCACTGATGTGCTGGACATCACTCACATGAAGAGCAGTGAGGGTGAAGTGGTGCAGCTGCTGGATATCATTTCCACCTCCAAAGCCAGGGGGCAGGTGGAGAAGTGGCTTCTGGAGCTAGAGAATGGCATGATTGCCTCGCTGCATAAGGTGTTGTGTGAACTGTTATTGCACTTTATTGATTTTTCACTCATATACACGTCCAAGCAAATACATGTGACCAAAGTTGAGCCTGCACAATCAAGGCCTCCCCTAATGTCCTTTCAGCTATCCTCCATGATGCAGAAACCTGGTACTAAAAGTCTCTGTCCCTCCATTTTAGGTAATCGGTGAGGCAATCCAGGCATACCCCAATGAGTTGAGGATAAACTGGGTGCGTGCTTGGCCAGGCCAGACTGTGCTGTGTGTCTCACAGGTCTATTGGACGAAGGACATCCATGAAGCCATCAGTTCAGGACAGAGGGTGATCAACTCTATATTGTATTTGTTTACAGTTTGTACAGTATTGTCATTACATTCGAGAAACAGTTCAGAAACAGATCATTTAACAACATCCAATGCTATTTTGAAGGTATGTCAAGAATCCTTAAAGACTCCTCTAACTATTTGGATAGAAAGATAGCCCATCCTCTTTGCTTACTATTTCTAAAGTTTGGTTCAATTACTTCAAGATCTTTTTATTGTGCAGCAGACACTTTATTTTGTTTTTTAACAAAATAAAGTGTCTGCTGCACAATAAAAAGATCTTTAAGCGCCACAAGCAGCCCTTCATGTTTTGCAGAAACAATTAAATTCTGTAGTTCCGTGATGTCTGTATGTGTCGAAGCTGTAACCATGGTAACAACTGGTATCTGAAATACATCATCTACAGTACACTCTGATGTTGCATGATGCCTGTATCAAAGTTGTAACCATGGCAGCATACACTGTGCAGTATACAATCTCCTCTGACAGAGGATGAGAAACACTCTAAACAAAAGATTTAAAAGGTTCCCAAAATGAGGTCAACACAGTCTGATTACTCTTGGACAAACTGTGAGACAAACAGATTACCTCTCAATGAATTTGTTACTTAGAGTAATGACTTACCCGGTGGCACTACCTCCAAGCTATTATCTAGAGTGTTTCAAAGCACTTTGGCTTTAAACACATAGACAAAGGTGAATATGGGTTGAACAGCTGGTGTGAATGAGAATTACAAACTGTAACATGTCTTATTTAGTTCATATAGCCAGCAGAGTTTTATAAAGGTGCACAGGGAAGTCCTATATATAATATACCTCAAGACACAACAGTTTGTTTCACTTCATAGGGTGAAGATCATGCCCAGCCAGCAAAAGCAGTTGTGTGATGTCTTTCTCGTAGACATCTCGACAGTGATAGACTTGATAGCTGTGCAGGGTTTAAACTTGTGACCTTCAGTTTATAGATGGGGCCTTGATAGCATCCCCTCTCTGTCTTGATAAACTCCAACATGCTCTGCCTTCTGTTTAATGATGCCTCTCTCCCTCAGGCCCTAGACGCCTACCTGGAGCAGAATAATAGACAGATTGACGACATTGTGGCACTTGTACGTGGCAAGCTCTCCAAGCAAAACCGCGTTACCCTCGGAGCCCTTGTTGTGCTGGACGTTCATGCCAGGGATGTGCTAGCTGTGCTGGTGCAAAAGGGAATAAATGACGAGAATGACTTTGAGTGGCTTAGCCAACTACGCTACTACTGGGTGGTAGGTGGAATGGGTAGATTTGGTACAAGTCTTTAGGGAGCCATTCGGCCCACAATGATAACTAAAGTTAATGATTCAATTATTTATTTCATTCATAATTAATACTAAGTGATTGACCTCAAAATTCTGCATCACACCTTCTGCAGGAAAACCACCTCCAGACCAAGATGATCAATGCTGGTTTGCCTTATGGTTATGAATACCTCGGGAACACACCACGCCTGGTCATAACTCCTCTCACTGACCGCTGCTACCGGTAAAGCTTCTATACACCCACCCTCAACAGTTCACTGTCTGCTTTTTTCTAAAGTTTATCTATTTGCTAGTCCCTGTGTTGAAGTGCAAAAACTGCCCACATTACAGTATGAAGAATAAGGTGGTTTTGGTTTGTTGGAAAAGCCTTCCACTCAGAAACTGCCACCTTTTACAACACAGCTTTAAAAAGTATTGCTCCAGTGAGGCTCTCAGAACATTTCACTAAACTTTTGTCATCAAGCTGGAGTGGACATATTCTGACATGTTCCTGTTGATAAAGATAGTGAATACAATGAGGAAAATCATACTTTATCTAAAATCACATTCTACGCTTTGTCCTGTCTGGTCATACTCTTTCAGCACTTTGTTTGGTGCCCTCCACCTCCATTTGGGGGGGGCACCTGAGGGCCCAGCTGGCACAGGAAAAACAGAAACAACCAAAGACTTGGCTAAAGCTGTGGCCAAGCAATGTGTGGTCTTCAACTGCTCTGATGGACTGGACTATATTGCTCTGGGCAAATTCTTCAAAGTGAGTCATTCTCTAACTATGACTTAATTAATTTCCTCTACAACTAGTCACACCTATAATTTAAATTTAAACACTCATAGACTTTTGAAAGCATACTCACTTATTGAAACAACACACACAGTGAAACAGTGAGACACTAAGCCTTTTTCCTACACCTAAGTCAAAGCAAGCACAAAAAAATCTTTTACTTCTAATAATTACTTAATTAAGTAGATATCCCCACATACTTTTGCTCTCTTCTCTGATGTAAGTGTGCCAGCACAGATACATCCACCATACAAGCATAACTAAGAGCATTTAAAAAAAAGTATGATAATAGAGAATGACACAGGGGTAAAAATCCACTCTATTTTTATTTTCTCTTCTCGCACAACGGAATACAAACATTAAAATATCAGTCTATACACCACTACAACCTGTCCTCACAAATACAGGATAATGTAGGGCGGTGGTACAGGTGTATTTGCGCACCATTATGCAAATCAAATGTATGCAGTCATTTCCACATGTAGTCCTGCTACAATTTCCTGGTACCAGAAGTGTAGAATATTAAGGTTTGTCCTTTCAAAAACAGCACTCCACTGCACTGATAGATCAGGGGGCCTTGTTTAGTGCCCCCCAGTACTGCTGCAGTTGATCAGTCAGCCAAAAAAGTCACACTTAGTGATGCAAAACAAACCTCCCATTTTTGTTTACAGTGAAATTGCTTACACCCTGCTAAAATGTCCTCCCACTTGCTCTACTAAAATAGCTCACATACACAGGCAAAACTTACTCATACTTGCTATTTAAATTTGTATTGGTGATTTCTGTGTGTATGTGCATTGATGTGTCTGTGTGATCAGGGCCTTTTGTCCTGCGGAGCTTGGGCCTGCTTTGATGAGTTTAACCGCATTGACTTGGAGGTGCTGTCTGTGGTGGCTCAACAGATTCTCACTATTCAGAGAGGTTTGTGCTTTTTTTTTGACATTTTGGCTTTCTTTCCCTTTGATTCTTGTGTAAGCTGGCAGTGTACCAGAAACAAATTTGGCGTATTCTCACCAGTAAAAAAGCTTTAGAAACTTTAGACTACAAAGAGGTGTAACATGGAGCTAAGGCTATTTGTGTAGGCTGGCCAGCAGGACTTCAAGCACAGCTTTGTTCACTGCAGCACAACAACATATCCTATGGGTGCTATGAGCATTGAATGACTTGCGTCATAAGATACAAGGGCCAAGAGGCCATACGGATTTTTCTTAGCCTGTAACTGCTAATAGGTTTCTGTTACTTAACTGCTGCTACTACTATTTTATATTGTTGTTTTTAGATCAGGAGTTTTTCCTTATCTGAATTATGGATCAAGAGTGTTGAATAGAGGGCTGTAGGTTTTAATGTAAGACTTTTTAAAACTTCTATCGATATGTGCGCAAGCCCATGACATGTCTCTGATGGGCATGTGCATTTGTCATGTGATATGGCATACAGGTATGGCTGACATGGCATCTACAGATATAGTCCTCAGGGCGTGCTCATTACAAAAAGTGTCCAAAGAAGCAGCAATCCAAAACTGCAGTGGGAATAAAGAAATGAGAAGAAATCTTATCAGACATACACATAGCTATAGGTCAATGCATACCATGTTGTAACTGTATCTGTGTATCCAGGAATTTCTGCCCATGCTGAGATGCTGATGTTTGAAGGAACAGAGCTAAAACTGAACCCCTCCTGTGCTGTGTTCATTACTATGAATCCTGGCTACGCTGGACGCTCTGAGCTACCAGACAACCTCAAGGCACAGTATCAGTTCTTGGGCATTCCTTCTATTTTAAATGTCTATTCTAAACTATAATTTTTGCAATACATAGTTGAGGAGTTGAGGGAGTTGTTTCTCAACTAAAAGTAGTTCAAAATATAGACCGGTTTTATGCTTTCTCCAAACTTTACTGATTTAAAAAGTGCTGAAATAAAACAGGAAATATCATAACTTTAGAACTACTTCAGGTCAAAATGTTTTTGAACATAAAGCATGTTTCCATTTAGCAAAACTGTCTCTTTGCACCAGGCTCTGTTCAGGACTGTGGCTATGATGGTACCGGACTATGCAATGATCGCAGAGATTGTGCTCTACTCGTGTGGCTTTGTGACTGCACGGCCCCTGTCGGTGAAAATTGTGGCAACCTATCGACTCTGTTCGGAGCAGCTGTCCTCACAGCATCACTACGACTATGGGATGAGAGCTGTCAAGTCTGTGCTCACTGCTGCTGGAAACCTCAAGGTATCAAAACAGAGTCACTTTGATATGATGGAATTTTTTGTTGTTTATCTGAATATTTTCCCCAAAAAATAATTCCAGTCTGTTGCAGCATAACCATGCTGCCACTATTTGTTTTTCAATTTTTAGATGTCCCACACTGCTATTGTGACATTTTTTAGAATTTAAAGATGATTTCTTTTCAGGGAAGTAGAACAATCTTTGATCATAGAACAACAGTAAGAAGAGTGCCTAATTGGGGTGCAACAATTTCTCAACTCTTGCTCACTGTGTTGCTGAAAGTAGAGCTGAGCTAGCCAAAGGAAAACAAGCACATAGCTGAGTGTAATCTTGCCTCATCCTCAAAACAGATTTTGGTAAATTTTTAATGCAGAGGAAGCACGTTTGTTTTAATACATATTACATTTTGCTAGTATTGTGATATTATTTGGATTGTATGTACAATTAAAAATTCCTTTATTCCACCCAAAATGTGCATCTACTCTGCAGGAGTAATCTTTCAAACACAGTGAGGAATCTGAGTATTGGCCCATACCTGTATACTTTCTAAACACAACACAACAAACTTTTGACTATCTTTTATTTCATATACTGTAACATGGGATATGCCCCCACTCTAGTGACCTAATGCATAGATGTATTTTTTTTTCCAGAAGGTTCTATCTAGAGCTGTCAATTAGACCTCTAGCTACAGCTAACTTCTTGAATGTTTTTTTGTCAGCTACATTTGGCACAGAGAAACTTTACTTTATCATAAAGCCTCATTATTCAACTGCTTTTCATCTGTCCCTATTTTACCATTGTTTATGTCTCTTATTCTCTGCCTTTTCTCCTCCCTCCTCCTTGGGGCAGCTCACTTTTCCAGAGGAGAATGAAGACATGCTGTTACTGAGATCCATTATTGATGTCAATCTGCCCAAGTTCCTGGCCCACGATCTGAAGCTGTTTGAGGTGCGATAGAGTGGAGCTCCTCCTGTCTTGATTAACACAGCAGTACACATCAACTGATGTCAGCACGTTAATTCCAGCCAATTCATCAGGAACAACCATGAACAAGGATTTCAGTCTGTTTAAGTCGGAAGTTTTCACTAAAATGTGTGTTTGTGTGCGTGAATGGTTGTTTGCACTGACTTTCTGAATATGTGTGTCTGTCATTTGTCTGTCCTCACCTCAAACATCTCAAGGTGAATGTGTTTTTGCATGTCAGTAAACTTAAATTTCCACTGTACCACAAGATTCCCGCCTCACTGTTCTTCACCGACTTTTCCTATCCACCTTAGGGTATCACCTCTGACCTGTTCCCGGGGGTCCAGCTGCCAAATCGAGACTACCGCGTCCTCCTGGAGGCCATTGAGGAGAACTGCCGACACATGAACCTGCAAATCACCGATTTCTTCGCTGAGAAAATCCTGCAGATCTTTGAGATGATGATAGTGAGACATGGTTTCATGCTGGTGGGTGAGCCCTTCGGAGGAAAGACCAGTGCCTACCGTGTGCTTGCAGCAGCCCTTCATGACGTCTTTGAAAAGGTATGATGTTCGGAAACTATATTTCTTATTTTCTTAAATTACACTTAGTATTGATCAATAGCTACTTCAAACCACTTTATTTTCTTGGTGGTTGCATTCCTGTAGTTGTCCTTGAGGTCCAACTTATCTGTTGTGTTCATGTCAGGTATTAGCCTGGGGAATTTGTCAGAAAATTAAAAAAAAAAAAAAAGCATTATATTCAGATGGTTGACCATGCATTTTTTAATTGTATTTCATTATGAATTTTGATCGGGTTTCCTGAGTCCTTGGGACTAACTCAATCTGTAAGAAAATCTCTAAACCTTCATGTCAAGTAAAAATATGCGTTATAATCAATATCCAAGGCTTATCTGCGCTACATGTTTGTCTCAAGTAAACACATCCATCCAATTTGTCAGAGCTGTAGTCTTTGTTTAGTAGTTATCGATCTCACAGAGAAGAGCAGAACTGGCTTGTTGTATTTACATGGCTGAGAGGGCTGAGAGGCATCCCACCAAGGAGACAGATGAAGGCCTGCTGATGGAACGCCTGGGAACGCTCCATTTATCATCGTCATCCTTGTCGCTGCACATCCACTGATCATGTCCAACACCCCTCCCCTCGCTATCCTTTTTGTATTGTTTTTTTGTTTTTTTTTCATCAGCAGCTCGCTCTCTCATTGTTTTTAACTCAAAGCGACACCTTGTCTGAAAAGCCTTTTTTCGCAGTTTTTGCTTTTCTTCCTCAGTTAGCAGAAGTCCTGTCATATGAACATTACTCCTCTAAGCAATTTATGAGTCTTGGCATCGACAAGTTAGTCAAATGAGCTGCTGTTATGCTCATTGAAACACATTTTTCTTTGTCTTTTACGAGAAAATAACCCGTGAAGTAAAGATTTCCTATATATATTGACATACTATATATGTGTATATACATACTGCATCTATTTTGAATTTGTCTGTGCATCCATTTCTCCTGAGTTTATGATATCGCTATGTGTATTATCTTTTTTGTTTTTGCATGTATGTGATTATTATACCAGGGTCTAATGGATGAGAACCAGGTTCAGATCACAGTTATCAACCCGAAATCCATCACCATGGGACAGCTGTACGGCCAGTTTGACCCCATCTCCCACGAGTGGTCCGATGGCATCCTTGCTGTGAGCTACAGAGCCTTTGCTGCCTCCCTGGTAAGATGGCTGCCTGTGAGCATTTTGTTGAACTCCTGGAGAGTACAGCAGTTCAAACAGTTTTTGGTTCAGACACAACCAATCAAATAAACAAACAAACACAGTATGATCTAACTTGTGAAGCAGCATGTTGATTCGGTGATCCTTAATTTAAAATTTAGCAGAACATATGTGGGGGCTGTGATGTCTCCTATAGGCTCCAATGTTTCTCTGTGTGCTTAATACTGTATACAGTATATTCACAAATCATATCTCACAATGTTGACTATGACCTAAAATCTTGTCCTCGACACACTGGTTAAGTTGTTTAATTCCCTCCAAAGGAAGGAGGTCCAGTAATAGTGAAGAGTCTACTACAGGTATGTGAGTACCAGTTTATTGAGGATGTGTTTGAAATAATTTAAATGCTAAACAAGCACAAAGCATAAGTGCTGTTGTAATTTGATATCGGTAATTTAGTACCTTTTAATTAAATGTATCTTGCAGACAGTTTGAACAATGGTTTTACCATTACCTGGAACTATGTTTGAGGTGTCCATTTGAAGTATTTTAACTTTCCCCTGCCAGCCAAACAGAAACACGTATTTCCTTACACATTTAAATATTCCACTGGGTTTTTATGTTGGAATTCAAAAGCTGAAAATCTTTTGACATTTACCAGTGTGGCTCCCTCAGTCATGATGGAGGGTAGGAAACCCACATCATTTGTCCTTATGGAGTTTGCCACACCTCCTGGGGGATGAGGACATGGCTGAGGAGACACTAGGAAGGTGCTTTACTGTTGGCACCCTCAGAGAGTGATGCCACTCCTCAAGGTCATTGATTGAGTCTGTGAAGAGTTCCTCTTAGATTCATTGTCAACAGTAAGGTTTTGGTGATAAACAACATGACCAAATATGTAGACACTATCCTGTAAAAAACTGGGAGAAGACAGGACCATAGTTTCATATGATTTTAAGGTCACTTTTCACATCTGTGCTAACAGAGCCTAATGTGCTCTCTCTCTCACTCTCTCTCTCTCTCCCCCTCTCTCTCTCTTTCTCTCTCTCCCTCTCTAATTCTGTAACATGTTTGCATTTCTTTATTAAACTAGGCAAATTTAACATTTGAGCTATTGTACAGGAATATTTTAGGTTTGATTACTACACCTTTGACAGTTAATTTCAGGGGGTTGGAGGATCTAGTGGAGGCATTTGTTGTCATTATCTTTGTTTCAGGTTGTAATAGTTTAGCTCTGAATGCTCAGTTTACTTGTCATTCAGCTGAATTAGTATTACAGTAGAAGTTGTTTAATATAATATCTGTATATATCAGACATTTAAACCAGTGCTCTCTCAGTGGAAACAGTGTATTAGAAGCAACTTCTTTTTTATCTTATATCAGTCTTTTTTGTATGAGAGTGAGATGCATTATTGTCTACATAGTTTTAGTTTACAAGTTTGGGATGTAACATTGTACAACAGGAATGACATTACAATTAATTGCAAGCTGATAGAAAGAAAAGCGGCAATGACAGGGTAAATAAAAAAAAACATTTTGCTGTCTTGTTAAATTTAGATCTTTAATAACTCTCTTTCCTTCGTGTGCATACACAGCCATACAAACTAGACACATATGGTCTGACAATTTACAGATTGCAGTGGAGGCATGTCATAATGGAAAATCATTTGTTTGCCCTTTTGTCAGATTGTTTCCAAATGAACTTGTCATTTCAAAAATTGTCTATGTATATAAAGTTGTCATTTTACAAATTTTTTTTTTTTTTTTTTTTTGTCAATGAATAAGGGGTGCGAGGAGTGGTTATGACAGCCAAGACAGTACATACTGATGCAATGAAAATGGAAAACAAGAACAAGCTTTGCCTTAATTCAGTCTAAAAAAAAATCATTTTCCTCTCTGGGCAAAAGTCTGGTTTTGTTTTTTTTGCATCGTATTTTACTAAACTAATTTTTCGTGTGGTAATCTGGAGTCAGCAGCAATGTAGTGTTTTAAACTCTCTACATACACAATATTATTTTTTTTTCAGTGCCAACGCTCTCTGTCAGATCATTACATTACAGCATACTCACTTCCCTCTCAGGCACCAGATGGCCCCAGTCCAGGCACATCCATTTGTTTATATTACAACAAATCAATTTAAAGCACAGTTCTTGCCAGCCCATTTAACTGGAGAATTGACGCTTGTTGTCAACCTATATTATGACAGTGTAGGTGTTAATTTCATTCATTTAGCAAACATTCTTCGCTTAGATTATAATGCATGAGTTCTTTGCTGACCTTGAAAGTGCGCAGAGGGATTTCTGTCAGTGGGGAAGAAGTAAATGCAGTGTGTGCTATATGATTAGAGGATACAGGCACTGAACTTATAAACTCTGTAGAACACTACTTTTTATGCACTTTTAAGCCCTTCTTAACTTTCCGTGAATACTTCTATGTATTTTAGCACTATAGGGGCCAGCCTTCTGGTAGATTGAGCTTGATTTTTCCTTGAAGTAAAAAACCTCACCAAGGCTTAATGTTTTATGTGTTCATTTATCTATCTATTTGTCTGTCTGTATACCTGTTTGTGTCTCCTTACATCCGTATTTTCCTCCTTCCATCTGTCCTCAACATGAAGAATTACATGAATTTACATGGCTCTATTTTAGCCTGTATTTGTCTGATATGATTATGTATTTATTTTTGGGTTAGTAACAAACAACAAAAATGATAACCCAGGAGGTCACTAGTGTGGTCAATAGTGGTGACTGTTTTGAGACCTTTCTTTTGATTAATACAAACGTAAATGTGCATCAAATCGTGCTGAAAATACAGTATTCCTTTAAGATGTGAGCAATCTCATTTCTTGTGTCTCTTAGAGCCCCGACAGAAAATGGCTGATCTTTGACGGCCCAGTGGACGCCGTGTGGATTGAGAATATGAACACAGTACTGGATGACAACAAGAAGCTGTGTCTGATGAGTGGTGAGATCATTCAGATGTCCCCGCAAATGAGCCTCATCTTTGAACCCATGGACCTGGAGGTGGCGTCTCCAGCCACGGTGAGAAGCACTTTTTACTTCGATTCAGGGTTTCATCACAATGTATCCTGCTGTTCCATTTTCTGGCAGTGATGGTTTCCAATCTCTGGATATTGTTGAGGATGTATCACTTACTCTTCTTATTTAGAAACAGAATTTTTTTACCGATATAGTAGTTTTCTTACTGTATCATTGTACTGCACCGGTTGAGACCGGTGTCTATATTACATACACTCTCTACTTTTCATCTCAGTATTTATGGCCTGTGCCTGTCTGCTTTGATTTTCAGTTATCTACTCAAATAGTTTAGAAATTGTCAAAAAAAGGAACCTCTGTACAAAATATTTGTTCATTTTAACTATTACATCCTCGGGTCAGTATTTGCATATCATCAGACACTTACTTTTTTCACATATATTAGTTTGATTCATCTTTATTGAAGTGTCAGATGGGTGTAAATAATATTAATTTTAGAGGGTTACAAGGTTACAAATGTCAGTTAGTACACTTACTGTATTTTTGGTTGGCTAACCATTCCTCCACTTCATGTTCTAACCATGTCCTTTGTTGTGTATCTATTACCCAGTTACCAGACTTTTTAGTAAATGATGTTGTCAAACTTTGCAAAAAAGAGATGACAATAGCTTTGAGATAACTTGCAGTCTTTGTATAGATATTATGCAGTATCCAAAAAAAAGCGTTTTAATTGTACTGTTCCTCATGGTTTGTTGTGAGGCAGTAACAAAGGCAATACATACAGTAGATGCCTTGAGAGAATACCATCTCCCTAAATGCATTTGCCCGGCTCTACTTTTTTATTAAACAGATTTCTATTTTTGATTCTCTGTGGCCTGGCATCTGTTCCTTTCATTATGCTGAATGCAGAGGCATCAATGTTTTTTTTTGTGATCACTGTGAATTCCCTCCACTTTGTTCATGGTCCCTTTTGTGCACTGTTGATCTCTCTTTTTCTCTGTCTATGGAAGTTATTTATCTTAAAACCTTACCTTTCTTTTTTCATTTTCTCTCCTACAATATCTTCATGTATATTAGATGTTTCTTGTGTATCTTGACCCATTTCTGCTCATCTTGTCTTCTAACTTTACCTTTACTCCTCTGTAAAGCTATTCCTTGTGTGGGACTTGGAGCTATCAGATCTCATTAATAGCTACTTTTTGGAAAGAGGCTGTAATATAGTCATCAGACACATTGCCACATATGCAGCTTGCTCATAGTTACAGTATTTACTAAAATGATGTAACTACAGGGATGAACTCATCATAAATGTTACAATGCTCTGCTAAACTAGGACCACAATACCATGAGAAAGATATACAGTAAACTACATAAATGTTTATATTCTGATACACTGATTCTGTTCTTTATTACTGAAGTACCACTGGTGTAGATGTGTGTTTTCAGATGTGATATATGTTCGTGGCAGGTGTCTCGCTGCGGTATGATCTATATGGAGCCTCATATGCTGGGCTGGCGGCCTCTTATGCTGTCCTGGCTCAATACCCTGCCAACCACAGTCAATGCCACGCACAAAGACCTTATCACTGGCCTTTTCGACCGCATAGTGCCAGCCTGCGTACAGCTCATTCGAAAGGCCACCAAGGTACTGAACCATTCTCAGGAAATACTATTATACGGCAGTGGTTTGCAAATCAATACTATGTTCTCTTTACTCAAAAGGGAAATTTTCACTCTGCATTTACATGAGGATTTTACCTCAGTTTCTCATTACAAAAACACTCAAATATTACATTGATGTATGTGTATTCCTTCCTGCATGTTTTAGAAGCAAAGTTGAAGATTTTTCAGTTTCATACAGCAATGATTCTTGGTCGACAGGTTTGGTCAATTATGTTAACTTTTTTAATGAGTTCTGAGTCCAGTAGTGTATTCAGACTAAAGTTCTTTTAGCTGTTTTATGTGTATGGTCTCTTTATGCTTTAATTTCAGGAGCTGTCCCCGACCTCTGACACCAATCTAGTCAAGTCCCTGATGAATCTGATGGACTGCATGATGGATGAGTTTCATGATGAAGCAAAGATGAAGAGCATGAATGAAAAAGACATTTGCTCCTGGTTGGAGGTTACTATTATTACTACTACTGCTATTGATTATTACGATAGTATTATTAACAATAGAAACATATTAATTGAATGTGTAAACTCACAGGATGCTACACCATTATTGAGGTAATGTAGGCCCACAGAGGTTAAAAAAAAACACTTACAGTATCCACTTCCCACTCTGATTAGTCTCAACACAGCTATGCCTTTGTTTCATTAGTGTTTCACAATTGTTAAATATGTACTTGAATGATGTAGCATATAGCATTCTTGCCAAATTAGTAGATATGATGCAGTACAAACAAACAAAAAAAGGCTAAACTGACATCCACAACCTCTAAGACTAACTGAGCTGTTGTTTTGCATGTCATATCCTCTCTTAAAAAGTTGCACTTGAACACACTGCAAAAACAACTAGCTGACCATGCACTTGTGTTCTGTGCCTGCATAAGAGGAAACAACACCAAAAAACTGTTGCAGTAAACAAACAAAACAAACTAGTCAAACATTTTGATGCCACTGTGAATCAGGATAAACAATCTTATTATACGCTAAGAATACAAAGTAAAATATTTCATGAAAAAAAAGAATTGCAGCTGGCACTGTCAAGTTTTGTTTTGCTTTGTATTGATGTTGTAAGCCTGTGGTTTTGCTTGTGGAAGCATAAAGAAATAGTGGAGGCAAACAAAAAGGCTGACATAAAGGGAGAAACTGCACTTAATAGTTAAAATTATCAGTTTGCTAGTCTAAACAGCGTAAGAAAACAGAGGCAGTCAGTGAAAGAAAACAGCTCTGTATCATGACAGAGACTGACAAGAGCCTTTTCTGCAAAATACACTGCAAATTTACAGGCAAAATCCTGATGTCTGACCCAACAGCAGCGTTAAAACTTTTAGGAGACATTATACTGTATATATCAATTATATATAACATTATGAAAGCCCAATGACACCAGTTTTACTTCATTTTACAAGGGTACACTTCCTAATTTCCTAATTTTTTTCCTGCTCACTAGTTCCCAAATTGTGCAAATACTTAATATACAAACAGTCTTCTTTAGCTGTATAGTTAAATTAACAATATAACAAATTCAAACTATGGTCTGAAGTACTGAAATTTGAAAGGGAACACTGAATCGTTCCGATTATTTGTAGCTTGATTGAGTTATTTTCATCTTAATTCAAACTGCTAGTTATTGACTGAAAAAAGAATGTAACATTGGCTTTGGCTCTTGTGGTACATTCAAAATCCATTTATTTTACCAAACCGCACAGTATGTACAGTCACAAGAGAGCCTCTATTTTCCCTTTTAAATGTGCTGTTCTAATCAGGTCTTCCTCCACACAGACTCACAAAGAGTGGAAAAGTTTTAGCAGATGAGCCCTCTCTTCTGCCCCCTGCATGAGTTCCAATTGATTTTTTTTGCCTCTGAATCGTGTCTTTTGAAAGCACTGCTATTATCCCCCTGTGGCACGCTGCACTGATGAATGCCTTTCAACCTTCTCTTCCATGTTTCTTAGCCAGTCATTATCAAAGTGCTGAATTAATCAGCCTTTTAACAGCAGGAGCTATCATGAGGCTGCTAAGCCTCATTTCCAATTCCTACAGTATTCCTGCTGTTTTTTTCCAACAAAGTCATCTCTTCTCTGTGGATTCTGGTATTTGTCTCATAAAATAATCTGTACACTGGTTGAGACATTTACATGGTTGCTGTGCATTTTAATCAATTTAGTAATTGCAAACTTTTGTCTGCACCATGAGGTTTTTGACTGCAAACCCTGTCTGTGAGCAGGGATTTTATTACAGTGTGATGATATCTGTTAATGCTTACACTTATAACTGTACTAACACTAGCTTGAACATAAATTTGTTCATTTTGTGGGTTATGGTCCACAGGGAAGTAAAATATAGTGAAACATGCAGTTCAGAAATACAAAAAATGCACCTGCAAAGGCCACCTAAAACCATTTATATACATGTACTTCAGTAAAATTCAAAATGCTACTTTGGCTGTCAGAGATGAAGGGCTATTCCCTCCTGTACCAATTGACACTCATTATATACACCAATACGTATGATTTAGCAGCTAAAAAGCATGACTTCTGTCCTTTCCTTTTACACAGGGCATTTTTGTGTTCTGTCTGGTGTGGTCAGTGGGTGCCAGCTGTGATGATTCAAGCCGGGTCAAGTTTGATGCTGTGGTTAGGGAGGTACTGAACGGTCCTCTATGTGAGGAGACCCAGGCCTGCCACGGTATTCTGGCCACTGTCGAGGCTCCACCTAAACAGCTGACAGTTCCCCTGCCCACTGAGGGAACAGTCTACCAGTATCGCTTCATTAAAGAGGTAGGTTTGTTCCTGATAATTGTGCAGCTAAGAGCATTTTGCTGCTCAAAAAACACTGTGATATTTATGACTTAGTTTTTAATGAGCTGCTTATGGGAAAATGTGAGGGAAATTTTATTTGTGGTTTCCATTATTCTGAGTTAAGAATTGGATAAAGAATAAGTATTTCTCTCACACAGTGAAGACTACAAATGGTTATATTATACAGTAATTTTGTTTACACCATCATTATCACATTAACTGACAACAAGCACAAGGGAGAGCCCCCTCTACATCAAGCACTTGTGGACTGGGCAAATTAAATTTTTTTTCCCTAAAACAGTTGGCGAAGAGGGATGCTCTTTTTTTTGTCTGTGTAGCCTTTATAAAGTGTCAGCTTCAGTCACATTACTCCAACTGCCTTGAATTTGCTCCCAGTAAATTCAGTTTTTATCATGGAGAATATTGAAATAACAATGTTTTCACAGTAAAGAAAAATACTTTACAGTTACCTCATCAAAGTGGATATTTGAGATACTCTTCTTGAAAAAGGTGTTGACTGCCACTCTGAAAACTATTACATTTTTCCTGCAGGTTGTAAGAGAAAAAGAACATTATGGCAAATCTGAACTTTTTTTAGTTATTTTGTACAATATTTCAGTATTTGGAAATTTCAGTAGAAGGAAATTTTAATTAGCACAGGGCCGGTCAGAGTACTTCTCTATTGTTAACTTTAGCAGTTGTTAACTTGAACGTACTTCTTGTGCTTTTACAATATGATTAGAGGAGCAGAGCTTGTATAGATTTAGCAAGAAGTACACAACAAGTTCGTCTTTAGTACAAAAGGCTAAGGGATGGTTAATGACACATTTTGTTTCAGAGCCATTTATTTTATGTACATCAACTATTGCTATTGTTGTAGACTATTGATATGAATCAATTCTGAATACAATGAAAGGGTCCCATAACATTAGAGACCTTTTAAGTACAAATGCCTGTGCATGCTCACAATATAGATAAATCCATTTGTGTCCTCTATTTGTCATATATTCTTACCTACAGATATAATGAGCCCAGTATTATATGCCCCCCTGGTGTGTTTTGGTTGCATGGGAGGACAGTGGCCTTTTTCTCTTAACTTTTTTTTTTTTTTTTTTTTTTTTCTCTCTCTTTAGGGCCCGGGCAGGTGGGAGCTGTGGACTGATGCGCTAAAGATTGCTCCCCCCATAAAGAAAGACGTGCAGTTCAATGAGATCATTGTGCCCACTGAGAACACGGTACGCTACATGGCACTGATGGACCTCCTCGTCACCCACCAGAAGCCCACTATTTTCATCGGTCCCACTGGTACTGGCAAGAGTGTCTACATTACAGTGAGTTGTCTGCTAGGTATTATTTCAGTAGCATAATGTTTGGAAAGCACTAAGGAATTTTACGTTCAACAGAAGGAATTTACCAAACCAAACTGCATTTTTCTGCTACCATTGCCCTGCCCTTATTTTTCCCAAGAAAAATAAGATGCACCTGTTAACTTTCAGCTCAGTGTGAGATTCTTAATTGAGTTTTGCTGTCTCTTACCATCACATTTCTGAAACACTAGCCCCTTTTATACAGAGATCCTGCTATATAATCATCAGAAGACCCGTTATGCCGCTTTTGCTTGTTTATGCTGAATCAAACAAAGGTGCTATATTGTCACCCTGTGTGTGATTTTAAGCCCCTTTTACACAACCTGTTCAAGGTTAGAATCTTGCGCCTTTATTCCACCTTGCCATTATGTGTAAAAAACACAAACATGAAATGGGGGGGTCATTGAGCAGGGCTATGAAACATGAAATACCCTCCCCATTATGATGACTTTTACAATATTTTAAAACCTTCCTCATTTACATCTATATTTGCGGGCTATCTGTCCTCTTCTTCTTCCCTACCTTTCTAAGGACATTACTATGTTTCTTGGCACCACTATCTGTTCATCTGTGGCAAAGCAGGAAACCATTGGTAGGCATGTGAATTTCTCCACCTGCATGCTCATGGTCATATGTCCTAATGCATGTGTGCAAGATACAAACAAAACTGGGACCCATTCATTAAAACATTGCGTCATTGTGCTCAAACTGGTCAAAACTCCACAGGACACCTTTAATAAGCATAAGCTGAATTGATTAATTTACATTGAAATACAAGTAGTACATTGTTTCTACAGCTGACTAGTTTTAAAATGGCCTTAAACGTGGGTTAAATTAGCATTAAAAAATCTTAGTAGTAAAAAAAAGTAGATTATTATAAATGATCATTTTCTGTATTTGCTCTTTTTAGCTGTATTTTATCTCTGTTAGTATCTTGCCTCTGTGCTCTTGGGGAATTGGAGATTGGACTTGCATTTTTAGTAGAAGAAATTACTGTTATCATATGTAAAAAAAACACTACCCATGCTACCAATAACATAATTCCATAGGATGAGTGAGCATCATCAAGCAGTATAGCCCCAGTCTCAGGAAATTTTAGAAAGTGCTTTCAACACACGAATCATTCGGAAGCAACACAGCTACAGGCACCAGGTGTGAAACTTTGGAGAAATACTGAGTGTCTCAGGGCAGTCCCTCGGCTATTTATATCAGGGACTAATACCCCTTTCTTCCCTTTCCTTCATTAGTGTATCCATTAGTGTGCTCAGACTTAGGACTCTGGGGAGAATAGAGATCATCTCAGTGGAAAGTCTGCCTTGTTCTCCACTTCTTGCCAGTCTGTGTGATCGAGAAGCTCTGTCCCATGCCACAATCAGCAGACCGAGGCTGATTCTCAAATCCAGCAGCAGTGATAAAGAAGCGTCAGCACTCAGACCATTAGAATGACTGGCGTTGTCTCGGCACTGGTAGCATCAGACAAACACAAAGCTCTATCATCTACCCCAGAATACTCTGAAGTGAGACAGAGACAAGCTGTGCTCTTGGTTTATAATTTAGACAAGAGGATGATGATGCACCTTGGCTACATCCTGTGATCACTCGCATCACAAGTCCACTTCAATTATACAGCTCATTACCCTCATGATTTCACAGGCATGTGAACTGTGTGCATGCTTACACATGTGTGTGCATGGAAGCTAGAGAATGTGCTCTGAACACACACATAATAAAATCACCATAAAAATAGATCAAATCCTAATTAAATACATCAGATCACCTATGACTGTGTTCTCTGTTCATAGAAAAAGACAGGGCCATTTTATCAAAATGACCTTTAGTGAAAGCCTCTTTTAGCTTTTAGTAAAATGCCCTTTTGTAAACCGTCATGCAGAATCTAAAATTCACAGATTTTACCCTTTTGACCTGCAGAACATTACTTTAGAACATGTCCTCAGAGGGCAACTAATTTCCTACTTCATTTCATAGTCATTTTCAGGGATTAACTGAGATCCAGTTTGTATATAATGAAATACATACTAATTGCCACATTTAATGAGATTATAAAGCTTATCACAACCATTTGCCAGGATCAAACTGGAAATGATCATTTTATATGTATTCTGCCTTTATAAGGCATCTTTGACATGCTGATTCAGAAAAGGGAGAAAATACTTTAAGACATTTTCAACCAAATGAGTATAAGTTAGTAGCCTTATCACATTTATTTGTTGAATTAAGTCCATGATATTCCCAGACCTTAATAGGTCACTTCAAGTTTTCTGAATATTCCATAAAAAAACATGTATACAGTACACACATTTTACAGAGTGTACAATTCATAAGTTAACATTTACCCAAATCATGTAATTATCCCATGATTTTACACACATAACTCATTTTCTATGTGTCACTTTTATAGATAGTATCTTTTATTTTTGCATTGTGTCACTATTTTACATTCATTGTGATAATATGCGGTATATGATATATTTCCATACTATGAGATTTGATGATAATCTGAACTCATATTTCTGATATCTCTTGCCCAGGACTTCCTATTGAATCATCTGCAGAAGGATGTGTACAGCCCATTATTTATCAACTTTTCTGCCCAGACTACAGCTGCCCAGACCCAAAACATTATTTTGTCCAAGCTAGATAAGCGGCGCAAAGGAGTGTTTGGCCCTCCAATGGGAAAGAAAATGGTACATCCTCTTTCTTGTGTTCGTATGATGTTCTATGTTGGTATGATTTGTTTGTTTTTCAGTTTACGATCATCAATGAAGTGAGTCATTAAAATGTTCCAGTTGTAAAGATTTGTAGTTCTATTACACTATTTCATTCTGAGATGCAGCTGTAAAAAGTGTACATCTAAACAAAAATCAGTATAGTTTTAAATATCAAATACCTTGTGGTACTATCACTATTTATTATTATTCCAAGTATACTAATGTTATATCTTTTCAGGTGGTATTTGTGGATGATGTGAACATGCCAGCCAGGGAGGTTTATGGTGCCCAGCCCCCTGTGGAGCTGCTGCGACAGTGGCTGGACCATTGGAACTGGTATGACATGAAGGACTGCTCAATGATCAACCTGGTGGATATCCAGGTCATATGTGCTATGGGACCACCTGGTAAGTAGCAGCTGTACCGTTTCAAAGCCAAGATTGTTTGACAAAATTGAGTTTTTTTCTGTATCTTCACTGCTGCTCAAGTGCTGTAGAGACAGTGTCACAAACCACTACCTGCTGTTTCGTGGAGCTCCTCACTGCCTTAAGGTGTTTATAAATAGCAAATGTTTACCACTTCCACCTCCACTACAACTACCGGTGTAAGCACAAAGGCACCCCTGTCCACTGAGGCAGCTGGCAGCGACAGCTGCAAGAGAAAGAGGGTGGGTGCCACTCTCAGGTGCTCACATAGCTCCAGTATCTGCTGCTGGCGCCTGTGCTGACAGCTTTTCTGGAGGAGCTAATTTTATGCTGGTATATACCATCATGTCTATGATATTAGTTGGGAAAAATAAGCAGTCAGTGGTCAGTTGGGTCCAGAGGTCTGAGTCCACTTTCCCATTGGATCCCACTGTACATGCCAATGTAAACTTGTGTCTCAAATTGAGGGCAATGCTGTATCCTGTTGTCCAAGTCAAAGTTGGTAACAAACATCACTGTATAGTGGAGCTAGCAGTAAGTAAAAGCTCCACATAAAACTTCCATTCAGTGGACTTTATTGACTGATATTGCCTTGCAAGCCATGAAGAGTTATTGCAATGCAATCTTGTGATACTGTAGGTCCAGTGTGCAAATGCTGAACAAGGTTACCTGTTAAATAATATTACATGACTTAGAGCAGATAGGTAATGTGGAGCATTTGTCATCTCTGACAAAATCCATGGTTGCTGGGTCATCTTTAATACATCGATGCTCTTCAAAACTGAAATAATGATGATATTTTGATAGAAAAGAACAGACAGATCTTTGCTGTCCACCAGTGTCCACCATTCATATATTTTCATATGTAAACAATGAACAAATTGTAAGTGAGCACCCTAAGAAAAATTGGGTACTGAGTTAGAGTACCAGGTAGACTGAAGTATCAGAAATGTTATCTGTGATAAAGATTATATATGTACATATTTTTTTCTTCTGCTTGTTGTTCAGGTGGAGGGCGTAACCCTGTCACACCTCGTTATCTGCGCCACTTCAACATGATTACCATCAATGATTTTGATGAGAAGACAATGTATACAATCTTCTCCAGGATCATAGACTGGCATTTCACCATACGGTAACTACACAGAATATGAAACTTGCATGGTGCTTTTATTGAATTGACTCAGTTCTGTGTGCATATGTTTAGGAATGTTCTTAACCAAACCTCTACACAAAGTATAATCCACTGAGCTTTTCTGCAGCACAGAAGGTGCTGCGGAATAAATAAATGATAATAATAAATTTAATAAATTTCAGTCTTATATATAGCATTGATCCACCTCTTCCACTTTTTCAACTACCAGGAAAGCATCCCATCACTTTCAGCATAAGAATGAATTGTAAATTACTACTAATCAAAGATCATTAGGCAGCTAAGACTGCAAAATTGAACATAAAGTTAGGAGGATAAATGTTAGTTATTAAAAAATTATTCTGTAATTAGAGGATGAAAGGTTTTCCTACTCTGTTCCTGCACTGCTGCAGTGTTTGCCTCAGAGACTGAAAGTCCTAAAGCAATCAAATCTGTTGGATAGGTTTCAAATTTACCCAAGCACTCATGCAGACAGAAATGTCACTTGCATTTTAACAGGCCAGACATTTTGGAAATTCTTTTTTTTTTGGTATTTTGGAAACATGTTGGTCATTTCAATGTGTACATATATATAGAAATTACATATTAATTTTCCTAACTAAACAGGAGGAAATGATCAGAACAGGATCTGAACAGAGAATCAACCATTTCATCCACAGATTTGTTTTCCCCAAGTCATTTGCAGCGCTGACCTCTCAGATCGTTAATAGCACCATGTCAGTGTACCAAGAGGCCACCAAGAACCTGCTACCAACCCCCGCAAAGTCCCATTACCTGTTCAATCTGCGCGACGTCTCTCGAGTCATCCAGGGCATCTGCCTGACACGGCCAGAGACTGCAGAAGAACAATCTGCCATCAAACGGCTCTGGGTGCATGAGGTAATGTTATACACAACAGAAAAGCAGCAGAAAATACTTAAGACCTAAACAACTAAGGTAATATAAATTACAAATAAAATACAGATATCTTGAAATACACTGTAATCCAGTCAAGCTAACACCTGCCTGTCTTACTTGTTGCTGTCTTACTCTAATGCATTTGTCAGAAACCTCCTGACTGTGCTGATCTCTCTATATCTGTCTCTCTCCTTGTCTCCCCCACTCACTCTTTCTTTGTCTTGTATATCCTCAGGTCCTGAGGGTATACTATGATCGACTGGTCCACGACACAGATCGGTCCTGGCTTGTAAGCCATTTACAGGTGGTGTCTCAGAGTCACATGAAGGAAAACTTCCATCAGCTCTTCCAACATTTGGACCAGGACCATGATGGAAAAGTCACCGAGGACGACCTGCGCAGCCTCATGTTTTGCGACTTCCATGACCCTAAGGGTGAGGACCGCAACTACCGTGAGGTGCACAACCTCGACCAGCTCCGACAGGTGGTGGAGTCCCACTTGGAGGAATACAACAACATCAGCAAGGCGCCTATGAATCTGGTGCTTTTTCGTTTTGCCATTGAGCATGTGTGCCGCATATCCCGTATCCTCAAGCAGCCAAGCGGACACGCTCTGCTGGTGGGTGTGGGCGGGAGCGGGCGTCAGTCTCTCACCCGGTTGGCTGCCTACATGGCAGAGGCAGAGCTCTTCCAGGTGGAGATCTCCAAGACTTATGGAACCACTGAATGGCATGATGATCTGAAGTTAATAATGAGGAAGTCCACACAGGGCGAAGCCCATGGCGTGTTCCTTTTCACAGATACACAAATCAAAATGGAGTCATTTCTGGAGGACATCGGCAACCTGCTCAACACTGGCGAGGTAAAGTGGGAGGGACACAGAAAAAGCCACAGAAAAGCCATGATGGCTCATAGATGTATTAATGTGCATGGATAGATTGATGAATCAGTTGAAGTATCGATATTATTTACAAGCTGATCGGTCAGTCAATAAAAGGTTTGGACGAATGGTTAAAAAGAAGTAAGTATGGATGGAGAAACTGATGGAAAGACAGATGTGTTTATAGACTGAGATATTGATGAATGCTTGATGAATATATGGTCAGACAAATGGATGTGGTTGGATAGATTGTGATACAGAGTAATGATTTTAAAAGTTCTACTTTACAAAGCCAATACCCAAATTCAGATCGTTCTGTTAACTGGTTGTTTCCAGGTGCCTAACCTGTTCGCAGTTGATGAGAAGCAGGAAATCTGTGAGCGGATGCGTGTGCTGGACCGGCAGCGTGACCGTGATAAGCAGACGGACGGCAGCAACTTGTCCCTTTTCAACATGTTTATCGAGCGCTGTCGCACACAGCTGCATGTCGTGTTGGCCATGAGTCCCATTGGAGACGCCTTCAGGAACCGTTTGAGACGTTTCCCTGCCCTCATTAACTGCTGCACCATTAACTGGTTCCAGGTGTGTGTATGTATGTTGCATGAGTTTGGGTTTGGTTGCACCACAAAGCTCTTCAGGTAGCTAATCAAAAGACATGGACCATATATAATCCATGAATGTTATGGCCTCATTACAGGGGGTGAATAAGCCAATTGAAAGACAATAAACGAATAAAGATTTGGGCTGACATTATCAGAAAACCATAGCAGAGAGTAAAATGCCCTGTATGTATGGTGGCTATAAAGCATATTTTCTTCCTTGCCAGACCTGGCCCGAGGATGCCCTGCAGGCAGTGGCCTGCCGCTTCCTTGAGGATGTTGAGATGACAGATGAGTCCAGAGAAGGCTGCATCAACATGTGCAAGAGCTTCCACACCTCAACTATTAAGCTGTCAGTCCGCTTTTTGGCTGAGTTGGAGCGCCACAATTATGTCACACCAACCTCATACCTGGAGCTCATTTCCACCTTCAAAGCCCTGCTGAGGACAAAAAGAGCGTAAGATCAAGATTTAGGATATACTGTATGTACAGCTGTTATTTGATGTTTTTGTGACCTCATCTCTTATCCTTATCTCCTTATCTCTGTCTGTCCTCTGCCCAGTGAAGTGATGAAGCTGAAACGTCGTTATGAGGTGGGCCTTGAGAAACTAGAGTCAGCAGCAGACCAGGTGGCCACCATGCAAGTTGAGCTAGAGGCTCTACAGCCACAGCTGCTTGTGGCCAGTAAAGAGGTGGATGAGATGATGGTGGTGATTGAGCATGAATCTGTGGAGGTGGCTGAGACAGAGAAGGTGGTCAAAGTGGATGAGGCTGTGGCCAACGAACAAGCCATGGCTGCCAAGGCCATCAAGGATGAGTGTGATGCCGAACTGGCTGAAGCCATGCCGATCCTGGAGTCAGCCTTGGCTGCGTTGAATACTCTCACCACTCAGGTAAAAGGATAAAAATGTTTTTTCTAATGTAAGATAGTGCCCTTACATATTGTTCCAATGCCAGGTGTTCTGGAATAGTCAGGAAGGTGGATCTTATGATGTAGTTCTTTTTATCTACAGGATATCACAGTGGTGAAGTCCATGAAAAGCCCACCAACAGCTGTCAAACTGGTGATGGAGGCAATCTGCATTCTCAAAGGCATCAAGCCAGATCGTGTGCCAGACCCCTCAGGTTCTGGGAAAAAAGTGGAGGACTATTGGGGCCCAGCCAAAAAGCTTCTTGGAGACATGAAATTCCTCCAGAGCCTCCATGAGTATGACAAGGACAACATCCCACCAAATTTCATCGCTGTCATCCGCAACAAGTACATCACTAATCCAGACTTTGTACCAGAGAAGATTCGAACTGCATCCACTGCAGCTGAAGGCATGTGTAAGTGGGTGTGTGCCATGGAAAAGTATGAAAAGTAAGTAATGTTCTTCTCCTTCTGTGTTTCCTTCTGTGTGCTCAGTTATGAAAATTGATGCATATTTGCAACGCTTGGGATAGCTTTCATCTGTCTTAGTGATTAACATGAAGCTCGGTTATTGGTTACTTCAAAGGAATAATCATTTTCCTGGTGCTGGTGTACCATGCATATGCCAGGTTCAAAGTGATTCATGTAACAAGCTAAATCCTAGATGCGAGTAATTTCAAGGGAAATGTTCACATCATTATTGTTCTGACAATCTTAAATGTTACTGTAATTTATAGAAGCTTAAGTCTATGTTTTGTCTGACAGCATTTCACTGTCCCAGATAAATCATCAGAATCATATATATATATTATACTTAATGTGTATAGATGAAAAAAGATTTAGGGCACCTTCTGTGCCATGCAGTGTTTTCACAATGTTGTTCTTTTCATCTCTGGTTCACACGTACTGTATCTATTAAATCCAACCAATTCAGCAATGCTTCATGTGTCCCTCAGGGTGGCCAAGGTGGTGGCTCCGAAGAAGGAGAAGCTAGCACAGGCTGAGGGCGAGCTGAGCGTGGCAATGGAGAGCCTGCAGAAAAAGCAGGCTGCCCTCAAAGAAGTCCAGGATGAACTCGCAAAGCTTCAGGAAACTTTGGATGCTAATAAAACCAAGAAAGCTGAGTTGGAGAATCAGGTTTGTGCTTTTTATATGTTTGTGTGATTGCAGACAATTGTCAATTTTGTTTAATATTTGTCAGCATTTGAAGTACAATGGCTTATGCCATTAGAGTTAAAAGTATAACTTACTTACAACTTACTTCAATTACTATGACCTTCATTCAGTTCCTTGACCTCCGAAAAACCACAACAGTGCGTCATGTTTTTGCATTCTCCTTCTGATGATGCCCCCCAGGTGGATCTATGTAGTAAGAAGCTTGACCGAGCGGAGCAGCTGATTGGAGGCCTGGGCGGAGAGAAAACACGCTGGAGTGAAATGGCCTCCGATCTCGGGAAGCTCTACAATAACCTGACGGGGAACATCCTTATCTCAGCGGGCATAGTAGCTTACCTGGGAGCCTTCACCTCCAGCTACAGACAGGTAAGATGATGGACCAGATACTACATATTTTGGAAGTGGACAGTAACAATATATTATTAGGATATTTTGAGATGACCAGTTTCCTTGTTCAAGCAGTTTGTCAACACAGCATTTTTTCAGTAAAGTCTGTAAAGACTGTAACATTTTCTGAGGCAGAGCTGCTACATTTGGAGTTAACATTTCATTAATTGTGAGGCTAATGATTTTTTTTTTCTCAGCACAGTTTTAGGCCAAGGAAAGCCGAACACTTGAGAGCAGTTCAATGAAAAATAAATAGTGTGGAGCTACCAAAGCACATCTTTTTTTCCTCTTTCTGAGCCTCACGTTTCCAAGACCAAGCCAGTGTTTAAAGGTCATGTTTTATACTGTGTCAGGGCTATTGCGTTGCTCGAAAACACTAAGGAAGACAATGAGTTACTTATTTTTATCATGCAAGTACATGATTGTGTTTGTGAATGGAGGGATGTTTGATTGGTTATGTGCTTGTTTTCACACCTTTGAAATAGCTCTGTTAATGTCTGTGTGAATGTACATGACTGTATATTTTTGTGAACAGCTTAATTATTCACTAGCATAAGCTCTTATTTGTTTATAGGTTAGTATGTAATTAAGTGAGATGGAAGTATTTAACAGTAAGTGTGCTGCTCTATAGGATCAGACAGAGGAGTGGATGAATCTTTGTAAGAGTAAAGAGATCCCATGCTCCGCCAACATGTCTCTGATGAACTCACTGGGCGATCCAGTAAAGATTCGTGCATGGACCATTGCTGGCCTACCATCAGACAGCTTCTCCATTGACAACGGTATCATAATCTCGTGAGTATTGAAGAAAAACTTTATGCTGACATGGCATTCCCCTAAAGGAAAAGACACCAGTATTTTCTTAGTGCCTAGCAATTTATTATTAAGAATTGAATGCATATTTTCTGCTGTACTTAAATTGAGCATCTGCCGACAGCCAGTCTTGATACAAAATGTATATATTCCTACACAATAAAGCTCTACAGTGCAGTGCATAAAAAAATAGTTCTTGAAAAAAAAATCAGGAGCACTAACAGAAAACTGAAGCTCAAATGCATTTTTTACAAAAGCAGCACTTTGGAGGTGTGGTACACCTGCAAATTGTTTCTGGAATAGAGGCAAAGCGATCAATGTTTTTTTAAACCCAAAGGGCCTCATCTTACTGTGAGCATGAATATCTTCATTGAAACTGCTGGACACTATTTATTTTTCATGCCGCTTCACTTTTCACTCACTCACTGTGCATATGGAATAAGTTCCAATGTTTTAATGGGGTGAAAAGCAGTGTTTTTGATAGCTGAAAGACCTGAATCACAATGGGTTTCAGGTTACAAAGGATCAGGATTAGATTGCCTATTACCTATCAGTATACCCTACTAAAAAAAGAGACTATGACAGAAGTTTATAAGCTATAGAAGCCTATGTGACATTGTCTGATTCAACTTTAAGGTGCAGAAAAAAACATTACAAGACATCTGCTTGTTTGAGTAAATGAAGCAGCAACATTGTTTTTTAATCACAATACTATGGCCCCTGGTGTGCTATCCAACTGTGAGCTGTCTAACTGTGCTGAGAGTGAATGTTCACCCCTAAGCTGCTCTCTACATCTCAATTCTTGTCTTCCAACATCCCCCCTATTGTTGTGATGGTTCACATTTAACAGGATCTCTCATTCTGACAAGACAGCATTGTTTGATCATATACTACTCTCTGTGTGTGTGTGCGTTTGTAGTAATGCCAGGCGGTGGCCTCTGATGATCGATCCCCAGGGCCAGGCCAACAAGTGGGTGAAAAATATGGAGAAGGCCAACAGCCTGCATATTATTAAACTGAGTGATGCTGACTTTGTACGCACTCTGGAGAACTGCATTCAGTTTGGCACACCAGGTGAGTAGAAGTATTTCTCTGGTATGATGCCTCTGTGGTTGCTCCCTACTCTGTGTGCATGTGCCTCATCCACATTTTTGCAGCTCCTGTTACTGCCTGCTGAGGTCTCTCTTCACCACAGAGTCAGATTATTGCTGTGCATAGAATGTTTTACTCCATTGTTCTCTGTTCTGCAGTGGAAGAATTAATATATGGAATATTTCTGAGTGAGGTGTTCCAATGAGCCTACTGCACCATTAGAATGTCAAACTACTGTAAATCATGCAAAAGACCAGGAGAAATCAATTGGGTTTTTTTTGCATTTTCCCTGCCCTCTGTCAGGAGGTCAAACTGAAATGTGTTAGATGACATGACTATTTTGTGTGTTGTGTTTCTCCAGTGGTTGTGTGTGTGTGTGTGTGTGTGTGTGTGTGTGTGTGTGTGTGTGTGTGTGTGTGTGTGTGTGTGTGTGTGTGTGTTAAAAGATTTCTCTTTAACATTAAATTGGAACAGCCGCCCTTCACTCTCCAGTGCCACTGTGTGGCTGTGACCTTGGTTCATACACTGGTTTCAGAATATACCCCACTATCTGTTTATAAAAAAAAGCACACAACGTAACAACCAACCCTGGAAAAATACTTGTACCTTTGTCTTCTCATAGGATTTTGAGAGGCTATGAAAGGGAACAGCAAGACAGGAATTAGAATTAGAAGCAGAGACAGCTATACAGCCATTAAAAAGACATCTAAATAATGACCTGACTCAGCCAGCCATTGGGTCTTTGCTTACTGGCAGACTACAAGGCCAACAGTTCAGAGAGTAACTTGTCCTTGGTGGGTGCAAAATAGTCCCCAGAGGGTACAGTTTCACCCTCCATAGCCTGTTTGTTTATTTCACAGTTTTGCAGTTTCTTGCTGTTTGTATTGTAGCCTATAATCCCGATTATGTGCTTTATTCTTTCTTTTTGAATGATTGAGCTAATGTTTCCCTGCCATCTCTCTTAGGCAAGGCATATGTTTATTAAACACTACAAAGTGCTGTGTACAAAGTACTGTTTAATCTGCTGGAAATATTAACAGTATTGATATGATTGTACCAAGACAAAATTATGCTTCAAAGCAATTTGAAGAGGCTTGCCTGATGTGGTTAACTGTCTTGCAGAAGAAAGTTCATCAGCTGTCACTGCCTCTAGTTAACTGAGGCATAATGTCATATATGTTATAGATGGGCGAATGTTCTTAATATGGGAACAGCATTAACACACTTAATAAGAGATTACATTAATAATGATGTTATGGAAATAAGACATATCTAACTAGTAATGTTTAGTTGCTTCACTGATTTCTTGTTATTGCATGTGTATGCACATGTTCATGGAGCTGACTGCAGTGTTGAATGACAATCGTAGGGAGCTGAAAAAGACAGTTATACATTTTTTGTTCTTCAGGCTCTGAGCTTCAGCACATTCAATTTTCCACTACATATTTTATACTAAATATACAATATCAAAGTGACAAATTTCAACTTAATAATTTGAGTAGGTTTACTACAATATATAAAGAACAGATACACATCAAGGCAAATAAAATGATCATATTTAACATTTTGTGGTTAATATTCTGCAATCCTTCGTAGACAGTGACTGAAGTCTTTAACCCACAGATGTCAGCAGATGTTCTGTATCTTGCCTGGTGATGCTCTCCCAGAGCTACACTGCAGCCTCCTTCAGTTCTTGCTTGTTATGGAGTCTTTCTGCCTTAAGTTTGGTCTTCAGCAGGTAGAATGCAGCTCAATGAGACTGAGATGTTCCCCCTCTTCACCCTGAAAAGCTCTTGTTGCTATGGCCATATGTTTAGAAATCTTGTCCTGCTAAATTATGAAATGTTGTCCAATGAGTTTAGATGCATTTGGCTGAATCTGAGCACAGAGTGATCCTCTATACCTCTGCATTGCTTCTGTTAGCAGTGAAATCATCAATAAATTCCAGTGTGTCAGTTCCATTGGAGCCATACATGCCCAAGTCATAAAAGAACCAGCACAATGTTTTACAGATGAGATGTTGGTTTTGGGTCATAATTCCTTCTGTTCCTTTTTTTCCTCACACTTTGGTCTTTCCATCATTTTGATAGAGGTTGATTTCTGTTTCATTCGACCTCAGACCTCTACCAGTTCTACCGGTTTCTTTCATGTATATATATATACTGTATGTACACGTGTGTGTGTGTGTGTATTTATCTGTGTGTGTGTGTGTGTGTGTGTGTGTGTGTGTGTGTGTATTGGAAGACTGTTGAGAGTTCAGTACGGTAAAAGTTTGATCACCCTTTATTAATTTACACTAAGGAACAGCTAAAAGACTGCAGAGATTGCAGTCTGAGATTGGAATGTTGTGGGAAAGATTTCAACTTTATTTTGTCTGGCTGCAAAATATTTGAAGTTGTGCAATGGCTCAGCTGCTGAGCTGGTCAACAGTAGACAACTGTGGTGAATTTGACTGCTCCCAGGTGGGGTTGTCTGTAAATGTGTCTGTATAAAGGTCTCTCCTGAAAATAGTCAGCCTCCTCTGGTTAGAAAATATTGATAAACATTTTGTTTCAGTGCTGTTGGAGAATGTCGGCGAGGAGCTGGACCCTATCCTGGAGCCTCTGCTGCTGAGACAGACTTTTAAACAGGGTGGTGCCATTTGTATCCGCCTGGGAGACTCTACCATTGAATATGCTCCCAACTTCCGCTTCTACATCACCACCAAGCTACGCAACCCCCACTACCTGCCTGAGACCGCCGTCAAGGTAGTCTAGAGGGACACTGCCTCAGGCATTGTTATATTTTTTGTATCCTAGTACACTTTCACTCACTTCACATCGTGGAAACACATTTTGCTATTAATATAGAAAATGCATTTATTTTAATCCTTTAAGCAATTATCCTGTATTGAAATAATAACACATTGAAGTCAATTTTTTTTTTGGAAAAGACAAATCATTTTAATTAGAGCAATGTGGATTTGCAGCACTTTCATAACTGTGTTTTGTACCACGGTATAATGGCCTGCTGCAAATTTCACTGGTCAGCTTACTAGTTTGACAATAGGAATGGGGCAACAACCCTGTCAGTACTGTAATAACCTGCACATCAATGCCGAAGCTCCTATAGTTTAACTTTATTGTACTCTTTATTGTATTGTACACAATGTTGGGACATTTGCCTGTGTGCAAGGGATCTAAGATAAAATCCCATTACTTCCAACAGTGCAACCTCCATCCACACCAACAGCAATCACACACAGTCACCCATAGTCAGACAGTTAGACATGAGTCGCCTAAGACCTTCAGTTATGACTACTGTCAGTGTAGTCAGAGCATTCCCTGACAGTAGCCACACATACCACAGCTGTTTTCTGCAGTTGTCTGTGTTGCTGTAATGAGCCTGGTGCAATCCTCCATGCCTCCTATACCCACAACCTCCACACAGATGGAGCAGGTGCCCTTTAATCCCACCACAGCTAAGGATAGATGTACTGTATCTTCCACAACAGAGCTGCTGCCAACACTGAAGGGAGTAATAAAACACAGGCTCTCACAGGGACCAACACAGACATACCATATGCATTACTCTGCCTTTAACATATTATTATTTAGCACACAGAGTTGTAACAAGCAGTCTAGATTGTTGTGCTATTTCAAGTGATTGTCACACATTACATTGTTATTGAAGTGTCATGTGGGCTACTGTATTTTCTCTTTGCACCACACAACCTGAAATATGTAGATTGTTACAGGCCATTTTGGAGAGTTTTGGTCTCTGTTTTTTCAGTCAAACTGTGTCCTCTCTACAATCTGGGTTGTGTTGTCTTCATTTGAAATTTAAATTTAGCAAATTTTTTGTAACAATGAAGAATTATTCAAACCTTCATTCCAAAAACAGACCTCTACCAAGAGATAGCGCTACCTTTACTCATTGGGTCTTACTTATTGCATCATACCACTCAACTGACAGCACATTTGTACCCTAGCAACACAGTGAGTCATCACACAGAGTCTCCCAAAAAAGTATTCCAAGAAAGGGAGCATTAAAGGAAATTGCATTACAAAGAGGCAAGGGGTTGGAAAGCATTACCGAAGATCACATTTCAAGCATCTATTTGCAGGGGCCCCGCTCTTTACGGGCGGCTATTAGATGGATTCAACTCATTTTTCACCACTGGCTCAATCTTTTTTTTTTTTATCCTTTTTGTTTAAGTTTTTTTTTTTTTGCCTACAGTAAAATACGGTACGAGGCTTCCATTATTCCCACTAAAAGCACTACTTTCAAATACAAGAGGCAAGCATCTAGGAAACTAGCCCTTATGAAGCTCAAGGGACCAAAGGGAGCAAAGGAGGAGGGTGTATGTGTGAAAAGGACGAATGGGAGATTTATATGGGCTCTGAGTCTTTACCATCAGCTCAGTGGGTCCGCAGCATCAATAGAAATAGAATTAGGCCCTGGAGAAGTGCACTCGTTTATTAGGGCAGAGAGTAGATAGCAGATATAGGCTTTTAACCTCTGGGTAAGTGCAAAGCAGGATGAGTAAGGCTGTGGTAAAAGACACTCCTTCACTTCGAGCTGTAACACCTTTTCACAGAAAAGAAAAAAAGTAAATGCATCCTACCTGTACTTTTCCAAGATTGGAGTGGTTATTAGAATTGATTAGGTACGATGTTAGTGGGGAGAACAGCACTGGAGTTAAGGTAATCAACACTGCACTGTAAAAGTATGAGAGCAAGGGTGGCACTAGACAACCCCACCCCCCGAACACACAAAACATACAACTCCGTGTATCTCTTCCCCTGTGCTGTAGGTCACCCTTCTGAACTTCATGATCACCCCAGAGGGCATCCAGGACCAGCTGCTGGGAATTGTGGTGGCCCGGGATAGGCCTAATCTGGAGGAAGAGAAACAGGCTCTCATCCTACAGGGAGCAGAGAACAAAAGGTACAGTAGCACACACCAGACTCGTGTGAAATTTTAACTAATAAAATGAAAAATTCACCTTCCCCAAAGTGCAAACTGCAGACTTGTTAAATTTGTCCTCATACTTTTTGCAGACAGTTGAAAGAGATTGAGGACAAAATCTTACAGGTGCTTTCCTCCTCTGAGGGCAACATCCTGGAAGACGAGACAGCCGTCAAGATCCTCTCCTGCTCCAAGGTGCTAGCCAATGAAATCACAGAGAAGCAGGCTGTGGCTGAGGTGACAGAGCAGAAGATTGATGAGACCCGTATGGGCTACACACCAATTGCCGTGCATTCAGCCATCTTGTTCTTCTCCATTGCCGACCTGGCTAACATTGAGCCCATGTACCAGTACTCCCTCACCTGGTTTATTAACCTCTTCATCAGCTCCATCGACAGCTCAGAGAAGAGTGACGACTTGGAGCAGAGGTAAGCAGGGCTGACAAATGCACTGGCCAAATACTAGTTCCTACAAGTCACTTAAGCAAGTTCTTGAACCATAGCGCTTTCTCTCTGCTCGAAAAATCATATTTGGTTTGGAAGCTGTTAAAAGAAATTTGAATGTAACACCAGTAACAGCTCATGAATTCTGTTAGGTTTGGAACAAGATTATTAAAATGCCACCATATGTATCTTCGGCAGGCTACAGATCCTGAGAGACCACTTTACCTACACACTATATGTCAATGTGTGTCGCTCACTGTTTGAGAAGGATAAACTGCTCTTTTCCTTCTGCCTCACTGTCAACCTTCTCATGCACAACAAGCTGGTAGGAATATACACACCCTCCACACATGTTACAACACTGTGTTATTTCATAACACATCTAATATTGCGTTAGATTATCTGTATTTTGCATTTTCAATTTGCATAAAGTTGTTACCCAACATAATCCCCAAAATGGTGAACCTTTAAATCACTTAATCACAAATAGTGGTTAATCCTCTGCTGTGGTAACTCTTTAATAGCTTCATCACAGCAATTAATGTTTTAGGTGGATGAGGGGGAGTGGCGCTTCCTTCTGACAGGTGGTGTGGGCCTGGACAACCCCCACTCGAATCCCTGCACCTGGCTCCCCAAAAAGTCTTGGGATGAGATTTGCCGTCTGGATGAGATGGAGTGTTTCAAAGGTCTGCGGCGCAACATGGCTCACCTCAGGAATGAGTGGAAGAAGGTCTACGACAGCCCAGTGAGTGTCATTAAACTGATTGGTGGGTGCTGGTGGGGCTCTGTCTGTGGGTGTTGTATATATATCTGTGTTGGTAAAGACAAACTGGGTAGGTATAAATTAGGTGCTTTCTGTCCTTTCTCTCATTGAAAAATTCAAAAGGTTGAAAACCTAATAAAACACCAAACAATCTGGGTTAAGGCCCACATTTTTTAAATCAGCATGAATTTACATTACCATTACATCAAAATACCCGAGAGAACTAGAGGGAGAAGAAAATCTGTAAATCCTCCCAAAATGCAAATTTAGTCAGTACGCACCTTTATATTGCTGGCATGGGGTCTTGTAGGATTTGCAAATATGTTGACTTCCTGTTATAGATATGGTTGTGGTTAGCAGGTTAGCAGTCTTGAAATTAGGTCACATTTAGCACTGATAAGAACATTTGAATTCTGGAAGATTCAGAGGACCAAAGTCTTTAGAGCAAATGTTAAAGAGATTTAGGGTTTTTACCACATATTTTTCCAACATACGCTGTATGACACTAAGGCCCTGTACAGACAATCTAAGTCAGAATTGCTTGACACCAGTTTGAGCAATTGTTTGCCTGTGAAGAGAGAGCAAACCTTGCATAAATACCACTTTTGGTGTTGTGTACTGCTGTGATTTAATAGGCTCAAAGATCAAATAATTCAAAATGTAAAATTTTTTGCAGCTGACCTTTGAAAGTGCACCCAATCAGATTACGGATGACTAAGTCAGTGAAATATGGAGAAAACATCTCTGACTTTACACAAATATGATATTAGTCTCATTTAAAAATAACTGTGTATTGTTTTCTTCTCTTCAGTCTGCCTTTGACAGTTGTTTAAAATATAGTATACAGCAAATGGTGATGTATTGGTGTTGAGCTACTAAGACTGTACCTAACTGAATGGTGACTGTAGCCCAGACTGCTGGTCATGTAAGCTGTCTAAGATTCCAATAAAAGCTACTTCCTTATTAAAAAATAGACAACAAGCAAAATCAAATTTCTCCTCCATATGAAAGAAAAGGCTTTAGTGGACTGTGGAAGAAAGGAAGTGAGGGATGATAGAGGGAAAGAAGTTATTTGAATTTGTAAAACTGTTAACGCGTGTAGTGGGGTGAAAAAGGAAACAAGTGCAGAGTGAATAGGTTGAATGTATTTTCCAGTGGATTTGGCTCATGAAAAACAGGCCAGCCCCACCCACCCTGCAGCTCAACAGTGTAGCTCAGAGGGATTCCACAACACTCATGCTGCCCCTGTCTCACATCCTCCAAGCAATGACAATGTGACAGAGCTCACCACAGCCCCTCATCCTGCCCCATACACCAGGGAGCACCTGCTACTACTACCTCCATGTTGGATGTGTTGAGAAATGAAAGTAATATATTTTTCATTATTAATACCTGCCATTTGTTTGAGTATGATCATCATCATCATGTGACCATTTTTCAATTTATCTTATAAATTGGTATAATCTTACTCAAATTCACACACAATTTTTACAGTGTTTTGTAACTATTTGCTATACTTTAATTAGGTGTTGCAGATTCCCCAGTTTTGGCTTCTTATATTAATTCATGTTTGATAACTAAGTTTTATTATTTTAAGTGTAGTGTAGGAAAAGCTCACAGGTACAGATGATGCACACACTCTCTCCATCTCTGGATTATAAAGAATCTAAAATTGAAGTTTTATCTAATTAAATCTATTCTGTTCTTGTTGTGGTAGTCACCTCTTTGCAATCTAGATGCCAGAACGGCTGTTTAATCAACGTGTGGTGCACACATGCTTGTGTCTTTGCTGTCATGCACACACACGCACACACACACAGGCACCATCTTTGATTTATAATCAACAGAATCAGCCATAACGCTTCTATCTAATTAAATCTAGTTTGTTCCAGTTGTAGAATTCACATTTATTCAATCTTGATGTAACAACAGCTGTTCAATCAAGCGCACAGGCACTCCGACTCACACACCCCTGTACACACAGAGAATCCCCAGGAGATCCTAAATAGGTGTATCTGTCTCAAAGCACCTGCCAACACACATAGCCAGAAGTCTCTCGACAAACAGCCTGGGGGAAATAATTCCAAAACTTCCTGCTACCATTGCTCACTTCTTCTGGTGCACTCTTTCCACAAATTAATCAAACATATTGCTCTGACCCAGTACCCAGTGGTTTTTCTTTTTCCCCACCTCTTTTTCTTCCGCTTTCTCCTTTTCCTCAGTCTGTCCCCTTTCATACATATTTATCTGTCTCCCTGCATTACTCTCCTCCCCATTCATATTACAGATTACCCCTCTTTTTGCTTAATTAAATAGTTTAATCTTGCAACAGCTTGATACAGTGCAACCCCACCCTAAATCTCCCCCATCCTCTCCAAGAAAAGTTGACAGAAGGGCCTTTAGCTGCATGTTTCTTGAAGGTAACATGATGAGGGCATGCCTCGTTTACTGATTAATAAAAATGACTGAATTGCCTCATTCTAATCTGCATTAAAAGATGTCATTTATTCATCTCTGTGACTTTGCAGTTTCTCCTCTGATTTGCTTGATTCTATTCTACACCAGTCACTTGAGTATTTTATTAGCATTTATGTTTATGAAACAGATAATGGTGGAAGAAAAATAAGTGATGAGATATCTGCAGTATATTTTCTTCCCAGAAAAGGTCATGTTAAAGTGAGTCATGCTAATATTTAGAAGCAAATGCATTGTGCTCCAGCGTGGAGTCTGAAGTTATTCCCATTTACCTACCCTACAGTATAATTTCAGTCTGGGTTGTGCTGTGTGCATTTGCAGAACCCCCATCAGACTCCTTTCCCCGATGAGTGGCAGGACAAACTGAGCCAGTTTCAGAAGATGCTGGTGATTCGATGTCTCAGACCTGATAAGGTCAGTTCATATGTTGTTTTTTTCCAAAGATTGTTTCCAAAAGATTTTTTGGCTACCAAGTTGTGAATCCATTTCCATAAACAACCCCATTATATTAGGATGTAAAAATTCCCGAATGATTTCAAGTTATAAGGACTTTTTCACGCAAACACTAAACACATTCCATAAATCTGTCCTCCAGATTATTCCCATGGTACAGGAGTTTGTTTCCAACAGTTTGGGTCGTCCCTTCATTGAAGCGCCACCCTTCAACCTGAGTGAGGCCTTTGTTGATAGCCACTGCTGTGCCTCCCTCATCTTCATCCTCTCCCCCGGCTCAGACCCCATGGCTGCATTGCTGAAGTTTGGAGATGAAAAGGTACAGAGACATCTGGGAAATTCAGTACCTTTGAAGCCTGCTGTGTGTACAAACTCAAAATGAAAGGAGAAATTGAATCCTCTAGATTTGCAAGGCTCCCACACAGGTCTTGAAAGTACTGAAAATAATTTTGGCTCCTTCCAGGGTAAAAAGCAGCTACATAAGTGAGTGTGTGCATGTTCATGACTGTTCTTATCCCTTAGGGCTTCACTGGTAACAAGCTGACCTCCCTCTCCCTGGGCCAAGGCCAGGGTCCTATTGCTATGCGTATGATTGAGACAGCCATTAAAGAGGGCACCTGGGTGGTTCTGCAGAACTGCCACTTGGCCACTTCATGGATGTCAACTCTGGAGAAAGTCTGTGAGGTCGGAACACACACAGATGCTTTCTATACACAGATTCTATACCCAATGCTTAAAGTGCTACTATATTACTTCCAGTATGGTCATTTATTTACTTGGTCTTTGTGGCTGTGAGCAGGAGCTGAACCCAGACACCACCCACCCAGACTTTAGGCTGTGGCTGACTAGTTACCCATCTCCCACCTTCCCTGTGGCTGTGCTTCAGAATGGGGTGAAGATGACCAACGAGGCTCCGAAGGGCCTGCGCGCCAACATTGCACGCTCCTTCTTAATGGATCCTATCTCTGACCCAGAGTTTTTTGGAAGCTGTAGCAAGCCGGTCAGTGTGTGCCTGCGTGCATGTCTTCGTGTGTGCATGTGTGTGTGTGTATATATATCTAGGTGGCTTGCTGTGCATATCTATCACACCTACATCAGTGGGAGTCCAATGCTCCTTTGTGTCTCTTGTCACCCTGCTGTGCATTTCAGTGTGTGTTTGTTTTAGCTGTAGAAATAAAAAACAACCAGTACTATTCATCTTTGACTATGCCACCCATCTGTGCTTATCCACCTCTCAGGCTGTATTCAAGAAGCTACTGTATGGTCTGTGCTTCTTCCACGCCCTAACCCAAGAGAGGAGGAAGTTTGGACCTTTAGGCTGGAACATTCCTTATGAATTCAATGAGACCGACCTCCGGATCTCTGTACAACAGCTGCACATGTTCCTGGAACAGTACGAGGTACATAGTGCTTTCCTTTCATGGATGATTCTTCAGTATTTTTTAACTCTCTCCATTAACTCACTTAAGTCAGTTATTAGAAACATCATCACATGTTTCCCAGGTAAGTGCATACTAACACAACCTTGTTCTGTCATACATGTTTTAGACCCACATGAACTAAGTTCATATCGCTTGCACAAAATAAAACTGTCACATGCTTTTCTATGTTCACCATTCATATATACAGTGTCTAAGCAGATAATAGAAATTCTAGCCTTTACAAGTGGTTTCCTCCTCATGTAAGTATCTGCTTTCATCCTCTATATTCAACTCCCCTCTTGACATTTTTCCACAAACCGATAGCACTCCAGCCCTTCACCAGTCTTAGTTCCTCCGCTGTAGCTGAGAAAAAGTGGCAGAAATTAACTACTGAGGATATCTTTTTTGAAGAGTGACATTTTTATCTTGTAACCAAGTGCCGCTCAGTGAATTTGTAAGTGAAACCCTCTAGTGGAAAATGCCACAATGGGCACAGCCCTAACCTTTCACCTGCTATTACATCAGCTTTCATTCCAAGTCCAGGTCCTGAAGTGAATTTCAGCCAGGTCCCCTGTTACATAAGAATGTACACAACACAGCAAAGAATGTACACACAGACAAGGAAATCCTGCATCTGTCAATGCTCACCTCTCCTTAAAATGTGCAACTCTATTGCAAGGTCATTCTTTGATTCCTGTGTAAAATGCCTGATTTCTTGTTTCCTGCAGGAAGTGCCATTTGACGCCGTGCGTTACATGACTGGTGAGTGTAACTATGGAGGGCGTGTGACAGATGACTGGGACAGACGGACTCTTCGTACAATCCTCTCTATCTTCTACACTTCCAAGATCATCAAGGACCCTGACTATAAGTTTGATCCCAGTGGGATATACTATGCACCAGCTGAGGGAGATGTAAGAAACAGAATCACACAACATTGCTGTAAATCATAGCCAACAGCAGTCTTAGTATCAAGAAGGGTTCTTTATAAATCACAGCTTTAGCTTAGATTTGGCTGTAACCACATTAATACACATAGGATTTTACAAAGATTAGGCAGTGCCATGGTATTACCTGGGAAACTTTGCACAGTATTTCACATAGAGTTGGGCAAAGTCTGTTTTAGATACAAAGCAACTCACTCTTTTGCCTAATCAAGTGTTTATTCAACAAAACCCTATGTATTCTGGCTAGAGATGACCACACACACTGGGAGTTGATATGTAGGAGCTGTGTTTTGCATCAAGGACACTGTTTTTGTTGTATTCAAGATAGTTGGACCTTTTTGAGATATAATACACTGCAGCATAGAGCTGTTAAGCAGCAGTGTGTTTTTCCTTGAATATTCTCCAACAATATGACTTTCCTTCAGTTAAAACAGCGAATACACAAAGTTTAGAATATCACTACCTTAAAAACTCAAGAAAAGTTAAACTCGCTTTGATATGTTTGTTTCTAAACTAAGCATATTATAGACCTCACAGTTGCTTAGCACTGTTGTTGAGCTACCTTTAAAAAGTCATTAGGAGATAAAATGTGTGTAACAAGGCACAGCAGGCAACCACCATCAGTGAAGGTTGATATATTTGTTAACACAAGTGCAATCTATGGCGCGCTCCATTTTATTTGGCATTTTGTTCTCCAGTGCTGCACCCCCCTCCAACCACATCTTTTATTCATGAAGTCACATTTACATAGTCATTATCATAAATGTCAGCAATCTAAGGAGCCAACTTGTTTTTCAGAGAGTGTTATTACTGGAGATGTTTCCTGATGTTGCGTTAAAAATTGTCCTCTTACTTTACTCCTCTCACCTCCCCCTGTTTCTCTGCATCTCTGTTGCAGTACAACAGCTACATAGAATACACCAAGTCGCTGCCACTCAACCCGTCACCGGAGATTTTTGGCATGAATGCCAATGCAGATATCACCAAGGATCAGGCTGAGACACAACTACTGTTTGACAGCATCTTGCTCACGCAGGTAAATCAACCTAGACCTATGATACAGCAGGGATTATATTGATTAAGAGTAACTAAGTATCACACATGAACAAGTGTAAACACACACAATTGAATTAGTTGGTCCATCTTTTACAAAAATATGCTGACTAAGAACACTTTCCTATTCACTTAAATAGGAATGACTTTGTGGATTGGATATACAGTATACATACATATATTTATATATATATATATATATATATAGATAGATAGATAGTTAGCTTCCCAATCAGATTTTTTTTTAAATATTACTCTTGCTGACATTACAAGGCCACAATTTCATGTCTCTCAGACAATAACATCAATGTGATCCCGAATTCATTAATGCAGTATGCAATTAAATGACCCAGAGGTTTGTGACCATAAAAGTGGGTGAAAAATATCAGGCATTAAACAGCGCTGTTAAAAGTGAACTGATTTCTTGGTCGCTTCCCAAACCAACACGACCCCCTCTTGGCCACCATCCAGATACTCGGCTGGAATGTCAGTACTCAGTTGGTAGATTTTCAAATTGTATATAACATGCATCACACTCTCACCCAGCAAATGCATGATATGAACATACACAGAAATCACACATTTACCTAGGCACCGAAATACTGTCTCATACAAACACACAGCATCAATATGCTTACCTTTTTTAGTATCTTTGCCAGCCTTACATATTTATCTGCGCTCCACTAAAATAATCTATGCAATATTAATTAAAGAGAAACATATAAATAAACACTTTAGTTGTTTGTAGAGAGACTTCTCAAAGAACAAAAAGTCACACTGCAAAGACACAGTGTGACTCACTGCGGCAGATCTGTGTGATCCCACATCATTATATCTCAGCTCTGTAGAGTTAGACTATGTTAGCTTGTTGAGGATTATAGCTTACAGCTTCCTGGGTCTAGTTAATGTTTGCTGCAAATCAAATCTAAGGCATTTCACATCAAGGCCAACTTGAAAATGACACAAGTGCAGCTTCTCCTGCAAAGTGGAAAGATGTTTATTTATCTGTGTATCCCTTTATTTATTTTAAGATACAGTGCACTGCCTCTCCATTATCTAACATTTTTCAAAAGTTTAAATTGTCGGAATTCCCGTGGGAATTAAACTTGATATTAAACAAGTGCAAGGGATCAAGATGTAACAGCAGGCGAGAGTGTCTCTATACGTGTGCCTCTTTCAGCTCCTTATATACAGACCTGACTTGCTACAAACAAATAAAAAATTATTTCCACAGGCATGCCACTTCTAGATTCAAGTTAAAATTAGAGTCCAATGGAGTCTGACATTTATTCTTATAAACTCCATTCAACAAGATTAATAATGGTTTCAGTCATGTGTGAACTTTATTAGCATCTAATACAGTCTCATCCGTCTCAATGACCGATAAACACGGAGATGCTTCAAATGGAATGAAGCAACTATTTGTCATTCCCCTACTGTAACCCCGATGCCATTAGCCAATGATTATCCATTACCACTCGCTACTGACTGAGCATCAAATAGGTAAATGTAGCACTTGGACTGAGAGGAAAGTGGACGAATCACAGATGAGAGTGAATAATTATCAGCATGAATGATTATTAGAATTGTTGATAAGACCGTGTCAAATTACTGTGAGTGTGTGTGTGTGTGTGTGTGTGTGTGCGCCTGTGTGTGGGTGGGTGGATGTGTGAGTGTGTGTGTGTTTGTGTGTTGGGTGGGTGGGTGTGTGGGTGGGTGGATGGGTGGGTGTGTGTGGGCGTGTGTGTGTGTGTATTGGTGGGTGGGTGTGGGTGTGTGTCTAAAGATGAGATCCTAAGATTATACTTGCTAGAATCCCTCTGAGCCTGAGAAATAACCACAAATTAAGAAAGGGAAGGTAACTGATAAGACTATGATATTCTGTGTCATTTTGTGTCCTTTTGAAAGTAAAGTTAGAAGTCAGAACCTCTTAACATCAGGGTCTTTTCAGGATCAAAATAGCACCAATGCAAAAGAGTCCTAAAAAGGGAATACATAATTTGACAAGTCAAAGACAGCAAAAGATAATTTTTCCCCCAAAATGATGAACTGTCAAAGCAATCCAAGCCATAAGTCCTGCCTCCCCTTCTCATCCATCCTCTGACGCTCTGTGTCTCTGATCAGTCCCGCTCTACAGGCGGAGACGCCAAATCCTCAGATGACATGGTCTTTGAAGTGGCAGCTGACATCCTAAGCAAGCTGCCTGGAGACTTTGACTTGGAGGCAGCAATGAGGCGCTTTCCCACCAGCTACAATCAGAGCATGAACACAGTGCTGGTGCAGGAGATGGGCCGCTTCAACAACCTGCTCTGCACCATCCGAGGCTCCTGTGTCAACATCCAGAAGGCCATTAAGGTGCATACATACGTGGAGCTGATAGAAAGGAGGGGAATGTATTATTCTACACTGAGTGAAATTTGATGCCATTGCAAAGAGATGTGTAAGATGTGCAACACCTTACATATTAGCACTAAGGGATGGTAGTTAAATCTTTAAACTTGATCCTGGTCCCATTTTCAGTGATCCTTGTTATTTGGATAGTTACAGCATGATATATGGCCCAGTGTACTGTAATTACGCTTAATTTATTTGTTTTAGATAAACAGTAAGGCCAAATGATGAATTATTATTGATTTTATATTCCTGTGCAGTGAAAGCAATATTTCTTTAGTAGGGACACAACTCTGCTGAACGATTACAGGGGAAACTTTGGTAATATATCCTCAGAAATCAAATGCTGTAAGCATCAACACAACACACCGAGTGCACTAATCTAAAACTATAATTTTTCTATTAGTTTAACACTTTGGAAAAATGTAGAAATGAACAATTATACAGAAAAACTGCATCCACCTAAAAGTCATTGTGTGTTATTGGTTTTAGCGTCTTCCACGTCTACCAGCGTCTTTATATTATGCACTAAGTAAATGTACAAGCAGTGAGTGGTCTGAAAAAAAATAAATGTTGATGACCCTGAGGAAATGACTGGGATGAAGCAGCTATCTAAATCTTCAAATTGTGAACTAGTGCATTGACCTTCTCTTCAGAAAGTGCTCTGCAGCATAGAGAAGAACTGAGCCCACCCTGCTAAATACAATAGCTCGATTCCTGCAGTGCTGTTATGTATTCTAGCCACTTCTTTGTGCCTGGACTAAATACTGTACAGTATAATCTACAGCCATGCAAGCAGCTCTGTGAGGCTGTACAGCACAGTGGTGCTTTGAGCTAAATACTATCATCAGCATCCTAACACACTCACAATGACAAAGCTAATGTGCTGATGATTAGCAGGTATAATGTTTATCATGTTCACCATGTTGGTTTAGCATATTACCATGTTAACATTTGGTAATTGGCAGTAAACACACAGCGCAACTCAGGCTGATGGGAATACTGTTTTTGCAAGGACTTGGTCATAAACCTGGACAAATTGAAATTTAAAGGAAATGCAGGGAGATTACTGAAGTTATTACTATTCATCATCTCTGCAGCATGTATGTCTGTCCCAAATTTAATGGTAACCCGTAGCCGTCGAGACATTTCGGTTTAGATCACGGTGGAGAACTGGCGTTGCCATTCCTAGGATCAGCTGCTAACACGGCTATAAATATGTGCTTGTCTGCTGCCAGGTTGTTTGAAACTTAGGTTGTGGTTTTGCTGTCACTTGATCCATAAATAAACAAGAAGGAAGGTGCCTTAGTGGTAGGAGAGTGTAAGTAGTTGGCACAAACCACATCTGCTGTGTGTGATGAACGATGAATCTTGACGATTAAGCAGACTCCCAAATAGAGCTACTGTATCTTAAAGCCTTAATATGATTTTGTTGTGTTGTTTTTCATAATAAGTATTTCTTCAAATTGCTACCAAGATACATACTTGAAGTGAAAATAGCTATTTAGGACATAACATCCATCCCTCCATCTTTGTTGTATCTGTAATTATTTGATGCGTGTTGTGAACAAAAGACCAAACCAAATGTCATCTGAATGTGTGCATGAATATGTGTGAACACACACATGCGTCTCTTTATGCCATTTAATAAACAAACTTTCTACGTATTTCCTCTCCTTATGAGATGCACCTTCCTCATGGGATTGAATTGGAGGGAACATAAAAGAGACACTAAGGGGGTAAAAGCACATGATCTTTCATATTTATATTAAAGACCCCCTACAGAGTAACAAGAATTCCCATTATGTGGTTGTCCGTCACCTATAACCTATCTCCAGAGAGACAAGTATAAGTGACAAGCTTCGATTTCTCTCATATTAGCTTTCTCTCCTGTTCAATTCTGTGTTATAACAGCACTTGAACAACTTCACATTTTCAGGCTGTGAAGATGTCAATCATGTGTTTGTAGGTTGAGGTATGTCTGTAAATGTATGTGTATTTGTGTGTGTGTGTGTGTGTGTGTGTGTGTGTGTGTGTGTGTGTGTGTACAGGGGCTGGTAGTGATGTCTGCAGAGCTGGAGGAGGTGGTCAGCAGCATCCTGAAGGGTCGTATCCCAGGCATGTGGATGAAGAAGTCCTACCCCAGCCTAAAACCGCTGGGAAGCTACGTCAGTGACTTCCTGGAGAGACTCAAGTTCTTACAGGTACTGAAACCTGCCAAAGTGCTCCATATCAGACACTTGCAGTATAATACAAGTGTCTTGGGCTATTCATAACTGCTAAGTCAATTGTCTGAGACAAAATAATAACCTCAAAAAAAGAAGAGGGGCGTCGAGTGGCGCAGTGGGTTGAGCAGGCGTCCTATATGTAGAGGCTACAGTCCTCGCTGCAGTCGGCCCTGGTTCGAATCCCGCATTTGACGGCCTTTTACTGCATGTCATTCCCCCTCTCTCTGCCTCCCCATTTCCTGTCTCTCTCTACTGTGCTATCATAAAGGCATAAAAAGCCCCCAAAAAAAAAAAGACGACTGGAGGTTTACATAAAAAAGAATGGCAAAACGGAAATTGACACAAACAGAGAAATAATTAAAAAGAATAGAAAGAAGGAGACAAGAAAGAAGAAAGTGTCTTCTTAATCACGCTGCTTGTAGAGTCAGATTAGTATAAATATTTCACCATGGTCATTCCTCACTGGAAGGCAAATACCCAATAAGCAGCTTGCTCTGGGGGAAAAAAAACACAGAACACACTCCTTAAATGGTCATGTCTTCTTAAGTCTCTGGAACCCCGCTGGCTTGTTTGGCCTCAGAGGTGAAGAGCTGATATCACATGGAAAAGTTGACTTCAGTACATACTGTACCCTCTATAGTCAACTGCAACCCTGCCTTAAGCTGTGTCACACTTGAGTTGCACAAGACCACTTCATTTCACTGTGACTTATCAACACATAGGAGGTAGGTGGATCTATCACAGTTGGTAGAAAAAACACATGTAGAGACACACGGTCTGTCATGTGAGTCTGCAAAGTGAACTGCTTCACTTAACCATCAGTTTCCATGTTTCCCTTTTCTATTTCCACTGCAGAAATATCCTCCTGTTCATCATTACTCAGCTGACTGAAAAGAATTCAGTGTGTGTGTGTGTGTGTGTGTGTGTGTGTGTGTGTGTGTGTGTGTGTGTGTGTGTGTGTGTGTATAGTTATCCAACTGAAATGTCCACTCTTGACTCCCCACAGGGTGAACTGGAAAGTCTTGGCTTTCTTATCTGAGGCAGCAGCTTTCTTGACAGAATACATCCACACTTTAAGAAATCTAGACATTGTTTACTGTTTTAACGAGTTTTGAGAAGAAAAACAAGTTTCCTCTCAGGCAGACAGTATGTTCTTTGCCTAGCTTAGCATGAAGACTGGAAACACACATGTTGACTCTTGTCTCATGTCCAGTTACAGGGTACTTGTTCATCTTTAGATAGTTATCAGATGGTTCCACTGTGTGAGCTAACTGTGAGTAAAACTGTGAGCTCAACTGTGAGCTCTTTCTGCCTGCTTCATGTTCTTGTGCTAAGCTAGGCTACGGCTATGTTTTTCATTCTTTACTGAATGCACAAAGAAACTGATGTTCTTCCTCTCATCTCATAAAGCAAACAAGTATATTTTTGTTTAATACGAACTAGCAGGCTATTGGATGGAAAACACACAAAAAACTGATGATCCAACTTGAATGCATGTTGTGATTTTGAACTTTCAAAACCAAAGATGTCCATCTGTACTTTGTATTAAGTGCTAATTAGCAAATGTTAGCATTCTAACATGCTAAACGTTACATTATAACTGCTAAAACTGCTAAACATTAGTATGTTAGTATTGTCATTGGGAGCATGTGTATGAATGAGCACACTCTCAACATAGTCTGGGAATATGGGAAAACTAGCAGATATGTGAAGTGATGTTAATGGTTCATAAATATTCTGGGAGAAAGTGAAGAATTTCCTTTTTCACATTAGAATGTAGCATTTAAATGAGATGTGATACAACTGTGTTGACCTCAGCTCAGACATTTTTTGAGAGACTGCTTTCAGTGCTCAGTTCCTTTCACTGATCAGATTCACACTGTTCCCACACTCACATAATCAACTGAACATTATGTTTAAACATATGACATTGTAATGTAGTTGTGCTGTTCATATGTGCATTTTTTTTTTTTTTTTTTCTGTCGTGGATTACCATGCTGTATATAAATACAAAAACTGTACACAAAGTGTACAGTAACCTGAACCTAACCAACACTCAATCGTGTGAACCCACTTGAAAATCTTTGTGTCCACAGTACTCTGACTGGTTGTGTTATAATTGTCCCTCTCTTCTGTGCCCTGCTGTGTGTTCAGGACTGGTATGATAAGGGTACACCTGCTGTATTCTGGATATCAGGATTCTTCTTCACCCAGGCCTTCCTCACAGGCAGCCAGCAGAACTATGCCAGGAAACACACCGTCCCTATTGACTTGCTGGGTTTCGACTTCGAGGTCCTGGATGACAGACAATACAAACGACCCCCAGAGGACGGTACGATACTAGTGGGGGAGAGGAGGAGGAGACAGGATGAGCAAGAGTGGTTATAGTGAGAATGAAGGATGGTAGTTTAAAAGAAAAAGTAGGATATTAGAAGAGCTATTGAAAGGTGATATTCAGCAAATCATCCCCTAGTTTAATGAAGGCAGAGGTAAGACACTATGATAGAGAGCACTTGAGGAAGGAAGGATTCAGAAGGAAATGGAAAAAGATACAAGCTTTCAAACCAGAGAGTGAAATAAGAGGCACATAGGCAGTGGGTGGAGGAGAAGAAACAAACAGATGAAAACTGACATTAGGCTGACTGAAAATGAGAGAGGCGGAGTATAAAGTGAGTATAAAGTTGAAGCAAAGCCTCCCTGTCTCTTGCCTGCATGCGGGTCTGCATCAGCCCCTCGCTGTGCCTCCAGCTCTGCTGTGAGATTCTCAGTCAGTCTCACATAAAGTCTCACCATCAATCAGTTCCCAGCTGGGGCCCCATCACACCAACACAGCCCATACTGCCAAACTACTAATCTAACAGTGTGTTTGTGCATTTGAGTGTGTTATACTGACAGGATGCCAAGAGTCAGTTATCTCTAAATCTCGCCCTTTTTTCCCTGCACCATTAATAGGGGAGCTCACATGCTGTATGAAAAGACAGTGTTTTCACACAGAGGTCATTTCAGCTTGATTGATAAAGTTGTGTGGTTACTGGAAGAGCCAACATTTGCGTACGTGTTGTAGTCACAGGGTTCCTCCATGACTGTGGGTTATGTGGAGTTTGCAGAAGGAAGTGGATGACTCTAATAATAACACTCACCTCCTGTCTTCTACCTCTGAATGATTTTGTCAGGTGTGTACATTCGAGGCCTCTTCCTCGATGGCGCCCGCTGGGACAGAGAGACCAAACTTCTTGCTGAGTCCTACCCCAAGGTGCTGCATGACCCCATGCCTGTGGTGAGGAGCACACCCACTACACAATACTGTTAGTTAGAAAGCAACATTTAAGAATCCTCAGAAACAGATAATCAGACTGAACTGCCGTTTTGTCTCACTCCAGTCATTCAGCCTGACACCATGTTAGACAATGTCTCGTTGTTTATAGAGCACTAAATCCCAAATCACTTTTCATTCAGTTCAGATCAAACACTTGTGGCCACTCACTATGTGGTTAGCTATGTATGTAGTTCACTTGTTTTGTAAGCTAAAGTCATGACCTCACTATTCAAATGCACTTCAGTACGCACAACAGTGAGTCAACGCAACACACAGGTGTTCACACAGCTATGATTCAGTTGACATTTCAATATGTTCAAACCTTCAGTTTCGTAGAAGACTGCTTCTAAGTTTAAGTTTAATAGCCTATTATTGACCACAGTTATCACATTATAAATTCTACTGTGAGTTTTGTGATCATTTAATAAACTTTCAACAGCTGAGCTAACAACAGCCCCACAGCTAAAAGCTCCAGTCTGTGACAGTGGTGCTTCATTATAGTTTTAGCTTAAAGATTCCTTCTTCATGTACTAAACACATTTGAATCACTAAATAAATTAGAGCTGTAAGTGGTGATGAAGAGGTCTGGAACCAGGCTACCTCAGACACAACTTCGCTAAACAAATAGTGTGACAAAAACATCTCGCTGTTCTGTTTTTCATTGGCAGATGGAGTTTGCTTAGTTGTCAGAGATATGACGATGAGCACATTAAAGATTTTTTCTCATTATACAAAGTTAAATTGTTTGGGTTTTTTTTCAAAGTTTTGTTTATTTTCTACTTCTTTTTTTAAAGTCATTAACATGTTCAAAAATGGAAACTTGAATCTTGGAATATGCTCTTTCATGAGATTTTTTTTTGTCACCTGCTGTTTCCATGGTGAGGGTGAACTACAGAAACTCCCCCCATTTCTCCCAGATCTGATTCTGCTGCTCTGATGTCTCTTGTATGATGATAATCGGTGCAGTTTTAACAGCAGCTTTCAACACAGAGAAGCTTTTTAACTGAAAGTACAAATAAACACAGAGATGTGTGGGTTTACACTTTATATACTGTTAGGGTTTTACACCTCAATGAGGGCAAATATTCAGCCTTAGTTCGAGATGACTTGGTAGTATAGGCTGTAGTGAAAATAACATAACGCATAACATATTCTTATATAAAATCTGAGGAGGTTTATTGATTCAGCTCCTGTGAATCCCTATAGGTGTCAAAAAGAGGAGAGATATGAGCCTCATTTCAAATCATTAAAATTGGGCAGATTCCAGTGTTATTCAGCTTGTAACCTCCTACAAGGAGGTTTGGTTTTTTTTAATCACAGACCAATTTTGTGAGTCTCCAAGGAGAAAGTGAACAACAAGCAGCAGACTGTAGCTGCAGTTCTACCCAGGAGGATGTTCACATCTCCTTGTTCTCTGGACTCAGCACAGAGCAGCTTCAGCACTTTCTCACATTGTGCCTGTAGGAAGCCTGGCTGCTTCTCTCATCCTTATATTAATTGAGTTTGATATGCTATATGAAAGTAGACTGACAGAGTGATGGAAGCGGAGTGCCAGTGGCTAAGAGCGAGCACCGCTCAAGTTTTCCTTGTTTTCTTATTCTTTTTCTCCCTCTGTTGTCTCTTCTTCACTATGCATTCAAGTGATTATGAATAATGCACAAGACTGACTTTTTAATATTCAGACATTTCAGGGCAAGTTATTAACAGAATCAGTTTTTGACAAGACCAGAACTTAATTAAAAATGTGTTTATTATTTGTTGGGGAAAAAACACAACAGAGGCCGTGACTGGCTTTGAAATGCAAATCTTCATAGAGGCGCCCGTTATGGAACCAGATCAGTACTCTTCTGGCTGCAACTCAACAAACTGTTTTTGTTTCTTGTTTTTTTTTGTTTTTTTTTTTCCTTGTAAGATGTTTTTTGAGTGGCCCAGTTTATCCCTTTTGCATAACCAAGACTTGTTAATAGCCCAAAGGGAATATTCCTTGTTAATGCAATTGTTTTATAAGTTTATGTCCCCAAAGTTATAATTTGTAAGTTAATGTTTGGATAACAAATCAAGATCCAGGTTAGTTTCTACTGTGTTAAATGTTTATCTGTCCTGACCTTAAATATAATCTGATCATTTTCTTTGAATACAACCACGTCCGATATCATGCATTTGTCCTGTAATCAGGACAGTTCATTTTGTTGCCAGTTTTTTGTTCCAGTCAAATATTTTGAAAGGAAAGCAACCTCTAAATGACACAGACTTTTTGCCAAAGTGGCTAATGGATAAAGAAGTAGGCAAACATGGCAGCCACCCCTTAAATTTTAAATCCCATCATTTGGCCTTGTTGGCCCCTGACGGCCCCTCTGTAACGCCTCTCTGTGCTCTGTAATCTCTCTGTCAGATGTGGTTGAGGCCCATTAAGCGACAAGACATCCCCCAGAGGATGTGTTATGTGGTGCCAGTCTACAAGACGAGCGAGCGGCGCGGCACCCTGTCCACCACTGGACATTCCACCAATTATGTCATCGCCATGGTGCTCAACACCAACGTGCCCGCCGAGCACTGGATCAGACGCGGGGTTGCGCTGCTCTGCCAGCTCAGCTCCTAGTCTCTGTTGTCTCTGTTTAGTTTTACACCTCTGTTCAATACAAACTCTGTAACTGTGATTACAAAAATGAAAAAACACACTGTCTCTTGTGCCTTTTTATGCAGGAATCTACAGGAATACAACTATGGCAGGTAAGAATAATTCGATTAGAAACAATAAAAACATAGCACCCAAAGTTTAAGTGTTCAAAAGTAGTTGGGCACTTGAACACAAGTCATTTGAACTCAACAGCTAAATGTTTCGTGCGCAGCTGTGTGTTTTTACGTTAGTTCAAGCACAAAAGAGCTCACATGTTGCTCAGAGTTGAGAGTTACCATTTTAGATTGAGGCGGATTGTCTGTCAGTATGAGGAGTATGCAAGTGAAGAGGATAATAATGAGGCTCAACAAAAAGCAAAACTCTATCAAAATCTTGTGGATGAGCGGAAAATCATTTTCATGCTGAAGAAAAACCACTTCATGACTGCACAGCAAGTCAACGACGCTCTACAGGATGTAGACGGACAGGTTTCCTTGTAGATGATGAAGAGAAGAGCAGAACCTCAGAGGGTTCACTGCAGAGGTCAGGTTGTAGTTCACAGAAACATACAAAAGAAACCAGGAACAAAGTTCTATGGACTGATGAAACAAAAATCAACTTCTATCCAGATGATGGAAAGAGGAAACTGTGGAGGAAAAAAGAAACAACTCATGACCCATGACGCACCTCATCTGTCAAACATGGTGCTGGTTCTGTAATGACTTGGGCATGTATGGCTACAATGGAACTAGCACATTGGCATTTATTGATTTCACTGCTGACAGAAGCAATACAGAGATATAGTAGGACATTCTTCAGACTCAGATTCAGTCAAATACATCTAAACTCATTGGACAACATTTCATTATTATTTAACTGTGGCTTAGATAGAACAAATAGTCAGACTTCTGATAGACTGAGTCTATCTAAATTCCTCCGTTGCACAAGCAGTTTAATTCTCGGTAAATTAAGACTTAAAATAAAATAAAAAAATGTCGACCTAGGAAACGCATCCAACTTCTCAGCTCCGTTTACCGCTCCGCACCGTTTACCCCAGCAGAAAATGTTTGTCTCTTGGAAGAATTCAGCAGTTACAAGGACGTTTCACTTGGGAAATTCAGCAAAGAGTGAAACTATTTTTTTAAGTGATATGGGAAAAGAAATGACTGCAGTCTCTAAAAACTATTTCCCTTCTCATCACTCTCTCCATAACAATGTTAGCAAGCCACAAATTATGAGCCATGTTTTCCTATTTTTAGCTGTTCCGTGCTGGTCAGCGCGGGTGTGATTGTTACCCTGGCAACATTGGTCTTAGGCCTGAGTTAGCCTGGGGGTAAGGTGTCAATTTGTTTTACTTAAAATGATTCAGTCTTTATTTGTGTGAAACGGTCTTACTTCCATTAGACTAATCTATGAGCATAATATGAAAATGAAGACTAGACTAACGTTAACGGAAGAGTCTATAATCTTTGTAAAATATCTCGGTCTGACTGAGCTGCATTCAAAGGCAGAGAGACACCACAGCAAGCAAGAGAGGAAGGAAGCTGCACTCAACAGTTCAGTTACATGAACTACTGGTATTCGTTATGCGTTATACCCATGTAGGTGCATCCGTATGTATATATATATGTGCGTATATATGCCTCTATATATAGGAATGGGTGTGTATGTATGTGTGTATATGCAGACATGGGTCCATGTACATATTTGATATTTCAATGAATTGACTAATTTTACTGATGTGGGGTGGGGAGTGACGATAATGGGGATTTACAACTTACTATTATTGTTATTTTTAATATTTTACTCAACTTGATTAATTTGTTGTATCATGTATTCATGTTGTATCAAGTATTTTAACTAAAATTGAATGTGCTCAAGTTCAGAGCCCGAAGACTAAAAATAAAAAAAACTGTCCAAATACATTTGGTCTCATTCTTGTGGACTCAACAGTCAGCAGGTATAAATGCACCCAAACACTGTAGAAGCCACATTCCCAGCAATTTATTTCTGATTGCAGAAATACATTCAGACCACGCTGGTAACTTCATTATGCAGAGCTAGCAACAGCTCTTACAGCAGCCAGGGCACTGCAGTGTCGCACCTGCACCTCACACATTTAGTTTCTAAATCTACGCTCCATGCACTGAGCTTTCGCATATATTTAAGAATCAGCGCTACCAAACCTGCTGATCTGGGAACTGCAAACTGAAAAAGGAGACGAATAGAGGCAGAAGAGTGATACTGACAGATTTGTGATGCTGCTGTGGATTTGCTGTTGTCTCTCTGACATGATACCAAAACCCTTCAGAGATCAAGAGTCAGGGATCTTTTCAGAGTTTTTATTTTCTTTTCGTAAAGGGGACAATGCACAGACAGGCAAACAGCACGGATGTCACATTTTACATTTCATATCCAGATTACTAAACAAATATACAGACAACAAAGCAAAAAAGAGAACAATCATAGACTTTAATTTTATGGACAATTTTCTTTGCCCAATTAACAGTGAAGAAACTTTGTATTTGGGGCATAGAGTCTTAAGTGTCACTAACTCTTATCAAATACATGACAGGACAGTTTAGAAATGACTGAATAGTATGAACTCCTGTTTTAAAGAGCAGATGATGATTAGCTTATTTGATGTTAGAACAGAGTGAAATTACATTCAAGTCGTTTTAATTTTTTTTTGCACTAAATTTAAATATGAACACAAGATGGAATAAAAAAATGCTTGTAAAAAGATATAGAAGATGATGAGCTATATTCTGCCACCTGCATATTTGCTGTTAGCTAACAAAAAAGGCTCGTAACACTAGTTACACTACACCCCAAACAACGTCTCATTACCTTCACACTCGCTTCATTTAAAAAGTAACAAAGGTTGTCAATATTTTAACTTTGCAGTACAAAGAATGAAAACAATTTTACACTCGACACGACGTCTGTACCGTTTCACTCATGCTTCATGCATGAATCAGTCAGATCGATAACATGAGCTCAATATGACTGACGATGACTTACAGCCAGTTAAGACATAGACGATGGATGTCACACAGTGACAGGATAAATGAAGCCACACACATCATCTGTGTGCTCCAGCAGCTGAAGCTAGGGCTAGCTAGCTTAGCATGTGAGCAGCAGAGTAGCCAATGGAATGTCGGGGGTTGGGGCAGGGGCGGGGAGGTGTCGAGCACCAGCCACTGAAATTCCACACTCGGGCTAGTTTTGGCACAGTCACCAGACTTTAATGTTCACACCCAAACATACATGAGGAATGCTTGTAAAAATATTATTAATAATAATAATAATGATAATAATAATAATAATAATAAGAATAATAATAATAATAATAATAGTAATAATAATGATCCTCTGGTTTGACAACCTGGGTTTATCATCCACTACAAGTGCAGGGAATGCTCATATGAAAGCACACTGTGCATCATCTTGCTGTGAAACAAGAGTACTGTCTTTTGCTTGGTCTGTCTGCGATTGTCAGGAAGTTCAGTGATTCTTCAAAACTATTAGCAGGAACAAACGTTTGCTTTAAGCTGCTCTGCTCAGCTACTGACACTATAAAGACCTCATGTATTTACAGTACTTCAAGAAATCTGCATTAGTGTGACAACTCAACCTCCTACTGTAATTAAATGTCCACTGCAGGGCAGTCCCATCAGACAAAGCACCTTTTAGGAACTCAAAGAGGCACCCTAAATGAATCTAGTAAACTACAACACTTTCTGATGAAGAATAATAACTAGTTTTCACATTTTGAAGCTGCTGATTCTTGTAAAGAGAGATAAAGTAAAACGCCTAAGGATATGTCTCATTTGGCTACAGATTGTCAAACCCTTAAAAAAAAGTCAGACACTTGTGATTTCTAGGTTTCTAAAGAAAAAACATTATTACTTTAAATGCTAATTTGTAAAGGCTTTGGCAGCTGCATTAGTTTTTACTATGAACTACAATAGGTTTAATAATCCCAACAATCTAATTTGACAATTAAAAATAACTCAAAATTAACAAATGGATAAAGTTGCAATTGAATAATAACACTGAGTCATTTAGATCATCTCCCACATATAGTCAGGGGAACATGTTTCTGTTTTGACACTGCAGCTTAAAAGCTGTGGAAACATTTTCGCAGGTGAAGCAACGCGAGCTAAAGGGTTAATTCCAGATGTTGGAGCGAGCTAGACCAGGCTCTGCGTCTCTTTACACTGTGCTAGAGCAGCTGTGGTGCTGCTCCAGTGGCCAGGGCTTGGCACACAGAGACACGAGATGTTTGATACATGGCGTGATGACATCCACAGCTGGTGATGGATGGCGGATGGGACACTCACACCACAGATGTAGGAGGCATGGATGATGGGACACAGCACAGGGTGGATGAGAGACGAGGATGTGGGAGGGGTACGACGACAACACGTTTAACAACAGGTGATGATGGATAGGCGGCGAGCTGCTGGGCTGTGACAGCTGCGTCTCTGCACCACCGTGGGTCCTAAACCACCTCAGTATCTACAGCCCTTCTTTTTTAGATGGAGTTAACTGGTCGAGAGCAGGGGTGGTGTTTTCTGGATGGAGTGCAGCCTCGCTCTTCTTTCATTCAGCCTTTTTTTTTTGTTGCTGCTCGGGGAGCAGACAAATTGGGGCTGACAGAGGAGAGGTGACAGTGGAGCAGAGAGTAAACATCACTAGCAGAGTCATGAGATATGCATAAACTATCGTTGCATGTTCGGAGCGGAGGCACGAGCCATGAACGAGACTCACACTGCATGCAAGACTGGGCCGATACACTGCAAACGAAGCATGTTAAGGCCAAGAAGAACAATACTGAAACATCCAGCTCCCCCGTCCCTCTCTCCTCTACTAAAAGCCAAAATCAAAAACGATGCGATCTTCGAAGATGGCGATGAGCAGCATGATGCCGAACCCGGTCAGCATGCCCAGGTTCTGCAGGATAAAGTGTCCCAGCTGGCAACGCTTGTGGTCCTCGCTGTCCCCGTGAAGCATTTCTGGCAGCTACGAAAGAGACAAAGTAACCAGTTGGGATCAGAGAAGGACTTCCAGGAATTAGCATTGCAGATCAGGAGGCAGAGAGAAGAGGATTGAGAGCCCGTGTGGGAGAGGTGAAAGTGAAAGTTAAGCTAATGCTGTTGGCGGGAGGAAGGGGGGGGGGGGCAATTATCACTCTGGGGCTCTTGAATGCACTGTGCCAACTTACCATATCCACCAGAGCCACATAAAGGAACATGCCAGCTGTGATGGCGAAGATCCAGTTGGTGACATTGTGTGTGTACTGGCCCACAACTGTGCCAATCATCATGCCAACGTAGGCCATGAGGGCGGACAGCAGATTGTAGACAATGGCCTGCTTCACTGTCATCCCAGCTTTCAGCAGCACCGCAAAGTCACCTGTCAGCCAGTGGAGACACACACTCATTTAAACACCATTACAGCAATTTCCATATATCCATCTCTTATTCTGACACTGTCTGCAAAACTGCATCCCAACATTTGACGCTCGTCAGCGATTCCGCTGGGCTCACGAGTTGTTTACGAAATGTAAAAGCCACATAAAGTGTAAAGCTGCAGCGCTGACAGCGCTGTGTCCAATTCCTGTTTACAGTTTGCAGAGTGACGTGCACTTTGCTGCACATAAACCCCTGGGTGAAAGGCTTGGCACATGTCACGCTGTGTGTTTTATTTTTTATTTTTTCAGTCAATTCTGACTGTGCCTTCGGTGATGAGGTGAACCTGTTCAAAACAAACTCCCTCCACGCATCTGCCACCGCTATCTGTCTTCAAGTAGGCGAGACACAGACCAGGAGCTGCTCTTTCGAAGAAATATGTCTTTAACTCCCCCCTGATACACTTATGATTACATATGCATGCTGTAGCCTCTCTACCCTCTTCAATCATTGCCGGGCCAAATGCAGGAAGAGGCCCAAGTCTCAGCGGAAACGCCCTGGATTTGGAAAGAGAGATGAATACTGAGAAGGGGGTGGCCTACATTTCCTGCGCTGTGTAACAAGCGGCCTCTTTTCCTCGCTAATTACCACAATGAATATATTACCACTCTGCTCTCATCCATCAATCAAAGCCCGATAAAAAAAGAGGGTGAAGTTAAAGAAAGACAGTCGGCACACACCTCACTTCAATGGCCTTTTTTTTTTGCCTCTTCAACTCACTGTGCTGTTTCCTGCCTCCCCAGTTCCAGTTCTTCAGACGCTCAGACACGCCTGCCACCGCCTCATCTACCGCAATTAACACACCCATCACTGCCAATTAGCTTCACTCTGGGTGGTTAAAGATGCCTCATAATCATCATCTTTCCATCCAGCTGCCAGTCGGGGGACGGCTTTTGTGTTCAGGAGGAGCTGAGAGGTGCACTCGTCAAACTGCTGGGTTTGTCTGACAAGCGGCCCGATGGGGGTGAAGGCACGACAACAAGTGCTCCTCAAAAATGGGCTCTGAATCAACAGGAAATGTGAAATTGCACTGAGGGGGGGAAAAAAAAGAGAACGATCTCGCAAATGTTCACATGCCGCTTGGACGGGACTCATGGTGCAGTTAACCATCTGGAAACTCGAGTACAAGTGAGTAAAAATAACCATAAATCACAGAAATGTTCAAATCAAAGCTCAAGCTCTTATTCTATATGATCCCGAAGCCTAAACAGCAGATTTCTTGGCACTTCAAACTGCTAAGTGCCAAACATCGCAGACTATAAAGCAGATTTTTGTCACATTAGTTAAACCCAAATGTGCTTCATCCCTTTTCTTCACATATTCCCACTAAACACAACAGCAGAACAGGAAGCCGCTGGTCAAGACAAGGGGGGGCGGGCAGACAAATGTGGGCTATTATTCACCAGTTCACACTCTGCCATAATTGACACTACTCTATTCTTCAAGCGCACAAACGAGGCATGGAAACTGCGCCATGACGAGACACATCATTAGTACTGATCTGCAATGGATGGCCCCATTGTCTGTGTGTTTCACCCCCCGTCCTCTTACTATAAACAAACGGGCAGAGGAGTAAAAAAAAAAAAAAAAAAAGCATAGCTCTAAACAAAACTGTTCGCTGTTGCTGAATCAAACTGAATCAAAAGGGTCCTCGGAGAGAACACGTTTGAATGCAAATGAATGCACCAGCAGCTGTACCATCTTTGAGTCTGACTGTATTGAACAATGTGTGCCAGGCGCGCTGCATCATCTTCACTGACAGACACATTGACAGGCCATTTCACTGCTGTCAGACAAAAGCCATTAATCTGGCAAAAAAAAGTACATTTTTCTGCAGAGAAGAGAAGAGTGATGATTATTGACACCACTGGGTTTTTAACAGGTTTCAGGGGACAGTTGATTGTGAGACTTACTCAGATTAAAGTTTCTGTGCGGTGAATTAACTGCCCAGCCTTCCCAAAAACAGCTTTGTTCTCGTTGAATAAATTAAGTGTGCAGTGTGTAATGAGTAAATGACTTGTTTTGTTTTGTTTTGTTAAACACTTTCTCTTGGTGCGTGCGACTTACCAAGCTCATGAGGTAATTCGTGGCAGAAAACAGCCACTGATGTGCTGATGCCTCCTGTCAGGTTTGCACTGAACGCTGCACCTGTAGAGATGAGATCAGTGTCAGAGAAAAGTCTGGAAACTTTCAACACTCGTCTCCTATCTCTCCCTGTTTCCAGTCTTTATGCTAAGCTAGGCTAACTGACTGCTAGCTGTAGCTTCATGTTTAAAGAGAGTGGTATCAAAAGTGAGTTAGTGCACTTCCCAAAATATTGAACTTTCTGGTCTTCCTGACCTTGGAATTTGTGGAGGAACATAATTTTGCAGTAAATGTGGTAGCAACATAATGTTTGCAGATTTTACAGAATTTAATCCAGTAACCATAGTAACCATTAACCAGTCACAACCTGTGACCCCTCAACACAATGCAATGCAAAACCAGCTTTATCATCAGACTGAACTGCCACTTTCCTTTCAATTAATCTATAATATCTGAGATGTGAGGCGGTGGTAACAAAATTCAATGGAGTTGCAAAGTGACAGGAGCTTTTTTTTTTTTTCTTTCTCCCATTCGTTTTTCCCAGACAAAGTTACATGATGCACAGTTGGAGCTTCTACAGGAGAAGTTACGAACAAACTCTGAAGGTGCATTTCAGTGAGAATCTGTCATGTGAGGTGCTGACAGCAGAGCAGAGCTGCAGCTTACAGTCAGGAGAGAAGTGAAAACACAATCTGCAGCTTTAGTCAGTTCACATTTAAATTCTGGCTTCTTTTCCATGGCAACAGCACCTGAGGCACAAGGGTATTGTAGTATTTTGAGCCACAACAAAATGAGAGAAAAAAAAAAAAAATTCTCAGAAACAAAGTTGAAATAATTGAAACTGGTGGTCATAACAGGGTTGTTACATTCTCCTTGAGAGTACCGTGTTTCTGTTTTTTAATACCATTAAAAACATTGTTTAAAGAAAATGAAATGAAATTGGAATACAGAACGGGGAAAAACACTCCCAGAATCAGCAGGCCCTCCCACTGCTGCTCTATCATAAATGCTACTACTTATTCTGCCAATATTTAATTTTGCCAATTAATTCCTTTAATTCGTACATTCCACTTTAATGTGTCTGGCTGTTCTGTTAATGAAGTAAAAAATAAAAAATACTGAAGGAAAATGTGTCAAACCATCCAAAAAGGACCAAACTCAGTGATTTTTTTTCATCACTTCTATGTCATACTAACACCTGAACAGTTAATATCAGCTATTGTGCTGTTTCTTTTTATTTGGGGCTATGAACTATTAACTGAATATACTCTATATGTCATGGTCTCAGCCTGGAGGCTCCAGGTTTTTGGTTTTTGGACTTTCTTGGTTGGGTTTTCTGTGTTTTGGGTTTCTGTTCTGGATTTTGAGTGTTTCTGGTTTGGGTGTTTCTGGTGTTAAGTTTAGTCTTCCCTGTCTTGTGCTCTGTTTCCCTGTGCACTTCCTGTTTTGTTTTGATAGTCATGTCACCCCAGTGTCTGAGTTCTAGTTTTGCTTCCTTTTGTTAATCATCCCTGATGTGTCCCGCCTGTTGTCTTCACGTTTGTTCATGTCTGTTTCATGTCACGTTTGGATTTTGGTTAAATAAACCTGCCTGCACCGTCTCCCAAGAGTTACTTACTTACTTACCACGCAAACCCGTGACACTATATTACAGTGCAGTTTTTTATTAATTTCATTGAGAGAGGAAATGACAGAGTTGTCTGTGATTGGCCACTCATTTTTTTGACCTATTTATTTACTTGTTATGATACAGTTTCGTCCATTTTTAAACCATAATTGTCTCACTTTCTCTCTGATGTGAGAGGTCGACTGTCGCCCATGATGATAACCATGGAAAGCCACGGCTGCCTGTGAGGTGGGACATTGATTTGATGTTAACTATAGTTTGCTGATAGTATCATCCAATCAAGGATCAATAAGGTTAACCCCTGCCTCTGTTGTCTGTTATCATATGATTGAAATTCCATACTTTGGCGGCATGAAAACACCCAAACCTGTTTCCATAACAACAGATGTAACTCCAGCTGCTGATGAGTTAGTGTCAGTAAGGTTTCCTCACAGCAGAAACAGTACAGATAAGATACAAACTCAAACCCTGTTACCTATGGCCAGGCCGTCACTGAAGTTATGCATGCCATCGCCCATGATGACCATCCAGGCGATGCTGGCTATACCAGCATCCTTCATCTCCTGGTCGGAGTGGCAGTTCCCACCATGAGAGTGCCCATGGCCATGTGAGTGGCTGTGCCCGTGACTGTGCTGCTTGGCCTTGCGTCCGTTCTCCTTGGTGGGTGAGTGGCGGTCCTGTTGGGAGTTTGTGGCTGCCAGCGGCGTCTTGTTAGTGGGGGAGTCGGGTGTCTGGAGTTCCGTGAGCTGTGTGTCGTTGTGACCGTTGTCGCAGGAGATGGCCGTGCTGTCGGGGTCTGTGAGAGAGAGACAGAGGAGACGTTCCAGTAATAGCCCTCAGAGACAAAGCCAGTTTCAGCCAGGCTGTGAGCCGTAACCTGAACACTTCTTACCTTCACTGAGTGGCTTCAGGTGCAGCCACTCTGCATCTGAGCGCCGATTTAACTTGTGATCTGACAACTTCCTGCCAATCTTCCCCTCCTCATTCACCTTCTTCATGCCCTGTGAGCAGCGACACAAGTTTATACACAACCCAAAAAAAAAAAAACTGCTTGTGAGAATTAGTGTCTGATAATAACTGTGAGGTTCAGCCTTGTCCAAATAGCAGGGTCATGTTCATCTTACCCTTTGGTCTTTGTAATGTTTGAACATGCCGATACAGTGTTCGATGATGAAGAGGAGGTAGATGCCGGCTAGAGCTGTTAGGCCCTTCCAGACTCCATCAAACTCTGTTACCAGATTGGTGTCGTGGCTTGTCCCTGGCTCGCTGTGGTCGTGCTGCCCTTGAGACTGAACACAGAGAGGAACAAAAGACGACTGAGAGACGGCGCATTTATCAGGACATAAGTAGATTTTCATCTTCTCCTCTGACAGATCAAACTCCTACTGCCTCTTCTCAGTGAGAGGAAGAACGCTGAATAGAAGAACAGAATAAGCAGTAAGGGTGAAGCAGAGGATGGTTGATAATCACAAAAATCCCTTATAAAAAGTACAATGACTACATTACCTGAGCTGTGAAATAATTATAGCTCAGCAGTTCCTTAACTGTAAAGAATTACAGTTGAGGAAATGTTTCATTTTTAGGTTGATCCCTGAATTAGAACTACAATTCAACATGTATGTGAACTACATTCAAGCATTTTACCGGACCACCACAGCTGTGTATCAGTTCACCTGGTTACTTTATCCTTCCTGAACTCTGCACAATTTTTATAATTCGTATCCATATGAAGCATATATTGATAATGTCAATATAACTGCAGGAAAAACAACTCATATGAGATTCTTGCACCTTTCAATATGTGATGTTGGATGAACATCTTAATCAAGTTGTGTATGATGTTGTGATGTGTGACGTGATGCAGCCGTAACATGTCATCTCTGGAGGTCATAAGTCAAAATATAGGCCCACTCTTAAAACCCTATCTTTGAAGCTTAATACATAGCAACCCCGATTTTTGTCATATTTTCAACAACAACACCCACAGTTACAGGTTAGTCCAGAGGAAGGAAAAGACAAGACCACAAAATTGATAAGGTAAAAGACAGAACTCATCACATTCAACAGCTCCACTAAAGGTTTTTACTCCACTGTGCACAACTGGTCTTCTGGCTCTCTGTGGTGTACTCACGTGAGGCAGCAGGTGAAGGAGAGCGTCGCCACTGAGCGTGCCCACTGCCAGCGCCACCAGGAAGGTGAGCAGAAACTTGAAGCAGCCTTGGTTGAGGATAGGCACGAGGACCACGCCCAGCAGAGACAGCAGGCTAATGATGGTGATGGACACAAAGCCCCAGACCCAGACCCACACTGGAAACGGAGACAGACAAAGACAACGGGAAAAGGATGAAAGGTAAGTATTCGCTTCACATGTACTTTACAACAAGAACCAGGAGCCCAGTGCCTGGTAGCCACATGATGTTTTTGATATGTAGTGGGACTAAGGACTGTCTGGTCGGATCAAATGCTGTCACAACTTTAGCCAGCCAGCTCCATTGTTTAGAATAAAGACTATGCTAACAGCATCATTCAACTGCCGGCTAAATATATTTTCCCATCCTGTTCACATGTAAAGGAAACTATGCTCCAGAGGTTTTCAATCCGTGGCGTCCTTGTGATGACACATGAAGCCGACAGCGAGAAACATAAAGTGACATTTCAGCAGAATTCGACTCGCCTCATTTTTCATTCAAGGCCATGGACACACGACATGAAGCAGAAGAGAAGAAGTCAGAAAGGTACACTATCACTTAAAGTGTCAGTCTGGCTGTCAGTCCAGGACGTGTCTCAAAACAGCACAAGACAGAGAAGAAAAAGTTTATAATTCTTCCGTCACAGAGGACAAAATGCTTAATGTGGTATGAAATTCAGTGTAACAGCAAAGCTGGTGGTGTGTTTGCTAAAGTGGTTGTGGGTCCTTCACTGCTGACATTCAGCTGTACTGTAGGTAGTCCACTGACTAAAACACAGTGTGCATGTAATGCACAACTTACAGACAACTGACTTCTGTTTAGCATTTCAGAAGAAGCATGTCACAACACACTCATCTACTGCTCTGTAAATATAGCACTGAGAGGTACAGCAAATATTTGTTCCTCACAGATTCTTAGGTTTATATCCATGGAATTTATTTGCTCTGTTTTTAGAGTCAAAGGGTTTTAAGTGTATTTTATTATCTATAACAATATGACAATATAAATATACCAATATGGTATAATTATCTCAACTTGTCATCGTATTAAAAACTACTGAGCAATAATAGATCTCAGTTCTCATGCACAAAACGACCTAGCTAAAGAGGAAAATTACTAATAACAGTAAAAACACACTGGCAGACACTCTTCCTCTCCTCATCTAATCGACCCCAGGTGGTGTCACTTGTGGAGAGATGATCTGAAACACGTCTTCTGCCTGACGGAGCAGACTTTAGAGAGACTGAATCAAGCTGTTACTGTCCCGTTACCCAGCTGCAGGATAAAAAAAAAAAAAAAAAAAAAAAACACATTACAAAAAACGGTATCCAGGCTCAGACTGCAGTCGTGGCAATCAGAAAACAGGAGGCTGAAGGTCCTGCTGAGGGAAATATTTTAAGTGAAGAGGCAACACTGATCTTGTAGTGCTGATTACACAGTCGCTTGTCTTTAGCTTTTGGGAAGTTTGCTCCCCAGACTCAAACTCTCATGGCACGTTCACGTGTCCTCTGAAACCAGAACAAAAATCAGGAGGCATGTGGTGTGCTGATGATGGTGGTGGTGTTAGCATATGATTCACATTATTCCAATATATGGAACACACACACACACATACATACACACACACACACACAAAATCTGCTGTATCCATACAATGATGTATATGTATGTATATATATATATATATATATATATATATAACAGCAAATTCTGTGTTGTCCTGAGTAAGAATTAGAATGAAGAGTGTGTATTTCTGTTGAACCCTTTGATGGTAAAATCAAAGGTATAAGTGACAAAGTCCTGGAATGTGGCCCCACAGCATTAAAATAACCAACAGTCTCTTCCTGTTCTGTCAGAGAGATGAATAAAAACATTTTAAACCACAGAACTTGATAACAACAATGTTACAGCATTGTAGATATGATGTTATTGTTGTTGATCATTGGCCGATATGTAACCTCACTCTCCATAAAAGCTCAAGAATGCTCTCAGCTTCACACACAGAGCAGTAGACAACAGTCAGTCATCTCTGCTACAGCTATGAAGTGCCCGTTTATCGGCTGTACGCGTTATGGGGAAAGCCTCATCATTAGGAAGGACTACATAGACGGGCTAAATTCATTTTCTCATCACAGTTGAAAATGTCTTTAACAACCCTCATTTTCTTGTTTTACTGTTACAGCCATTTTCATTGTGCCTTACAAAAGTAAAGATGCTACAGTCGACTGCTTTCTTATTTGTTGCATCAGGCGGAACAGCGTGTAACCCTGAGAGGCAGCTGTATATCAGCCCGACAGCACATCAGGTCCTTCGCACTCGCGCAGCTCATCTACTTCTCTGTCTCATTACCTTTGTGCGGTTGTGGTTTTGTGTGCGTGGAGGTGGGCACAGGTTTGAGGTGGAGAGATAGAGTGTGGTGATGAGGGAACAGAAAAGAGGAGAAGGAGACCCACTGGTCTGTGTCTTCTCTCCAATTACGCATCTCTTTTGAGCCATGGCTCAGAAAAATGGCCCAGGGTGTTGCTTAGGCTCTCCTAATTGGCACAGTGCACAATGAGAGGGGTGTGGGGACCAGAGAGAAACCAATTGCAAATTTTCTGTGCTCCCCCATGGATGCCGGCAGGAGGTAAATGAGAGGTAGCTCCGCAGCATGTGGCAATGTCTGTGGTTGAGTCTTGGTGCACCAATGCAGGGAAACTAGCGCCTCTAGTCCTCCACTAATGAGGAGCCATTCCTGCCCTCTTGACTTGTTCGTGCTGTCTTCCTCGTGGTCATTACCATTTTTATGACTGTTTTTGGCGGTGGCACACTGCCTGAGGCACATGTGATACAGGTGTCTCCAGAGGGGCGTGTGCGTTTAATAATTAAAGATTTAAGAGTGAGTGCATTTAGGGGATTCCTCCAATCTCACGGTTGAACTTAAGCGCCCGCTGCTTTGACAGTGTCATCCCATCCCGAGTGCAAAACTGTGACGTGTGCACATAAGCAACAAACACTTCTGCGGCTAAGATGATGTTTTTTCTGTCATTAAAACACATTCTACCTCCAATTAAAAATAAATTCAGGTTGTGGTGAACATCTTATGACCCCAAACTGTCTATGTTGTCCATTGTTTACAGCTTCTCAGCATCTCGCTCATTTTGCATAACTTATATGAAAACTAAAATCCAATTACACTGCAGGCATAATAACTAACATGAGAACACAAATGAAGCGTGGTCAGATTGATTGTTACACAGGTTCAGAGTACATTTTCGTTCCAGGTGTGAGGTGGCTCACACACAGAACCATAACACATAAATCCTAAGCCCCGAAGATTTGCAGTCTGTGTTTTCTGTGCAGAAGGTGCGATTACTGGTCCTGGTTTGAGCTTTTATGGCTTTATGAGCTTTATTTCATGACCTGTAACTCATTAACTTTAAAACGTGAATTTATCATTTGCATTCTCATAAACCTTACAAACACTGTGAGGTCCCAGGGCGGGGCTTAACACTGACCTTCATTCTTTATATCAGCTCGTCTTTCAGCCCTTTTCTGATATTTCAGGGTTTTCTTTGAGAACATTGTTGTTCAGAGATTTAAAATGCAAAGAAAGTCTTACTCAACATAAGTGAGTCAGGTCCATAAAAAGGACACAAATAAGTCCTTTTGCAAGTAGTGAACAGTACAAAAAACTGTGCAAAACTGTGTGAGTGCTGCAGTTAGGTGAGTGAATGATTCTTATTCAGTGCCTATCACATGATGTTCTGTGTTGAGGATGGCTGGACATGACATGCCAAATTGGCTATATATTCATTGAAACATTAACTTTCTCACGTGATGAATATACCAAAATAAAAACTCTCTTCCTGAGTGACCTACGCCACACACACATTAGTGAGATGTAGCTGGGCTGACTTTTCCACACTGCTCTCCATCAACTCCTGTTGAGTTGGCCAGTAGCATGCAATGAATCAATTAATGATTATGGTAAATACTTGCATTCACATTCACATCTAAAAACAACCATTTTTTGCCACTCATTATTAAGATGATACAACAGCTAGCACAAGTCCCAAACATTTAAAGGCTAATGAAATTCAAGCCTTAGCCAGGACTGAGAGAATCTACTGAAAAAACAGATTTGGGTTTTGAAAAACCTTTGCGGTTATATAAACGAGATTGCACTTAGATAATTCTATGGCGGGGTGGTTGCAGACTTGGCAAAGTCTTATCAAGTGTTGTTAACCGTGCTCTTTGATCTTGATAACAAACAGGGAAAACAACACTGTCACTTCGAGGCTGTGCTTGCAGTTTTGTGTGACTGTAAAACTCAAGAGCTACTAATCTCTAACCAAAACATTCACATTCAGAGACATCAGAGATTATTCTTCCTTCATCTGTAAATAAAAGCTAAATAAGCACTGGTGGTGTGGAAATACAAAAAGCTTGAGATGAGTCAGGAATAATCTATTCATTGAGTCTTGGGGCCTCAGATGTGCTCTTAAATTACTGTAAGACACTCACACTGACTTTCAATACCCTGTTTTTTAAGTTAATGTCGGTGTTCAAATTACTTTCTGATGATATTCACTGCAGCACTGGATTGCGGAAAATGAGAAAAAAAAAGTAATCCTCATCCACAGAGGGACTGCCCTCTCTATGTACTGAAAATGAGAAAGGATGGAGCAAACAATAGTGGGCATACCCAGGGGATAATAGTTATGATTCCTGTTTCATCTCAATTATTATCATCACTTTAAAATATGACTTGATTAGTTCAAATAAACATTGTATTATGCAGGTCTGTCACTCCTCCCCAAGAGAAAAGCTCCAGGTTACTCATCCTGATAGCATCGCATTATACATACAGTGGTTTATGGTGATGTCCCTGTAGTTTCCTTCTTATGAAGATAGCTGTTTCCTCTGGCTGATGGCACCAGATACCAGATAAAAATAATAACTTACAGTTGTGCATCCATTGTGCAAATAAATCTCATCAAAATACCTGAACACCTGAATATCTAAGTTACATAATCACTGCTATGCTCTAGAGTGAGGCATTGATTTTTAAAATCCATATGCATTGTAAAAAATCTCTTGCATACCAGGATGTTGTTCAGTTATCTGATCTAAATGTGAGACAGTCTACCTACATGTTTTTTTACTACAGGCAAAAAATGCATGAAAAAACAAAACAAAACAAATCTGAGCACAAACATTACTGGGAAAGAAATGCAGCTAAAGATGAACTGAGACACTGAGTGATGTTAACATGCTTTTGAATCACAACACGAACCTCTTCTTTTGTCAGGATATTAGTTTGTGCAGTGCATTCTTTAGGTCAAGTGGGCAAACCTCAAACCCCTAACATGCATAACGGGGAGATGTGTTGATTTTTCCTGCTCACGTCTTATGGAAAAAAAATAATACCCAAAACAACAACCTAACAGACATGGAGTGTTTTCACTTATACGTCTGCTGGCTGTAGCCTTCTCTGGGTCTGGACCCTAAAAGTTAGGTCTCAGGTAGTTTAGCCTTAGCTCTCAGCAGCCACTTGCTAAAATTATTGTTTGTTGTTTTCTACAATCCCAAGTCTTTTCAGTCAAAATGGACTGGATCGATAAGATACATGGCTCTTACCGGAACTGATGGGCTCCAAGGCTTCCTGCTCCACATCCATCTGGTGGTAATGGCGGATGCAGACACGACTATCTATCTGGTAGAGCAGGGCAGGACACAGGTAGGTGAACTGGCTGGGGGAGATGAGTGACTCAGGGTTCAGGCCATAGTAGGTGAGGAGCTGAGTCAGGTTCAAGCACTGGAGAAGGAAATGATGTGTGTTTGACAGTTAAGAGACAAATTTTTAAGTGTCATTTCAAAGGTACAATTTAAGCAAAGGCGAGGATTTCAAAGATGTCATAGTGTTTTAGTTTAAAGGCCAACGTCCTCTGGTCAAAATCATTTCAAGTGACGTGTCATACATGACAATACGTCACAAAACTTCTAAAAATAATTTTTAAGGCATGGCTTCATTAATGATCATCAAGACAGGTTTTCAAAATGCTGATTCCTAGCAAACCCAAAACATTAAAATTAACTTTACAAGCAAAAGTAGTGACAAGAAAGATGCCGTGTATGCAAATAAACCTTCCTGTATGTTTGACCTAAATCGGGCAGTGCAAACGGGACCAAGTTGTCATGACAAAGGGTAAAGTATTTATGGGAAATATCAGGTATCTCAGACATTGCCAAATAGGCTTTCTATTACGGATCTGGTCATTAACAGGACCCGAATAAAATACATTTCCTGTGTTTTCTCTTCTAGCAGGTAACATGTCTATGAATGAAAGTTCTTCAAGTGCCCTGACGTCTAACAAGAAAACACAGAAAACAGAAGTCCTACCTCCTCATGCTGATGTGACAATCCACCTGGATGCAGAGGCAGGACCTGGGCTGGTAATGTGGGGGTGGCGGGCGCTCCTGGTGCTTCTCTCTTATCTTTATGAGAGTGACTGTGACCGTGTCTGTGTTCATGTTTGTGGTCATGGTCTTCAGATGTAGATGTGGGAGGTGAAGTGGTTTTGTTTCGCCCTCGTTGTCCTCTGGCCCGAGCTGGATTTCTGGGCTTCTTGGCCTTGCCTTCTGTCAGGGCAGGCGAGGACTGTGGCTCCTGAGGGACTTGGGACGGCTCCAAGTGGGCAGAGGGTCCCTGTTCCTGGTTGATGGGAGGAATTTCTGTGCCGGTCTGTGTTTGATTAACATGATTGTTGTTGTGGTCATGATCACTGTGGTCATGATCACTGTGAGGTTGAGAATTCATGTCCTTGTGGTTAGACTGCACCTGCACCTGCTCATGTTTGTCTTTGTCATGTGTGTTATCATGGTCATGTGTGTCCTCCACATGTCCATCAGAATGTTTATGGTCACTATCCTTTACCTTGGTGTGATCAAGATTATGTTCTGCATTATGTCCATGATTGTGATCTTGATCTTGATCTTGATCTTGATCGTGATCGTGTTTATGGTCGTCCCCTGTAAGTGCGCCAGCAGCTGGACTGGCAGCAGTGGTCTGCTGGCTGCACCGTGTAGGAACTCGTTCTGTGTGTGGATGTTGGGCACTGGGCTTGTGGTGTGGATGACCGTGCCCGTGACCCTTATCATGGCCTTCATTGGTGGATGAATGTGAGTGAAGCCCCTCTTGCATATCCAACAAGTCCAGGTGGGCTACATGGTCATGACCCAGATCCTCATGATCCACACCTACCACCTTCACTTCACCCAAACCCAAGCTGAACAGCAGACTCTGAAATCCCTGGAAGTCTAGCCGGTCCTTCTGGCCGTAGCGCCTGAACAGCTGCTGGATGTAGAAGCGCTGCTCCTCCTCTAGAGCGTCCCCTTGGGTATCCTTGGACTCCGGTGACACAGTGGCTCCTCTCACGTACGGAGCCTCAGAAATCTGCAGGTCGCTGTGGACGTGGTTGTGGTTGGCATGGTGATGCCCACTGTGCTGATGGCTGTGCCCATCTCCATGGCAGTGGCTGCACTGATGAAAGAGGAAGGTGAACACACACAGGAAACAGAACTTGGTGTGCACGTGGACTCGCATTGTCTCCTCGCTTCTGGTCCCCTGTGAAAACAGGACAGTAACAGTTTTAGTACCCAATATCACAATATATGGACAGATAAATGGTAATAAACATGGAACTGCAGATTAAGAAGCAACCATGTACGCATCATACGGATTGGATTTTTACTGACTGGTTTATGTTTCTGACTGGTGCTTCATAGACTTCGTATGGAACCATTGACTTCATCATGTGAGGTTTGAAACTGAGAAACTTGAACTTGTTTTAAAATAGAAACAGGCTTTTGGATGATTGTTTCCTGGTTCCATCAAAAGTCAGGCAGCAGGCACCTACATAAGAATTCTTTGTAGATGAAAACAGGGTTCTGGAGAAGTGTTTTTTGGCTCAAATGTGTGTACGTCCTTACTGTCACAGTCACATTCTGAGTAGCTGTACCTTGTTCCAAACCTCCTTAACTTAGTTTTAACCACAATGGCTGTGTTCATTTTACATGGCTGGACTGTGACGATGGTGGTTGTAAGTTAGTGTTCATTTGAGAAACCTGCCTAGAATACGAGTCTATTGAAAGTTGGACTGAAATATCGCAAAATTCATATATATATCAATATATTATATCCCAATGTGTCCAACGTGCACCACCATACATAAAATAATCAAATTGATATCCATGTTCCACTGTTAAGAATTACATCAGATATATTACTTTTTATTTTTGAGACACAACATCAATTTATATAATTTTAAAATTTGTCATAATAATGAAGAATAATTTGGAGTAGATCCAAACTCAAAAGTATTATGGCGAAAAGAGGCAAGGGGTAGCTTTTACTTAGACTCTTATATGGGAGCACTGTAGGGGTGGGCGATATGGCAAAAATATCATATCACGATTTTTTAAAAATAAAATCACGATTTCGATTTTATCACGATCTTAAATTGGAAAAAGAAAAACAGACAATTTAGACCAAAGAACCTTTCTTAACAGATTTTATTTTAAATAGTCGCAGTTTTGCCTGCATGTGCAAACAACGTAAAGTTTAAGGTAAACAACACCAACATTCTGGTTCGTCGTGTTACCACCCAACGTGCGAACGGTTTCTGTGCAAACTTTGCAAATTACATTTGCTTGCGCTTGATCAGTTGCGGAAAATCCAAACCAATTCCATATAATGGAGGTGGAATTTTTTTTAGCGACCAACTCCGTTTGGTTTTCAGCCATCGCTCTCCATGTGCTACCGCTACACACACAAACAAGGAGGCGGGTAGGAAAGCGCGTCACTGCCCGTAATTCGCTATGATTGGTCGGTCAGGTTGGCTACGTCAATACTTCTGGTGCATCGGTGCATCAGCATAGAACTGCAATTTATAGAATGTGCCCTAGACGATCCCACGATCTCTGCAGTTTGAAAGATCGTCTTCACGTTGTAATCCTTCATGATCTAATATCGTCATATCGCCCACCCCTAGAGCACTGTCTAAAAAAGATTATGAACAGGAAGCACTGCTATCAGATTAATCAATCCTGCTGAATATCGGCCCTAAAGCCTGATCAGGGTTTATCAATGATGCATTGAGACACTAATTATACAGAAACACAAGAATTAGTATAATCAGCTTGCACATCACACATAAAAAAAACCATTGAAACCACCTAAGCTGCTACCTTTATCTTAGAATAACATATCTAATAACTGAAGCAAGGAACCGTATGCAGCACAATAAACTCTCTAGTGAGAATTGTGTAACAAATTGCTTGTTTTCCCCCACTCTAAAAAGCCTGAAGCAGCAATATCATTTCAGTCAAATGATCCTCATAAGGTCTCTTGTGAAGCCCGTGGGTGGTTGATGCGTGAGGGGTGGGGGTGGAGAATAGTAAAGAGAGGTCAGATGAGGAACACTGCTGGATAATGGTAAGATGGCGTGCGCGCACACACACACACACACACACACACACACACACACACACACACACACACAGTCTTTGGCAGCCAGCTTGTTAGCAAAGTTTTTACTGGATTTACAGCATGCATAACATGAGGGAATAGATTTGTGCTGTGTGCAGACCACAAATACTGGGTTAAACGTTAAAAACAAAGAGGGTGATCCTCCTCACAGCTGTCAAAGCTGGTAACAACAGATTGCACACTGCAGGCTTGTGGGAGCAACAAAAACAAAAAAAAAAGACAACAACATAACTTCATAACTACAAGAAAACAAAAATCAGAGGGAAGGATACAAAAATGAGCCTCAGATCACTTAAATAATATTACAAGAGAAGCTCATTTTAAAACATACACACATATTGGAGATAAACTCACAATACAGAGTTGCCTCACATTGTTTTTGGTGAAGCGTGGAAGGAGCAACAATCCATCATCTACAACAATTTATCCAACATAAGTATTTTAATCTATAATTATACAGTATTTGTATCCATCCCACTAAAATATTTTACAAAGATTACAATTTTAAAAAATTATCATAGCTAAGACAAAGCCCTTGTTGATTCCTCAAAGCCTTGATCATTGACCAGACGACATCAATAGCTTATCAGCTATGGAGTTAGCTCCTTCTCCCCATATAACCAGATCAAGAGTTTGTGTAAAAGAAGTGTTTAACATCAGAATTTTACGAAGGAATGGTAATGTAATATAATTAGAACTTTTTTGTCAAAATCAAAATGCAGACAAGGATTACTGCTCTCACTGAAATCTTTGTACAAATTACAATAATGAAAAATTAAAAACAGCCACAATAGATCCAAGATGTTATAATGAGTTTGTCTTTTAGGTGATAAACCATGCGGTGCAATTCAACACCTTCAAAGGGCCTTAAATACAACAAACACTTCAAAACCACGACAAACATAACTGCTCAATTAACTGACTTAAAATTTCCCTTAGAAACTGGAGGCGAGGCTACTTACCACTGTGTGCCCTTGAATGAGCGGTGTGTGAAATTAATGTTTGGCCAAGGCGTTAATGATGGCGTTCTGGCTCAAAGCTGCGGACGTTAAGTGTGGTTACAAGCCAACTTCACGGCTGTTCGACAAGACAGTGTTTATAAACATGAGACAGCAGTGACCTATGAACCTCACAGCAGATAGGTTGGGACAAAACCAGGACCTATTTTTAAGGGCACACCCTCTGAGCAGCAACAGAGCTTGCTGTGTTTTCCTGATTAGAATCTTTTTCTGTGTTTGGCCTTTGAGAGAAACAAGAGAATCTCTATTGACTTCAATGGTGTGTTACAAAAACCTCAATCTGAAAAGTAAGCATTACAAATTCATTCTTAGTGTACCCAGACTTTTTTTTCCTCTAAATTGAGACTGAGTATTAATTTATTTTCTGCATATATTTACAACTTAATAATAACTAATAAATAAAACAAATGAGTGAGCTGTACTACAACATGCACTGCAGCCTAACTGTTTGTTTCAATCAAAGGGATATTAATGCAGGAAACAGCACACTACCTACACCGGTTTCGTGAGTATTCTGTGATGTAATCACAAGTTGTCTCAGCCTAAAACAAGTAAGTAATCCTATCATTATAGTGTGAAATGCTACTCACCGTAATACGTTTCCTCCTGCTTGGCCCCCAGTCCTGGTGCTACTGTATGAGGGGGTTTTCCAACTCTTCTGAAATATGCACTATGGAGAAATTATAGAGAGAAGTGAAATTCAGACCCATCCATTCAAGCCAGAAGAATAAACTACTAACATGACAAAAGGTTATCTGAAATCTTCCCCATGTTGTCACAAGAGAAATACTAGAAATACAACAGTTTCTTTGTCACCTTTCACGTAAAGTATGTCTTCACAGGGAGATTACAGCAACTATATTATACATATTAGTCCAATCTATACTTGATGTTTAACTTCCATTTACAACTTCGGCTACAGTATCTATAGTCAATGTATTCATTAACTTCTTAGTAAAGTCAAGCAGCCTCCTACTGAAAGCACTGTTGTGAAAAGAGCCTACGATGCCTTCAAGTGCTCTCCTGAACAAATCAATTCAGATGACAACATGAGTGAGCTGAAAAAGTGTCAAATATGGTAAAAGTGAGCCCACTCATTGCCTAGTGTTCACCAATTGGTTAGCCATGACCAGCCAATGTATGACTTGTGGCTTATTTTCAGGAAGTTATGTCAGGATGTTGCATTTGTGGGGAGGTGTTGACATTATTTTCAAGTATTCAGGGCAGGAGGGTGGAACACTGGTAAAAAGTCTGAGTCTTGCATGTAGATGCCCAGTCGTATTTTACACAGAATTTGTCAGCCTGATCAAAATCACTACATCAAAGCCCCAGTTGAGTGTTGCTATTTGTTTCATTCATGAACCAGGAAAGTGATCATCAGAGGTGGTAAACCCTGGGGGTCAATGTTTATTTCAGGCATGGCAGTTTGCCTTCACTATAATACATAGCGGGAAACCTTGCTGAGCAACACAGAGTCCTGTGATTACTGAACTGTATCCACAGCACTAAAACAGGCCTAAAAACTGCACAAAAACTTTACCTGTACTAGGCTTTTAAATCAGCCTTTCATGTACTGTATGCGTGAACTCTGCTGGATCCACCACTTGAGCCATAACACACCTCTGAATGGTAGACATTTTGATATGTCACAGTATGAAAAATACTGGTGTAGATTATAAAAATAATGATGTCAGAATTACTTTTAACTGCCTTAGTTTTTAGTATTGTTTGGTATTCATGCATGTTTGCTCACTGTCACAACTTACTGGTACACTTGAATAGAACAGAGGCAGCGTTAGTGTGATTAATAAGAGCTGTGTGCTCCCACTATGACCAGTCAAAATGTCTGCTATGAAAATGGCCTATTGTAAACCACAACACTTCAGAACAGTTTGAAATAACACTAACAGGTGCATTCAATGACCAATCAAAATACCAGAGCATATGGCTTCTCATTGATTAACAGCAGTTAGCAAAGAAAAGAGGATATGTCCCTACAAAGGACTTGATGGAATTGGCAGAAGGAGCTGATGCAGTCCGTGTTATGCTAAAATACAAACCCAGCTGTTAAATTTTTATCAATAAAATAACACAAGGTTTTACATAATATACCAGCAGCACTGTTCACACCCTCCTGGATGTGGAGGATTACAGTTGACTGAAGTTTACCTTGAAAATTTGCAGACTAAAAAAAAGCTCAGGGTTTTTCTTGTCATCTGACATTGTGATATGTTGTTCTGATGAAGCGCTGTGATGCCAGTGTACAATACATTGAGTGTCCCTGATCTAACAGAGGTGGTCATCAAGTCAGTGGAAGTGACATATGTCAACTATAAACAGCTCCTGGTCATCCTTGGCAGGTATTCGTCATATCATAATAACAGGCTGAATTTTAGGGAAATGTATATTAAAAGATGCAATTTATCTTGAATACTTTCATTTCTGACCTTGAACGCAGCAGCTGTTCTTAAGAATTTCACTCAGCATGATATAACTTCAATTTTTTTCCTGACCATTGGGACAAATTTAAGCATAAATCAGAGTGTACGAGGTTTATTAATCCTATCAGCTGACCTGAATGTCTTTAGTTTCATTTTTCAAGCTACAAGTTTAAGTTAAACAGCTGGAAAACTTATAAATAATTGTTATTTCCGTCAATTATGAAACATTTATCTATATATTACTCCTTGCCTCAAGAAATATTTTCCCATGTCTTTTCTAGTTTGTCAATGATGACAGGAACCTTGTTATTTCTCAAGGAAGAAAAAAAGACTTTGGCCCTAAGCTGCTTCATATGATTCTCACACGACCATACACATCCTTCTCATCTCTGTATCAAGCCAGTGTCTGTAAGGAAACTGAAAGAGGAATGAAGCAAAAAAAAAAACAACAAATCTGGTATTCAAGAAATGGCATTGGATTGCCAATGTTTACTGTTACAAAACAAATAAGAAAAAAATGTAAAACGTGTTCCTCTGATCTGACATTTGTATTCCTTACAAAATATGACCTACAATCAACAAACGTGCACTAAAACTAATAAAGCCAATAATGAACATCTCTGCATTAAGACAAATGTAACAAGCATCTAAGCTTCCTTATAAGTTTCCTACTATATTTGGTAAAACGTTCAACAGTGTTTTTAATAAGAGAGGGGGGTGCAGCAGGAAGGTTCATCTCTTGTGTGAACAATATACAAACACTTGTACAACAGGATGGCATTTCACTCCAATAGTGAAAGGAGCATGTTGAAACTAAGAATTATGTTGCTCTTAAGGTAAAAATGAAGAAAAGGTATTGGCTTGCAGAGAGCATATGAAGTTTAATATGAATCTTTGGGCAAGTTGCTTACTTGCCCAAAACTGATATAATGTGCTACCTGCTGCATTTGTAATTTCAACTGAGCAAAGTGATGGTCAGTGGCGGCTGCTACTCTTTGCAAATAAAACATGAGTAATGAAGGCTAAAAGATGTGATACTTACTTCCAGATAAATTATTTTGAGTGTTCTTAGCATTTAAAATTTGCATGTGGTTTCCCAAGCATCACAGTAGTATGAGCTCTTGAAATGTGACACAACTTTAAAAAAGCAAGGCCTCTTTCCCAGGGCTGTGGTGGTTACATGAGAAACTATTAAGCTTCCACTTTTTTGATCCGTGCTCTTAAGCCAGGGAGCTATACAACCAAAAGCTTGCACTAACTGCAGAGTGAGGACACAATTTGTTCTTGAGACAGAAAAATAAAAACATGTCAGTGTGGAGGTTTTCTTAGTAAGGCCTGAGGCACACGAGATTGCAGATGTCAGCTGCCACATGGACCCAACTCACAGCAGATGGTCTGTGAGAGTCTTGGAGAACAACAATCTGCTCTACTATCATGAGACTCAGGGAAGTGTGAGAGACACGAAATACCTGAGTTCAAGTGACACATATGACACGGTGACCTTCATTGAAATAACAGCTTGTGAACTGTATTCATCTGCCCAATCTTTGTTCCTAAGCATTCGACAATGATGAGGCAGCACAGCGAAGACGTTACACAACACTGACAGACCAAATGTGAAATCATCACAGCTTAGCCTAACAAGCAAGTATATGCTACATGTTTACCGACACGGTGCTTTTGTCATAACACTGACAATCACCGACTTCTGCTGCAAAACACTAAACTCAAAAAACAAAAAATAGTGATCAAGGTAGTCATTTTGACAGCTCAAACTAGCAATCCTCTGATCAAGAGCAGCTATTCTGTGGAATTTGTCATAAGCTGCGTGGTAGGTCTCCTGCAAATCTCCTGACTCAGGGACCTGGCATATTCACGAAAGCCTATCTTTTAACAGCCAGTCTGACAATAGGTCTCATTCCAGCAGACTCAACTCAGCTACTAGGGGAAGACGCATGTGGTTCAGTATGAGTTGAACCCGACATGTTTGTCATCAACCGAATTAAAAGAAATTAATGACCAAGAAAAGTCAAACCATTTCAATTTTCAGCTTCTCTGAACAGCCTTAAATGTCCATGTGACTGTCTTAAGGAGGCTGTGTGAGTAAAACAAATCTACTGAGAAAACACGACTGGCACACCATATCGTTCAGCAAACACCTTACATCCCTGTCAGGTTCAAATAAAACCAATGTAAACATGTCGCAACATCTCTGAACTTCTTAGGGAGTCAAACTGCCCCATCCACCATGACAAATACCACATAAACCTCGAGTTTTGTAGGTTGAAACCACTGAGTCGTTCAGTCGCTGATGGAAGAGGCTGTATATAGTTCTGAATTCCTCGGGTGGAATAAAAGAAGCTGCAAATACAAAATAGCGAGTGATCACTGCGGTGAGACACAGGTGCACGGCTGATGCTCTGTGGCCTGGAAGCATGTTCATCACAGTGCAAAAGAGTGGAAGACCGCAAGGCTAGAGTAGACACAGACAAGTAAACACAACAATCAACTGAGCAGTACACTGTGCACATGTCAAAGAAATAACACCCTGGCAAAACAGAGTGATGCTTACCTCTAGACAGAAATAAGCCGAAAAGGACAGGAGGTAACACCACACCAACTCAAAGTGTTCACGCCGGCACTAACATAGTAACAGGTTGAATGTTTTTAGGATTTCAAGTCCAGTGACTTAACTAATTTGTACAGGGAGGAGGGGAGCCACAGGGAGGGAATGTGTGTATGTGTGTGTGTGTCTGCATGTTTGAGCAGTCAGGGAGCTGTGTCTAGGATCAACCACCTGACCAGCTACTCATGGTGTATGTGTGTGTGGCTATGTGTGCACTATTGGTTGACATTCTGCCACTAGCTTTTTGGAAATCAACCATTTGAAAAGAGTAACACAGCGTTCTCTCTGACCTCCTCGTTCATTAAAACAGTGGAGTGTCCTTCCACATCCTCTTTGCAGAAACACTTTACTTAATCCTTATCTAATGTAGCAAAGATCTATCTTGCAGATTTAGCCTACACAGAGATTCAGAGGTATATATTCTGTCTAGTCTTAAACATCAGTGGGAACAATGCATTTGTACCTTACACTGATGCCTATTGCAATGTTCATCATCAATAAAGTCCAACAGAAACAAGGCAGGGGCCGCAACAACAGCATGCTGCATTTACATCATATTTTTAAAAACTAATATGGAGTTCTTCAAGGGAACAATTTATCACAGTGGAGTGTGTTAGGCAACATCACTGGGCTGGTGGTGAAATGTAGGGGTAATGGCAGCTGTGTGTGGCCTCTGCTTCTCACAGTTCATGCAGCTGCAGTAATTTCAGTGTGGAAACTGTCGGCTTTTGACGTACTAATCTTACCCCAATAAAATGTCTAAAATTTGCTCTTGAGCAAGGTGTTGCTTCAGTAGCGTTGGTTCTACTCCACATTGACATAAAAAGTGAAATGGCTCTGTTGATCATTTAAATCACAGTTTTAACTAGTTGTCTTCAAACATTTTATTATCATCACACAATGACAGACTCACATCTGCCTAGTCTATTAAGATTAGAAAAACATGATGGTAGATATAACCATCAACTAAATACAAACGCAGGAAGGCAGCTTTATGGTACAGTTCAAAATACCATGTCTGCATACACAGCTGCAGTGTGGGAATGGTGTTACAAGTGGAGCAGATTGTGGACATTGTGAGCACTAAAACAAATAGACCAGCCACATCTATGTTTACAAAATCATCATTAGAAACCTGCAGCTGGCAGCAACAGTAACTTTCACTGTAAGGTTCAAGGTGGGGTTACATTTAAAAAAATTTTTTTTAACAACCCATGTAATAAATGTTTGGTTTTTCAGGGAAGATGAAATGGACTGATTTTAATGATTTTATCAGAGTGATTTTTACCTATGAGGCCATGACAACACTGGCATGGAATTAAGAGACAAACATATGCAAAAGGACTTTTAGCTCAACAACAGATGTAGTTAACAACGTCTTTTTGTTTTAGAGTTTTCAACAACATGAGATTGAAAACAAATTATCAAAGGCCAGTTTTAGCTAATTATATTGCAGGACAAATCTTGCACAAAAAGTGGCATATTGATGAACACAGAGGCTGTAAATATACAAGAAACCATATACAAGAAACATCACCAAAAGCTGTTTTATGGTAAGTTACAGTTTGTTTAATCACATCAATGTTTGGGAGGTTATTCTTGGATTTTAAGTTTGATTTCACCATCAATGTATATACGTGTATTTAACGCCCATATGCTGTAGCTTTGTCCATGGTCGACTTAAAACGACAGTAAATTTAAAGAACGTCAGACTGCTTACTATCTGGTTTTAACAAAAAACTCCAAGCTAGGACAAGACCGGTGCAGTCCTGAGTTCACCGTTCTTGCTTTCTTTGTACGCCAGTTTAATCCAAAAATAAGTGGCAAAACCTCTAACAACAAAGAACTCCTGAAAACAGTTACATCGACAAGCCTCACTTTTCTGTCCACATACAGTAAACCTACTTTAGATGTTTAGCAAGCAAAGCTGAGACGAAAACACAATATCAGTGACAGCAATCGAGACAGTGGGAGAATTTGATATGAAAGAGTGCCCTGCATCTATTACACAACATCTTGTAATGTAAATCTTAAGAACTTTGCATGTTTACCACATTACAAAGCCAACACTTATTCATATAACATTGCAAGCATTTTAAAAAGAACACTGACATGATGGAGGTCTCTACATAATAGCCTCATGCTATACTTTCAAGCTGTATGCTGCAATCATAAAGCGGCACTGGTATGTTCCAGTTGTTACTAAGGTTTGGTAATATAACTTAACAGTTAAAGGGGAATTACTACCATATCACACATAAAGGCTGCTACAGTTGTCACAACATAGTTAATTGAGGTTGTGTAATCTTCAACAGTATATAAGACCTGCATTTGTCCTCCACTTGCAGAGACACAGGTTGCTGTACATGTATGACACAAATCTGTTTAAATTGCTAATGAAAATTTACATGTCAACACTGAATCTGTGTTATTTCAGGCTAAATCTTCTCTAATCCTGAGGGCATAACATTTCTTTGTCCTCTATGGCTGACTGGGATTTATGAGAGAGAACAGAAAAATTAATACTGCTTCTCTTTGCTTTATTGACTCATTTTGATTAACTGTACTTTTAACAAGTGTACCTCTAATTTTGAGTGCTGTTCGTCTTACAATTTGATGAACTCAAAGGATGGCATGCGTATTTGCATGCTACCTGACATGATCCACCTTGTGCGAATGGTAGTAATCAGCTCTTTTCAGCAAGTGTTTACATAAATGTCTGCCCCTTGCAGCTTCAACCACTGGAAAGCTAATCAGATACCGTCTGAGGGAGAAAACACAGATTATGATTATGGGTCAGGTGTCTCCAAATCACACTGGCAGTATTATTTCTCTAGCGTCATTACATGCCAACAAAAAACATGACCTTTATAAAAACAGTGTTTTGTAAACCTCGTCATGTGAATGAGCAGCACACACTCTCATTCTTTGGATGGTGCTGGATAATGACTTTTATAGTTAGCTTTTAAACTGAGTGGAACAATCAATTGCCTTCCTTAGGCCTGATCAAAAGGTTACATAAATTACTGTATATTTTGAATCAATTGTGCCTACAGTTTTGCATCCAAATGCTACATGGGTTTAAAATAAATTTCTAAAACAGCTAGCAAAATTAAAATGCGATTCAATTTCAGGAGCTCATATAAAAAGGTGACATTTATGACCGATGAGTGAATTCAGGAACCACAAGCACAGTGTAAGCCACGATTACACACTGTAGACAGGGAGGGGTTGCATCCAAGTGAGATTTGGATTCATTTCTTTAATGATATGCCAACTTTTTTACCAGAGCCAATCGTCATAACTGTGAGATATTACTTGAAGTATGCTACAATAAAAGGTGGATGACAGCTAAGTGTGAATTGTGTTGAGCCTTCTGAACTTGTACATCTGCATCTCATTTCTCCAATTCTGACATTCAGGTTCAACAAAACCATTAAGGATATTGGAAATATTTTAGAGGATGGGATCTCAATTTCGTTTTTCAAGATTCCTTAAAACCTAAAATTAACAAAAAAAGAAAAAAATCTCATCACTAATAATTCAGCAGACATATTAAAATTACACTCCACGTTGAATGTGCTCGTTTATGAAAACACCATATGACTGTAAGAAATCAAATAAATGCACATTTAACAAGATGACATTTTGCCTACATTGTAACTACTCTTGATTAAGTCCGTCAGTATTCACTTAATTGTACTGGTAACTATACTACAACATGATTATGGAAAATTTTATCAGGGGACAATAGGGGACTAGTCTTATCTGCATATGACTAAAGGCAGCCACTTCACAGCGGAGGGTCCCACACGTTAAGTCGGCCCAATAAGATGGGCGAAAGATGCAACTTAGTTTGAAAAACAACCGAGTCACAAATGTTAGCCCTACTTCCAGACTATTGAAGCCACGCTGTTTGTTACTGGTGCGAAGCAGCTAAACTGCTCCATCAGGTAACTGAGGGGGCTTCAACGCTGCACGTGGTGCGCATAATGCAACACTGAGCGAGCTCGCCACTCTACCTCGTGATAGAAACGTGTCTACTCAACCGCGTCGTTTAACCCGCTGGAACTGTTTAACTAACCAGCACATAACTAGTCGCTAATAAACAAAGCGAGTCTCGGAATGCTGCCCGAGATACCAGTTCAAAGCCGCCCATCCCGTTTGTTTTGTTTGAATCACCCTCTAGGAGAGGCTAACGCTAGCCTGAAAAAGGAAGGCAACAATTCAGCCAGCTAACGTTAGCTAGCAGACGAGTCACAGGAAATTAGCTTTCAGCCTAGAAAGACCAACGCTAACATATGCTGTCTGAGAGTCCGTCACTAATGTTCACAACAGTGGTTAGTAACATCTACACGTTGTAGCAAACGCTGCCCGGGTCCATGTTGTGGGAGTGAATGATAACAAATGGGTTTTTTTATATAGTTACCTCACTCGAGTGCCGTGTGCATCTCCTCTCCGCTCGGTACCAAAAAAAAAAAAAAAAAAAAGAAGCCGTGTGTTTTACGTCAACGCACGAAAGCCAGTGATTCCTCAATGCTCCTGCGAATTTATTGTAGTATCCCGGCAGGGGCGGACCCACAGTCTGCGCTATCTGCGTAGTGAATTGAAGAAAGCACTGACGTTTCTTTCCGCCAGATTGTCTGGGCTGTCATATGACTAGTTGAGGAAATGATGCTCAGACTTCAACGAGCCGAACTGCCACAGGACTGTCATCATACAAAAACACCCAATTGTGATTCATGTCCTTTATATGTTTTGGAAAACATTACTGCTCGTCATTTGTCTACAGTAAGATGAGGTCATTGCCTTTTATTAGAAACTATACATGTTGCCTTATGTGGTTGGCTGTCACAAAGTGCTACATTGCTAAAAATAGACAAGATGATTTATTTTTGTGTGTGTGTGTGTGTGTGTGTGTGTGTGTGTGTGTGTGTGTGTGTGTCAATCAACAATAGCCCCAAAACCAAAACTACAGTTCAAAATGTTTGGCCAATTTAGTGCAGGCTTGTCCTCAAAACTG